CCCCCCCCCCCCCCCCCCCCCCCCACATCAACACGTACCAGTCGGGCAGCAGAATTGGTGCTGAGGGAGTAACAAGTAGCGCCAGCTGGGGGGCCAAGGACCCAGTGGGCTATTTTTTGCCTTCTGTATGCGCCAAGCCATGCTCATGCACACTTGGACTAACACACAATCCTCAGTGTGATGGCCAGATGCGCCCCTACAGCGTGAGGGCTTGAGATCAGCTGCAGCCATGGGTTTCTTCCCTCTTTCTATTTTCTTTTGTGGGGACCAGCTTTGCCAGTCTCATGCCGTAACACAAGAATGGCGCTTCCACAGCCTCCGTGATGTTCATTGAATGTGTCTGAAAAAAGGTGGCTTTTGTGAGGTTCGGGGAGGTCGGTCTTCTCTTGAACGCAAGACGATGGTCATTCAGGCGTCTCTGTTGGTTTTTCCCCCTTGCGCGGTGCATGGCCAGAATCCCGTCGAGAGGCATTTTGCGACAGATAATGCCACCCGCGTTCAGATTGTGTTTGCCTACTTGTTCAACATTTCTTTCGCCTTGCCTTCTTCAAGCCAACACTCGAAGAACAAGGCCCCTGCCTCGACAGACCGGATTGGAGTTGTCTTGACACCTCCAACATCTGCGCCTGGTTCCGGCCTTGAGCGAGAGGCGGGCTGGAGGTTGGGTTCAGAGGGAATCCACGCTTGGGGATGCTATATTTCATAAGCAGATATCAGCGTAACCCGCTTAGTCGGTCAAGGGAGACAGTCAACTTACCCCAATGGGAGCAAGGGCCTCGTCTCTCAACTCCACGGCCACGGTAAAAGTACATCCCTCTGGCAGGGCATCCATCTTCTCGGCAGCATGCGCCATCCTTCGCAGTGCACCACGTAACTGCTCGTCGAGATCGGGCAAGCTCACTGTGTGAGCGGTGGGGAAATAGTATTCGTCGTCTCGACTGTCTTCGTTTCTGTGCTCTTTTGCTAAGGCTTTTTTAAAGGCTCGCATTGGCTTGGCACCACCAGGCCACGCGGGGAATCGGCTGACGTCAAACATCCAGCGTTCAAGAACCGAACCTGGTGGGATGGTCTGAGAGGATGCTGATTGTGTGGGATCAGACGACATTTCTGCTTCGAGAGGGGAGTGAATGACGACAGCAATGCGTGATACACGGCCCTCTGCAATCTGAGCGGCCACGGCTTTAACAGCATCGCGTATCCAGGAGCAGACCTTGGGATGGCGGTTCTGGTGCACCGGGAGATTGTAGGCGCGAGCAGAGAGAAAGGTAGGTTGCGGGTAGATTCCCCGATAGTAGAGGATATTGTGAATGGCGACAACGAAAAAGTTGTTGAAGGATTGTAACAGGACGATACTTGAATCATAAGGCAGTGGCTGAGAGGGCGGTTCTTCGTAGATTTCCTGACGGCGATATTGGTGTCGCTGCTCAGACCGAGACTGAAGGGGAGAGGTAGGAGAGGAAGGGACCGGAGAAGACATAATGATCAGTGGTAGTTAATATCCGACTGGTACGGGCGAGATGTTTCGTCACTTGACTGTGATGACTTGAACAAAAATCATGGAAAGATTAGTTCTAGTAGGTTGCTTTGAGTAAGCCAACGGAAGGAGAGAAAGAAAAGGGTTTTGTGAAATGAGACGGAATCCTGTGTGAAACAATGATGGCATCTGTTGTCATCACATCTCTCTCCACTTGCACCTACCCAAAGTCAAGATATTTCTTTGGACTGCATGATGAGACGCGCAAGATTCGCGGAGAACAATGACCGCGTTTGGCAGGGACTGGAACCTTTTCAACGCCAAAGCAGGTGACGAGCCCCACCGATGCCCCGCCCTCTGAGATGACTGTACAGAATATGTGCATTCGCTCTTGTTAGTGTCGTCAGCGATACCGATATTTCTGTAACATTTTCGCAAAGAAGCTCGACCCTTGGAAGTCCAGCTGCTTCTCCCCTCCTGCCACTCTTTTCGTCCATGATCTTCAGATAGCTTCCGCTCGCGTCCCGGACTATCACGACCTCCACCACGAGAGCCGTATCTCACTCAGCAGGCGTGCCTGACCGCATCCTGTTGTTCACTCTGCCGACAAACTAAAGGCCCCCGTCTTAGCAGCTTTGCCTTTTATATTTTCTTGAACGACAACACTTTTCCCTTCTCTCGACTTGTGTAGTCCTTTGGGCACCTCGACATTTTTGCCGATTTCGATCCCATCCCGTCGCATACCATATACCCCCCCAATCAAACCACCCAAACTCCCGTCATACCTCGACTGAATTTTTGGAACTTCGACTTGATCATACAGCCTTGATCTCGTTATCGATACTCACAACTTTACGCGACCATCTCTTCCTTATACCCCATCTTGTAACGCCGTCACAATGGATCAAATGGAGCAACAACTGGCGCAGCTGCTTGCCAACACGCAGCTTCCCGACGAGGGCCCTCGCAAGCAGGCCGAGCTCGATCTCTCCCACGCCAAGGCGAACCCCGATTTCCCAATTGCGATTGCCCGCGTCGGTATCAACGCCTCGTTCCCCGTCAGCATTCGCCAGTCTGCCTTGACCTACCTGCGTCAATTTATCGAGGACAACTGGAGCCCAGACGATGGCGAAGCCCCTCGCTATCCTATTTCCGATCACTACAAGCACGAACTCAGAGAGGTGCTGCTGGCCCTCTGCCTGGGAAGCGAGGGCGACAGAAAGGTCAAGGTTGCCACCAGTCTGGTCGTCAGCAAGATTGCTCAGGCCGACTTCCCCGACAGATGGCCTACCTTGCTACCCAGTGTTTTGGGTGTCATGCCCACCGGGACTGACGACCAGCTGCACGGCGCCTTGCGCATTCTTCAAGACCTTGTCGAGGAAAGTCTGACTGACGAGCAATTCTTCGGCACCGCGCGCGAAATCATCAAGGCATGCTACGATGTCGCCCTCAACAACGACCGCAAAAAGAACCACCGTGCCCTGGCCGTCGTGGTGTTCCGCAGCTGTTTCGATCTGATGGATATGGCCAAGGATGATCACAAGAAGGAAGTCACCAGCTTCGCCCAGGAAATCTTGGCCGGCTGGCTCCCCTTCATGGAGCTTGTCATCAACTCACCACTTCCTGACCGCGAAGAGGCCGGTTCCCAGCCCCAAAGCTGGTACGGTCCCATCACACTGAAGGTCCAGGTCGTCAAGACCCTGATCAAGATCAAGACCGTCTTCCCCTCTTTGCTTCTTCCCCACAGTCCCACCTTCTTCAGTGCCGTCTGGCAAGAGCTGTCGAGACTTCAGGACGCTTACCAGGACTTGTTCATCAACAACGAAGTTCAGAGCCGCCTGGAAGACAGCGATGGCCTACCCTATACCCTCGACTTCCTAGTGCTGGACGAGCTTGACTTCCTCAACCAGTGCTTGCGTGCTAGCCCTGTACAAAAGCACCTCGAGGCCGACATCAAGGCCCAACCTGACATGTCCAAGATCGATTGGGTCATGAAGCTCAACCAATTGCTGGTCTCGTACTCCCAGGTCACCCAAGAGGAGGAGGGCCTGTGGGACATTGATGTTTCCTTGTTCCTTGCCGAAGAGACGAGTGTCAGTGCTAACTACACTGCCAGGACGGCATGCGGCGACGTGGTTGTCAAGCTCGGCGAATGGCTCGGGCCCAAGGTTTTCCAAGGCCTTTATGAGGTTGCCAAGACTCTCTTTGGTAACAACACCAACAACTGGCGGGAGCAAGAGGCTTCGCTCTACCTGTTTAACTGCGCCCTGAACGACTTTTTGGACTGCGAGAAGACCGTTCCTGTCGAGGTTACCGCACCCTACGGAGAAATCATTCAGTACGCCGTCAACAGGCAAGATATGCCCGTCTTGTGTGCCCGGGGATTTCTTGCTGGAGCTGCGCTAAGCCAGGCCGCCGGCAGCCCGGCGTATGGTCTTCTTGAACAAACCATCAAGACTGTTGGAAGCTCGGACTCGGAGCTTATCCAAGTCGCCTGCATCAAGGCCATGGATGGCTTCCTCCAGTCCACCCTCGAGCCGCAATACCAAGGCCATATCCTCCAAGCTATCCAGGGTTACCTGAGTGGACTGGATCTTACCTCGCTAGAGGACTCGGATGACCTCCTGGTAACCATCGTTGAGACACTAAAGGCAGCCATTGCCGTGGACATGCGCACAGTTCTCCAACCTGATAGCACTGCTCTTGACATGCTTCTCACGCTTGGCAAGCACGGTGCTGCCAACTATCATGTAGAAATCAGCGTCTGCGAGGCGTTCGAGGAGATTGCCGAGGCCATGAAGGATGCGACCGCTTATCCAGCCTTCTGCGCCAAGGTCCTGCCATCTATCACTGGTGCTTTTGATGTGGCCAACGTCACTGGAGACGACCCGCTTGTCATTGTATGTTTTGTCTTCTTCACTTTCTTTCGGTTGTGTTGACTGTAGGTACTGACACTTCACAGCTCGCCGTTGAACTTTTATCAATCCTTGTGGAGTTTGGCGTAGAGCCTCTTCCTGCTGGCTTCGTTGAACACACCCTTCCCAAGCTTGCCAGGCTTCTAATGTCATCGACCGAGGGTGAGGTCCTCCGTCCCGGCACGCAGGCCGTCAAGAACATGCTCATGCATGATCACCAACAAGTGTTTGCATGGAGCGATGAGAGCGGCCGTTCGGGTCTTGAGGTCTGCTTGATGGTTATCGACCGTCTTTTGGATCCTTCTATGGAGGACAATGCTGCTTCAGACGTCGGTGGTCTCGCGGCAGAGCTGGTCGAGAAGGCTGGTCCCCAGCGGCTTGGGCCTTACCTTGCTCAGCTCCTAAGGGCGGTTGCCGCACGTCTACACACCGCTCAGGAAGTGGCCATCATTCAATCACTCATCCTTGTCTTTGCGCGCCTTTCTCTTACCGTGGAAGGCGCCCGGGATGTCATCAACTTCTTGAGCGAGACTCCTATTGACGGCCAGAACGGACTCCAGATTGTCCTTAGCAAATGGCTTGAGAATTCAGCCATTTTCTCCGGATATGACGAGATTCGCCAGAAGTAAGCCCATGCCTATGCGTGTCGTTTGTTACCAACTACTGACTTTGCGTTTTCTAGCATCATTGCCCTCTCTAAGCTGTATGAGCTTAATGATGCGCGTGTTAATGAAACCCTGGTCAAGGGTGATCTCATCATCAACAATGATACCAGAATTAGGACTAGATCAAGGGCCAAGCAGAGTAAGTCACCCCGTTACTGTTTTAAAAACTTTCGCCCACCAGTTTTACTGAGCCATCCATCTTCCAGACCCCGATCAGTACACCCAGATCCCCGCCCCGCTGAAGATTGTCAAGGTGCTCGTTGACGAGCTCGGCGCCACAGCCGGTTTCCACTCTGACGCGCGGTCTGCGGCCATGGCGCAAAATGTGGAGGTAGAGGAGGAAGACGAGGACGAGGATGACGAGGGCTGGGAAGATGAGCCCGATGTTCTGGATCTCGGCCTCGGCTCCACCAAGGCTGAGCTCATGAGCTGGGCGGAGGGTAACCAGGCCCTGCGCGATCGTGATGACGAAACCCGCCAATACCTGGTTGGGTTCTTTGTCCGCGTCGCAACTGAGAACATTGGCAACTTCAATGACCGCTGGTACCAGCACCTTAACGAGGAAGAGAAGGAGAAGCTGCGGGAACTCAGCGCTCAATAAACGAGAAAATGGTTGGTCAGTGTCCGTCCTCGACGGCAAGGCAGAAGTGTGGCAAAGTGAAGTGTTCAACGGGTCATCGTCTGCAAGCATAAGGTATACAGAGGTTATATGGACGAAGGAAATGATGAAACAGATCTTATCGGCGGTTGTGCGTTAGCCTGTCTTTGGCATCAAGCGTTACGGCAGCATTGTTCGCAGTGAGGGAAAGTCCGCCTGGGCTTTTATCATTTATATCCGGAGATTTATCGTTTTATCGTTTGGTGCGTGCTGTGAGCGTTGGGATTGCAGGAGAAGAGTTACATACGTGTCGATTCACATATATCATCACTCATCGTTACTTGGTTGAGACAATAAATAAACATGCAAGAGGAGACGTAGCTGTTTTATAAGGCGCCCGGAACCACAAAGAGCCCATGGCAAGGCATTTTTATCGAGTTGTACCGAAGAATCTTAGGAGATTCGGAAATGAGGAGGGTCGACAATGCAGATTTGAAGGTCTGTCAGTCACATCGACAACAACGTGAAGATTATAGACCTGAATCTGGATGCGTCCTAGCGCAGGCCTGAACAACTTTGATGGTTTTTTTTGGTTTTTTTTTTTTTTTTTCCACCAGAACACCATCAATAATCAATGGGAAATTCGGGCCAGGAACTGAAAGAAACTTATAAAATGGCCAGGGAACGCAGCTTTAGGACATAAACCTTGTCGAACGTTTAACATCCAACTTCCAAACGGACATACATGAATTCTACAAGCGAGATAATTCGCATGCACGCTCGTTAGACAAAGCTTAATACTATCTACCTATGTAGGCACTGCAGTTTCTTTTCAGTTCACACTTGCCTTCGATAATCATTGTAAGGCTTCTTCGACTGGCATAACTTATACAACCAACGGACGACAAGATCGATCGTCGGAGGTGGTTTTTTGCACATGTTGTTGTTTCAAGGAAACCAATGATTTGAATACCACAACACAACATGGTAGGTGATATTCATCATGACATGACATGACATGACATGACAATGCCTCTAATATTCAATGTACATTACCTGCCTACCTCTACCTAGATAATTCAAGGGAATGCTGATACCCACGCACCGTGGAATCATGGCGAATAGGGTTGGATCGCTGAGGTGGGCATCCCTCGAGGACTCTCCAGGTGGAAAAAAAAGTCAATAAAAAGTACAGGTAAAGAAATTTATGATAAAAGAATTGGGGAAGTTCATGTATCAAGTACCGCGCGGAATCAACAAAGGGGAAGTATCTGACAAGATGGTCCAATCAATTAGGATTTTTGACTTTTATGATACGTCCGGTGGATGAGATTTAATGCTTCATGCAGGATGATGGGTTTGAGCTTTACTACGAAGTTTTGGGAAGACGATTTCGGATGAATAGGGGAGAGCATGTACCTCCGAGACCTTCTGCTACACAGCAAGTACGAGAGCAGGCATTTCGGCATTCGATAGCGATACTTACTCGACGACAGTCACACAAGAGGTGTTGGTCGATACAACAACAGAAGGACACACTATCACCATAATAATGAGTCTGAATAAAGTATGTAGTAGGCTTGATAATTCGACTTGTTAATGAGTCTGTAGCATTGGCTCATCATCTGCTACTTTTGATCTTCCATATGGCTCTTCTGTGCTGTACTTATGCTCGATGCTCGATTCTCCTCTCGCAAAACAGCCATTATTATGCAACCCCAACACAACCCACAACATAGGTACCAACCTACTTTACCACACTATACCAACATATATGAAGACATAGAGCATACCAATCAAAAGCCAAGTACCCTCAACATGACACCATGCTCCCCTTTTGTTTTCACACATCCAGGACCGAGAATTAAACCAACACGCCAAAGACAAACGGCACTGTCTGAAAATCATGACCCGTCAACCCCATCAAGACCTTGCACCCTCTCCACCGGCGTACTGCTAACCCCCGCCTTAATTAGCGCCCTCAAACTCGCCATCTCCCTCTTCAACCTGGCATTCTCCTTCTTGACTCTTGCAGCCTCCTCACTCTGCTCCCTCAGTTTCGCCAATAATTCCTCCTTATCCTCCCTCCCCTTACCCTTGAGCGCCTTGAGCATCTTGCCCAATTCGCTATTGAACTTCTCATACAACAACTCGTTCTCCGCCGTCGCCTCCTTGTAAAGCTGATCGATGGCTTTCACTTTGGCTTCTGCGACCCTTAAAGTCGCTTCCATCTCCCGATTTATCTCCGCCTGGCGCTCCTGCAGGTCGAGCATGGCATGCGGGACGCGCTCCTCGAGGGCGCGGACGGCGCTGGAGAGACGGCGGATTTCCGTGGAGGCGGAGCGCGGAAGCGTGGCGTTGATGCGGGTCATGTCTTCGGAGATGCGGGTGAGCTCGGACTGAAGGGTGGCATCGACTTCTTCGACGGCTTTCAGCTCGGTTTGCAGACGTTCGCGGAGCTTTTGGGGGGAGCGGAGGCCGAGGCGGCCGCTGGAGGAGGTTGGAACTTTCAACCCCCCGTTGTTATAGGGCAGGGTGGGACGGCTCGGAGATCTGGTGAGGTTGCCGCCAGTGTCGGCAGCGCCATTGCTGGTGCTGTTGCTGTTGGGTGATGGGCGTTCGGCCGTAGGGAGCCGGGAAGGCTTGAGGGTGGGAATTTGGGGGACCGAAAGGGACTTGGGCCGACTCCGAATTGGGAGGGAGGAGCTAAAGGCCTTTTTATCGGGTGGGGTGCACGGGGATGATGCCAAGGGACTGACAATTGGGCTTTCCTTCTGCCGTGATGAGTACAATGGTGGTACAAATTCAGCGCCAGAGCTGACACTATAGCCCGAACCGGGACTTATGGATATCTTGGTGGGTGAGTTCGGACTGATCGGAATCTTGGTCGGTGCCGGGAGACGGGGCGCCGTGTGAAACTTCTGGGGGGCCTGTTTTCTGTTAATCTGAGCGGGAACAGGGACGGCAGCGCTGTCGACGTCGATGACTAGCGGCGACTCTTTGTCGTCTACCGGGGGCGGGCTCGTAACCGATTCTACCAGGGTCGTGGACGACAATACCGACTTCAGATCCGACAACGAGCTGCGACGTTTCTTCTTTAACCGGTTGGATTCGGTAAACGCTTCTTCATCTTCCGGCTCGCCAATCGTCTCTAATCGTTTTGTACTAGACGGACGGTGCGTGATGTCATCGAAAGCTCCGGCGATTGGAGGCCTGTCTCGCGACCCTGGGCGTCGCGACCTGTTGGGTGTTGGTGGGTTGAAGAAAACGCTTATATCGATTGATTTTGACCTACTCGCTTTGGAAAGGCTCGAACTTTCACCTGGGCTCCTTGTGTGCTTGCTGAGGGACCGCCATACCGAAGAACGATCGGAATCTGTTTTGCTGTTTTGCCGGAGGAGGCTGTCGAACCCAAACTTTCTCCGCAGCGACGAGCTGTTGGACGTCACTGACCCCGTAACGGACTTTTGGCTCCGGTTACTCGCGGTAATATCGTCGTGTGAGCTGTTGAGCTGTAGGGTTGCGGCAAAGCTGTGGTCCTCGAAGATTCGGTCGCAGTCTTCAACAAGGCGGTCTAGGAGATTGATGTAATTGGAACCGGTGCCGTCGTCGACAAGTAATTCTGCGAACGCTAGTGTCAAGGCGCCCCGATCTCCGTCATTCGAGCATCCATCTAGTAAATCTGCCAGTAGTTTGATCAGTGCGGTGAAAGCCCGTCGGTTCTGTGGGGCCAGGTCTCGGAAAATGAATCGAACAAAGTCGCCAAAGTCTCCCACCACTCTCTTGGAAGCCCGGACCTGGAGGGCATCAAGCGCATGCATGGTTATGATGGGTCCTATCTGATCGCGCCATGCGATGCGCACAAACTTCTCGAACGCGGCAAACACTATGTCAGTGCCCACCTCAGCCGAGGCTTCCAAATCGAATGGAAATTCAATCAGTCTGTTGTAGAGGTCGTTGACCAACAGTTCGTCTGCCATGGATCTAGTAAGCAGTGTTCGGCCATGATAGTAGCCTTTACGAGCCTGTAGATTGGCAATGAAACCAGTGAAGGTCTGTTCAAGACGGAACAGTGGGTTTTCGGGGCGCATGTCTTCAGCAGTGCCCATCTTGATACTATGTTGTTCCTTAATTTGGGCCGCAAGCAACAGCAATTCATTGCGGCTGTTTGTCCTGGCCATCTGCGAGGGGAGCAGAGCGGGAGCACTCCCATTAGGATTCCGCTGGTGCCCCCTTATCGAGCCACTGGGCGTACTTTCTGTGAGTGTAACACTGGGCGTGCTGCCACCGAGGAAATTCGACAACAACTTGACGGGGGACGCGCTTTGTGAGCGCTTATGGCCTTTTTCCATGTCTTTTGATCCCATGTGGAGGCCGCGTAGGATCTTGGTATAGTAGTGAACAAGGGCGGGAGCGAGTCTTTGGTTAGCGACACAGGTTTGGGTACTTAGCAACTGGATAATTCTGCGTGAGAGGGTTGGTAGAAAGTCGTCCAGGGCAACTTCATCGCTGAATTTCTTGCCGTTTAAGCCAAGAGTATTCATCGATATCCTCCTTAGATCCGCGGTACTGATCTCGACCACGACCTCTACGCCGTAATGACCGACTGGGGCGCTCTTGGTACCTAGGTCCATATCCAGGACAACCCGGATAGGTGCTGGTTCTCGTCGGCCTTCGATGAGTTGATCTGCCGCCTCCTGAAAAACGGCTGCGTGTAGCCGGAAATTGTTGTCTTCCATCCTCACCGAACGCAAAGTCCAAGTGGGGTCTTCTCTCTCCTGCTCGGAAAATCGACCCTCGATACGGGCCTTGGCGATTTCTTCACTCCATTTGGAAGCCCTACCCTCATACATTTCTTGCAGTATGAAACACCTCGAGGTAATCGCCTTGCCACCGAAATACTCGCCAGAATGCGACCCCTTCATATCAGCAGTCGAGGCCATCCAGATTAGCCTACCATCAGCAGATTCTGTAAAGCGAACATCGGCAAGGTTATGCCACCCCGTAAGCGCGAACTCCCACATTCCTGGTCCTCCAGCAACATTTGTCATGGATGCGAGCAGGCCGGCGGGTGATGGCTTGTCGATCTCGCGCAGTAGGTCACGACCCGTAAGTCCTGAGTCGGTCTTCTTCTTGAGAATAACGATAATGTCGGAGAACACGAGGAAAATACCGGCATTCTCATGGAGATCTGATTCTCGCAGCTCATCAAAAGGGGGAGACAGCTCGATGAAGTCGGCAGCCACGGCTAACCTTCCCTGTGGCTCCAAGTCTGGAGGCCAGCATTCCACCATTGCGCGTAACCTGTTAATTATGTGGGGCTTGTCTCCCGCGCCCTCGTCTAGAGAGCAGATGTTGGTGATTATGTCCCTTGCACGGAGCATCAGTTGCAGGGCAGGATGCGTAATGGGCAGACAGTTCACAATCTGGTCGATCATAAGACTGTATCGTGGCAATCGCTGGACTGGCTCTATGAGGAGGGATCGGACGGCTTGTTCTCCTTTCTGGGCTACCCGCTGGCGAAAGCTTGATTGTTGCTCTAGAAATAGGTTGAGGAGCCGGGGAAATTCCCGACTGGCCCGGATGTAGTCTTGATAGCACTCGGTAAACTTAGGGAACCACTCCATGAAGAGGCGGGCCATGGCCAGAGCACCGCTGGGGTCCTTGACCTTGACAGAGCCCTCTCTATGTATTGGGAATGGGGTCTCCATGTCTCTAATCGCATCCTCTTCCGTATCGTCCATAATCCGCCGAAGCTCGTGCATAAATGCCGTGTTGAGCTGCAGTATCTCATCCGCCGATGGCGGGAAGAGCTTATCCAGATCCTCCTCTGACGGGCTGATGCTACCAGTAGCTCGTGCCTTTGCTCCTTGGCGGAATTCGTCGGCCACATGGTTTACCAATTCGTTCACCTTGAGCACATAGCGCTCCTCGGTATCGACCAACTCGCCCAGCTTCATGCGCAATTCCACTTTTTGGTTCCTTGAAAACGACTTGGTCCTGTTTCGTAATGAAGAGGGCCGCGAAGGTGCGCGACGTAACTTGGATGTAGGAAGGAACACAGGCTCTCCAAACAGCTTGACCAAGGGAGTATAGCCGCCGTACTGCCTGAGAGTCGGATCCAAAATATCGTCTTCGTCTTCAGGTACCTCCTCGAGTTCCTCGTCATCAAGGGGGATGATGGAACCTGGGGGCAATACCAAGTCGATATCCACGTTATTTATGTGTTGTGTTTGTAGCGCAACCTCGAGAGTCTGAATCACGTCGGCGGTGTTTTCGACGGGAACGGCCGACTGGGCGAGATCGGCGGCATGCTGAGGGCTGAATAACGTAGCTGCCGTGTCGGGAGCCCTCGGGCCTCGTGTGGGATACTGGTGTTTTAGGTAGGTTTTGACGGCTTCTGGTAGCTCGCTGAAGTACTTGTACAGGCCAAAGGCCAGTCCTCTACATATCTCGTCACCTTGAAACTCGCGCGGCAGGTAGTCGACAACATCGTAGAAGGGGGAGTTGGGAGAGATGGTGATACGGTGAAAGGACATGAACCCAGCCGGGCTATAGACATGGACCTGAATGCGCGAGCTGTTGAGAGTGTAGTTTGCTGTCGTCGAAGGGCCGTGGAAGATGAGGACCGGGAGATGGCCCAGCAAAGGGTCGGTGGTGTAGTAGAGTGTGACATGCTCTGGCGAGATGGCCAGTTCCTCCGTGACACGAACCATATTGGCCTCAATTGGTCGCCGTGCTCATGACGCTCTCGCGGCCGATATTGGGGGGGGAAAGGTGGAGAGATGGTCGCGCAAGAAGGGGGAGGTAGGCGACAAGGTTTGCGACAGACGACTGATGACTTGCGACTTGGCGGGAGATGTGTTGGGGGTATAGGCGGCGTCGACTCTGTGAGAGGCTCTCGTCGGGACCAGCCCCAGGGAGGTAGGGGGGAAGGCGCAAAGTAAACAGACGGATCGAGTCGTCGGAATCAGGGAGCTATAGGCTTATCGACGGCGGCAGTATGCAGGGAGGGAGGACGACTTGGTGGCAGCTATAGCGAAGCCCTGGGAAGAGCAAATTGTCTCGAAAAGGCTCTCGGTCGCGCTGTCTCTAATCCGTGTGCAGTCGGGTCGGTGCAGGTTGAATCGGTACGTATCCTAAGTGAAGAGGTCGGGACGGTATGTCTTTGGCGGCTCTGGCCTTGGCTGGGTAGGTCAAAGTAGGTAGGCAGGTGGTGGTGGTGGTGGTGGTTGGGATTTGGCGGTGCAGACCTGCAGACACGGTGACTTAGCAGCGGACAAGGTCGAGCTTAAGAGAGTTGCACTGCAGCTGTGGCGCCAAAGTGATTTCCGCCTTTTGGGGACGAAATCGTAAATAAACAACAATAGCGCAGAAGCAGGCCGGGCATGGAGCTGGGATAAGGGCCATGTACCTGGACGTTGAGTGAAGAGAGATTGCGCTGGCGGCGTTGGACCAAAGCCGCGACAGGGGACCTCTTCTTCCTTTTTTGGGCCTAATATTACGGTGTATGTGGAGGTACTAAGGTATGCGGCTCGTCGATATAGCAGCTGGCGTCTTGGAAATATTTGTGCCGATTAGAAGGTAATGTATGTAGTATGTTGTGGTAATCGTGATTTGTACAACGAACTCAAAGCTGAGTAGAACGTGATGGTGCTTGGTGCATGGTAATTTGGAAAAGAAGGGAGAAAAGAGAAACGATGGACTAGTTGATTGGTTGGTTGGTTGGTGGTGAGTGACCGACTGGTGGTAAAGCGAGCGCAAGCTGCAAAAAGAGCAGCAGGCAGTGACGATGGTTCCTCTACAGACGGGAACCCAACATGCAAGAGCGACGGGACTGGTACCACTACCACTGGACTGGACGCAGGTCGACGATGCAACGTAGCGTAATCGTGAGCCCGGTTCGTCGGGACTGAGGGAATGTGAGGGGAGGTTGAAAGTTTGGTTCGTTGAACGGGAAAGACCAAAAGGAAGGAAATCAGTGCGAAACAAGACACAACAACGAGCTGGCCTGAGTGAACGGACGGGGAACGGGGAACGGGGGACTACGGGCTCGGGGGGGAGGATCATGTCAAGCAATGCGACATGGGGTGCTGCCCTGGAGCTGGAGAGCTGCCGTGGAGTTGGGCTGGAGCTAGACTCCTTGACCGATGGCCGGTGGCCGGGATGTACCGTGTACCGGGGCTCCGGGGGTGCTTGCTTGCCCTGCTTCCTTCGACCGCTACCGCTTCCACTTTGTCGGGGAGATATCGGAGCTACCGGGCGGTGACGCTCTCTATAACTGAATGATGCGGAAAACGGACGTCTGGAAATTAGCAGTAATAGCTTCGTTGTGGTTTTCGCAAATGCACCGCCCAACGCTCCCCGTCAACCTTTTTTCGCCGAACTCTCGCCTTTCTGCTCGTCAACCCACGCGTCCGTGGTTCACCAAAAAGGGATATTACATACATACACCACAAGCCTGTTGGAGTGGATCCCCCTGGTCTCTTGATTTCTTCCGATCCCTTTCTTGGCTCTTGTGTAACTTTGTGGCTTTGCCCTCACGGCGTGCATCTGGCTCTCCCAATGGGTCATTTTACCCCACCGAACAGAGAGAGAAGGAAGCTGAAAGTGTGAACGTTGTTGAACAGTTTGATTGCGCTCCCCGCTGAAAAGGCCTTGGCATTTGTGTTTTGGCGGAGAGAAGGTCGGGCAGGTGGTCCGAGCTTTTTTATATTATAGACATTTAACCCTTCCGTTCCCGGTCCCTGTCGGTCGTTTGTGCCTGAACTCCACCACTCAAAACACTGGGCAGCAGACCTGGGAAGATGGAAGCTTCAGCGAATCCAGGCACACGACACAACTCCGCCGCATGAACGCCAGGGCTTTGAATTGTGTCCTTGTTTTGACGACCATCGCGACCTCCAACCCTTCCATTCCGGGCATTTTCCAGCCCCTGACTCTCGTTCAGGAATTCTGCAAAGAAACACCATCATTCACAAGCACGATGATATTGATATTAAGGTCAAGAGGTATACCTTACTTATATCAGCCGATGCGCGGGCTAGTACCAACGACTCAGCCTCCTTCGACTTCTTCTTTGCCATGAATTATTCTTGGATTTCTTGGGTCGCGTCCCGAACCCGAACCCGGATACTTCATGCCATTCCTTATCGATGATCGACATCACACCCGCCATCCGAATATTCGGGAACGTCCGCCTTGGTCAGCCTTGCATTTCTGGCAATCCAACATCCATGGGCCATCCACTAGACCACCACCACATCTCCATCGTTGTCGTGCGATGAGTATTTCTCGCAGTCGATAGTCTTTTTTTGACCTCCTAGCTAGGGGCTACGGAACCGGGTAAGGGGCACTCGCATGGTTGATATTTATAACCACCATCAAATATCGGATGAACACCCTACGCGAGACATTTCTCTCCACGATGATGCGCTCGATTTAGTATTTCAACGGTGACCCCTGAGAGCAACGATTTGTATGGCAGAAATGGCTTTGGCGAGCTTCCCGAGCGGCGCCCTGCACGGTGCCAGCCGACATTGGATGACCACAATCCCCCCCTTTTGAACCCTAACCCTTTTTTCTCCTCGGAGTGGACCGAAGAACGACATCCCCCAACTTCCTCCAACTCTCCAAGTCCCCAACCTGCACCTAGTGGTCAGTCATTTTGCACCCAACACTCAACCATTAGTACTCTGGACTGGGACCTTTTGGCCTTCCTTCCCCTGAACTCATTGACCAAAGAAGTTAATCAAAGGAAACTCGTCATAACCCCAAGAACATGTCGCTGCGAACTTGGATCTCCGCTCCTAGCTGAACAAAGATAAACCGATCTGTGTCCTGATGCACCGACCTCTACCCACCGACATTTGCTCTTTCTAAATATCGTCATCAATCTACTTGCCTACTATTGGATCTCAAGCAGATCACGAAAGGATAGACGTATTCCACATGATTCAGTCCTCGTCTTCACTGTGTCGTTCACACAATGCACAGCTGCTTACCTAACTGTTGGGTACAGAGGCGCGTGAGGGGCCTTACCGCTCCGCTTCAGGGGCAGTAGCAATGCAGGACGCTAAACTCCCAACACATGATTTCTTGTTCATGCAGAACTCATGTTAGTCACTCGGCGTATTGAACGTCATCCTCTTCTTGTAATCGCGCAAAAGAAACTGAAAGTAATGTGAAAATGACCTTTCCTTCTATAACTGTCTTTTTCGAATTGAGATTTGCCACAGAACCTGCCAAAAAGAATTATTGTTAGGAAGGCTCGATTGTCCAACTGGCCTGTTGTTGGATCGATGTATCCCAAGTCTAGCACTTAGCGTACGAGCCGCCCACCTGCCTGGCGTCACCGCATCATGCTCTTTCGATTATTCCTGTGGCAAGCGCATTTGACTGGGATGAACCTTCCATCTCCTCGATCGGAACTCGGGCCGAGAATCTGAATCAATGCCATGGGATGGTATGTACAAGTCGGTGGCTTCGGTTGAACCTACCGCTATCCAGCTTTTACACCCGGTTCCCCCTCATGGTGCGGTGATGTTTTCTTGAGCTGCTAATCAAGCTCACTTCGCTTCTTGACGGCTCACTCCCGACACGACTCTGCTCATTGCGCCGCTAAGACAATTACCGGTGTTTCCTTTTTGTGTTGACTAATGCCGATCGCATCTTCTTGTTGTCCTTCACGGAAGAAAGTTACACGTCGAAGAATGGGATGCTCCTGTGGAAAGTTATGTGTTTGGGAGAAGCGTTTGCCTCCTATTGTGTTATCGAAAAGACAGCGATGTCGAAGAAATTCATATATCAGGAAGAATATGTTAATTTGATAGACCTTGGCTGAAGATAAACTGCTCAAGTTTTTGACCTCCCAGACGCTGGGCTCTCGAAGCAATAGGGCGATGCCCTTGTCCGTGATTGTTCGTGGAACAGTCATCCAGCGGAATGCATCTGACGCCGCCTACACCGGCATCACTTTCGATCCTCCGACCTCGCAGCATATGTTAGACGTTTTACTACTCAAGAGGTTACTTAAGATGTCTATTTACCTGTCCCTTTTCTCATCTAACGTGTGTCAATTGGCTCAATGAAGAGAGAGAAAAGTGCTGTGGTTACTATCCAGTGGCCAGCACCAGTCGCAATCATCATATCCATGCCCAGTTCTACAGTCCCTGTCCTTGAAGCCGCCGGATGCTTGACCCTTCCCTCGAATGAGAATACGAGAGCCTCAACTGACTCTCAGCCTCAGTCCATTATCCCAATTGCTCCGAATTTCCAACAGTCCAACACTGCCACTTATTCAAAAACCTTCACAAGACAAAACCTCCTCACCCGCCAACGCTCTCGGCGCAGTGACCTTGAAACTCCCATTCTGAAGCACCTTCCCCTCCCCTCTCAATTAGCTCTCTCACCCTTTCCTCTCTCCATCTCAGCCACCCCTTTTATTTCTCCAAAACCTCAGGTCCCGATAGGTAGGTAGGTAGGTAGGTAGGTAGGTAGGTACTCACCTCAATCTCCCAAACAGGCGGATCTCTTTCCCAAGGATCTCCAAACTCCCTCCTCAAAAGATCCCCAAGACTAATCGGATTAATGTCGAACATTGCTCTAGGGTAAACAATGATTACTCCAAAAGTGTCAAGACTAGTGGATCCACTTCGTTCGTGGACGGTACTCGTATTTCCACGCTCGTTACTACCTCTAGAGCTGGAGGTGATCACACTTGGTGCGCCTGTAGATGCAAAAGCTGCTTCGGCTTCGGCTTCATGTTCGTCGACGACAGGAGGTGGAGCTCTCGAGATGGGAGTTGTACCGTTTAGGTTGTTGTTGTTATTGTTGGTTCCATTGATGGTTGTGCCGCTAGTGCTGGTGGGAACTCCGTTGATGGTTGTTTGAATGACGTTAGTACCGTTTATTGTGATTCCACTGATGTGAGTTCCCGATATGGTGGTTCTGGTTATGTGGGTACCGTTTATGGTAATGTCTCTGATATGGGTGCCGTTGATGGTTGTTCCAGTGATGACTGCCCCCGTTTCTGCTCCGGCTCCTGCTACTGCTCCTGGGGTTCTGATGTGGTTGGAGGGTTGGCCTGAGCTACCGGTTGCGGCTCTGTGGGCTGGTGAGTGCATTTGTACTTCTTCGCCTGTATTGCTTTCGTCGAGATGGTACCCATTGGTGAGGTGGCCGTTGGTTGGAGGATGGCCATTGATTGGGGGATAGTTAGTGGCTGATACAATGAGCCCTGCTACTTCTGGATCTACTGCTATGGTATATGCATCTGCGGAGAGACTGCTCATGGTTGTGTTGTTCCTGATTGACTCAGACCTGGTGCTATGCGGCATGATGAATGCTGATTACTTTAATCGTGGTTTTTGACAGCTGATTACAACATCTTGACTTTTATATCATCAGGCAAGTATTATATGAGCAGGATTCAAACTCACAGAGCTCCTACTCCTTTGTGTTTTAATTAACACACTCTTGGTTTGCTTCCCTGACAATAGTAGGCACTCTCATGTTATCTGCGCTTCCAAGAGACGAGACATACCCATGTGGCCCTTGGATTTTGCACTTCTTTATACTTCGCACTGCATCAACGAAGATACACTAGTACATTCATCCACTACTTCCAAGAAACATTGATTGGAGCTTTTTGGTGTGATGTTGCTGCTAGGCTGGCATCGTGGGTACCTAGACAATGCTTTTTGAATGACGTGGGAGCTTAGGAACCTCCTTGCCTTCTTGTTAATTTGAGTCTTGGAAATGTCATCTGGCTTAAGTCTGAGGCAATAAAAGTCAAAAGTGAAAGCGAATCATGCATTTTTCTGGACACACCCCATGCGGTTCCTTCCAAGCGTTCCGCCGAAAGCTGAGGGTCTTCATTGTAATATTGTTGGCGCTGTTCATTAGCTCACATTGATTTTCTCCCTTGGACACGACGTGCAGCCATACGAATCAGAATCTAGACATTTTCTCAACATATCGTTCAGTTTTCCGCACAATTGCTGACTGCTTAGCCTCTCTAGCTATTTACCATTGCGCTTCTTGACGATGAGCAAGCCGGATTGTACCGTGTCGAGGAGTTCATGGAGAAATTCGGTACATTTTGGATTGGCATGGAGTTCTTCGATGAACTGTGGAAGTGTGTAAGTAATCACAATGTTATGACCTTGCGGGAAGGGATGTGTGGCTGTTGGTTTCTTGGCAGCAAGTGGAGCGGGAAGAGGGGGCTTTGATTTAACAAAGTAGACGAACCTTGGTAACCTGTGGCTTTACAATTGCTTCCATCTCTCTGTCAGGGCTGTCCAAGTTCTCCTTTATCGTAAAGAAGGTGTCTGTTTTGAAGGAGCACCAAGCCTGGTCAACGGCACTCCGTGCATGAGTGAATTCGGAGAGGAGCCTCCAACCGCCGATCAGCCAGGTAACAAACTCAATGTAAAGACAACCCAACGTCCACATATCATACTGTCGCCCATGGCCACCACCATCGGGTAAGTCAATTTCTGGGGCGCAATAGCATCTCGATACCATAATGGTTCCTCGGATCCTCGACATGGTGCGCTTGGTGCTGATAGCAGCAAGACCGAAGTCTGTAAGTTTTAAAGTTCCGCCTTGGAAGGCTGATGATCCAGTTGGACCTTCGTTTCTGTCTGGAAACCACAAGATGTTTTCGGGTTTGATGTCGCCATGATATCCGTATCGATCACACTGGGAGGGGTTCAATCCAAATGAATCATATTTGTGAATCGCAGACACTCCCTGAGCAATGCCGTGGCATTGTTTTGCAACCCACCGTATGGTGTCATTGTCCAAGTTGGGACTCGGGTTTTTGAACCGCCAATAGCCGTCTAAGCTGGCCTCTGCCCAGGGAAAAACCAGGTAAAAGCTCTGTGATTGCTCGTAGGTGGCCAGGAGAGAGATCAGATGCTGATGTCTTTCGTTGCTGAATTTCTTGAGCACATCCACCTCTCTTAGAAACAGTGCTTTGTCTCTAGAGTGTAGTTTCTTGATTGCGAATTGACATGCGCAATCATTGTTTCTTTTCGGCATGGCGCTCGTTGGGCCAATAGGTGTGATAGCATTGTGTGTAACAGGAATAGCCCAGGGGCACTAATCGGCATCAGCCCTTTCTTTCTTCTTGACAACCTAGAGGTAGGCACAATTGTATTGTCTCATTGCACTTACTAGTCTATCATGGAAGGTATGATGGTCAGCATGAATCTTGACCCTGAAGACTCGGCCGCCTCCACCTGCGAACTCGTATTCCTCGCTTGGGCTTTCTTCGTCATCACCGAGAAAGGGAAGAATAGCCTTTTCGGGTAGACGATAATGAAGGACACGATGTTTGGTGCTCGGCCGGGCCTTTCCGAAAAAAGGAGCCAAGGTTGTCCACTGCATCTCTTCGAATTGGCTCAATAAAAGGCAGCCCCATCGCTCTGGAAAGCACTTCAACCTGACCTCTGGTGTTTTCCGACGTCGAAGATCGTATATACCGCCATGGCGACGGTATTTTGCTTTGAGCGGAAGATCCGAATCATTGACGTTCGTTTCCAAGAACTTGACAATCGCCGGCACCTTGTCCATCATCACTAGGATAGCAAAAACTTTGCGAAAGGATTGTATCTTCCCCGGTTCGTTGTCATTGGACGTTGTGCAGGGTGTTTCAGTGCAAATCATTCGCGCAAACTGGGATATTTTGTCAAGGTCGTAGTTGTCAAGAGATTGCTGTCTTCGGAGTTCCTCCCTGACCGTTCTGAACGTGATAATGGTGGAGAGGGCGGTTGCTGGGAAGAACCCTTTTGCGAGAGGGGTAGTGCTGTTCTTTCTCTGTAAAGCCTCGAATAACCGATCTTGAAGTGATTTCCTTGGAATAGCGAAAATCCTGCTTTCACCAGACACCAGCGGAGTTTGAACCAGGCTGTCTGTTATACGCGTGCGGCCTTCATTGTACATACGTTGACCCAAGTCGCTGATTTCGCTGGGCTCCTGGTGTATGTCGGACGCTCTGGCTGTTTCCAGAACAGGAACTCCACGTCCCCGGAAGGGAGCAGTTGCAACGCGAACATGATGGATGTTACTGACAGATGTGTAAGGTTCCGAAAGCATTTGCTGCTTTGAACAAAAGTTAGTGGGGTCCTCCAAAGATGAGATACATTTTCGGAAATCAGAACGGATTGACGACGTACCGATGGAGCTACCAACTCCTCAAACGATTCTTCAATCTCGGGCCTCCGCTCGTGGTACGACTCATTGCGCCAATCATTGCCGAGTTGATGCTCGTTCTGATCATCTTCCTCAGCTGAGCTACCGATATCGCTCGGTGATGGCGAAACCCACTCGTCATAATCAGATAGGTCGGAGTTGAGATAGCTGTACGAGTCTTGACTTGGTTGAATGACTAGACTGGCTGGCAAATTTTCTCCATTTTGTTCAAGTGTAGAGTCAATGGTAGCTGGCTGGATAATGCGGACAATGGGGTAGCTAGCAGAATCCGAACTCAGAGCGTTGTGTACTGCGTCAGAGGTGCTGTTGCTGTCAGAATCGATGCAGTACTCTGATAAATCTTGACTGCCAGAAACTCCAAGCGAGAAGGAAACGGCTCGCCCTCACCTATGTGGCACACTGTTAGAAGCCTCCATGACATGTAATTACGGTGAACGCCAGTCGGATGTTGTGAAAGCCTGTGTTGATGGAGACAGGTGGTAATGCGCACCAAGCTTAAATGGTCTTTCGATACCGTATCTTGAAAAGCAGGGCGTAGGTTGCCTCCAAGGAATAGCCAATGCGAGACATCAAGTCAAAGGAGGCTGAGAACAGACAGTACTGCTATCCTTAAAACAAGGCGTTGTTGGTTGGATCACAGCATACAACTCAGCTTGTCAGGGATGAGTGGCAGGTGGCTTCTCGTAGGTTACATGGCCCATTGCCTGACCAGCTTGACGGGACAAGCGTCTACCCAAAATGGAAAAACGGGAAAACAGAATGTTGCTCACGAGGCTTAGGCGGCCATGTAGATATCGTACGAAATGCGCAGATGTGTGGTCGGTGGCTTTTGCTTTCGATTCGTGTTTCAGGGTGGCATTACATGGCCCCCATCCTGTTATCCCGATTTTCATCGTTTCGGTGAGAAGGGCGATGTCAATTGGGTAAGGCGCCTTGCAAAGCATTTGGAACAGAGGTATCTTGAAGGTGAGGCCCGGTAGTGTCATAACTCAAGTGCAAAAAGACTTGCACTGACTCAAGAGGCTTGGTCTCGCTTAACGCCGGTCATCCTATACGGCAAAGGCATAGCGTAGGCGCCGTGTTAGGCTTTCTCTGAGCATGTCAGACTACAATGAGTTGCCTCCAAGGGATATGCTTTTGAGATCTTGCGTCTGTGAGATATATAAGCTCTCTAGCCATGATGTCTTTTCTCTGCTCCAGCAATACCAAGAACAACCTAACTTTGACGACATCGTATCATCTCACATACACGCCCGATCACGCCAAACAAAGAGTCGCTAGAGTAACGAAACATCTGCATTTGAGATACACTAGGTAACAACAAAATCAGCAATGGAAAGACTTGATGAATACTCGGTGTCTGGGGACAACAAGAGCAACAATAGCGATACCAACGAGAATATGGATGGCAAGCCTGAAGTTTCCTCTGGATACCAAGGACAGACCTTTGTCTATCAAGAATTGCCGGCGAGGATAACAAATCCAGTGAAACTGGCAGCATTGCTCAGGACGCAATTTGGGGTCGGAAAATACGAGGTATCGGTGAGTAGATGCTTGGTTTGACTGATTCACTGGCTCGCAAACTTACAAATATGTTATTTTCGGCAGATGATTCGGAGTGTCTACAACGTTGGCACTCCCCGAAGGCTATCTTTGACAGAAATATCACTGTGTAGAGGGCTGTGACGAGGATGGATTTCGGTGTACCGGTGGACGGGTTCAAGGCACTCTGCATCCATGTCAATACCTAAGCTTTGATTCCTCTCTCCATCGTTTCCTGTCTTGGTCCGCGCACCTTGTCTGTAGTACCTTGTCAATCTTCATCTGTACCGCCCAACACATCGAAGGAAATTGAAGGGAAAATCATGACTGGTGGCCTCCTTTGTGCCTGCCTCCTGCATACATCGAGAAGGAGCAGGCTCTCGAAGCGCCGTGGCTTGCTAGCCTGCGCGAAATCATGCATGTCAAGAAAATATTGGGAGGCTTCGAGTTGGGGGAAGGGGGGAACTTGCAGTTCATTGCTACTCTAGAAGCATGGGGCTTTCTAGTGCAGTGAACCTAGTAGGGAAGGTGTGGTTGCCTTCAGGTTGCCTTCAATTGCCTTATCTGCTATTGCCGTTGGGGTGATGACTTCCACTTGGTTGCCTCTTCAGCCTGTCCAATACTGGGAAGATTGTGTCAGTGTCTTTTCATCAGGCTGAGCTTTATGATCGGCATCTGGCATCAGGAAAAGTATTTTCTCAAATCTGGAAGGATTGGGGATAGTAAATCTATAAGACCCATGCGGTGCCCCCTAGCGTGATGCCGACAGGATGATACACGAACATTCATCCACAGCCCGACGTACCTCTATACAAAACATGGCTTGATTCGATTCACTCACTATTCGACTTCACAATATGGATTCATTCACCGCCTCTGATAGAAAACGTCAACGGAGCTTCTCGGAGACCAATCCCCACAACCTCGCTACTTCAGTCGTAGACTTGGCGTTGAGGCCGACATACAAGAGACTCCGTCTGGACGACAACTATGTCGACCATCTTGGCAGCCAAGCAGCGCATGCCGAAGAGGGCTTGCGATCTTCGTTCTCGGGCAACCTTAATTACACTCATTACCCTTCTAGCTCTGTCAGCGATGCAAATGGAATCAATGACAATGGCATGGGTTCTAGTGACTCTGAACCAGACGACCCCAGTTTGTACGGAGAACCGGAGGTGAAAGCCCTGAGCGATCAGATCCAGAACAGTCTTGTCAAAAGTCCGCTACAATATGGACGAGTTTTCCTGCCAGAAGGCGTCCTAGATAAATTGCTCACAAAGGACGCGGTCCGCCACGAACTCTTGCGCAATGGAATCCACCTTGACCCCCCCCAAACTCGATACAATGGTTGATTTCATCGTGCCGGGCGCAAGAAAGTTGTTTGCAACCGCTTTACTTACCGGGCTCGACTACAAGAAGCTACATGCGGCCCTTAACGAGTTCTTGCGGAAACCCATTGACGACCGTTCGTTACCACTCGATGAACAGAAACTCGACGACCTTCTGGAAAAGAAACGGGGAAAGACTCCGATATGGCGGACCGACGTCAACATCAACACTTTTCTGACCAAGCAATGGGCTTTCCTTGCGCCAACCTTTCCACCGCCACCCGGACCTCCTGTAATGGAAGTCTGGGGACACACCGTTCTCCCATTCATTGACAGAAATGAGATCGTCGATGATGTGGGTGCCTTTGGGTTTGTGTATGAAGTTACCCCCCACGAGGCAAACATTACCGATGTTGGCTTGAAGGTGAGCAGCTCAACGATCCCATCTTGTGATCATTCAGCACACCAAAGTGAGTAACCCGCTGACAGCACAAAATAGGGGTCGCGAATAGCCGTCAAACGTCTCAAATTTCAACAATCCAAGGATACTCCCGAACGGCGTGAAGAAGAGGTGGCGTGGAACAAAGAAGTAAAGATACACCATGAGATATCCCAAATGAACCACCCTCACATCATCGATTTCATTTGCGCAATTCATGGTGTCATTATCGACAGGGGGCCGGAACATTTGCTTTTGTTCCGCTGGGCTGACCAGGGCAACCTCAACTCATTTTGGAAGAGCTACCCAAATCCGAGAGTCTCAGCATCCCTTGTTCAGGAAATAATGATACAGTTTCAGGGACTCGCCGAAGCACTCAACAAGCTGCATACGCCTGGAAAGAAAGGCTCTTATCGGCATAGTGATATCAAACCGGACAACATCCTCTCGTTCAGTACGCCAGGCCGCATGTCCTCGGACGAACACCCAGATATTGGCACGCTTAAATTGTCTGACCTTGGGCTAACTAAATATCACGTTGAGGCTACTGGTTATCGGCATCAAACAAGTGCCAAGTACACAACGCACAGATATCAAGCACCCGAAGCTGCGACTAATGAAGATGGTGCAAGATCAACGCGGTACGACATCTGGTCAATGGGATGTGTCATGCTAGAGTTCGTCATCTGGCTACTCTACGGAAACGATACCTTGAAGCAGTTCAACGTTCAGATCACCACCAAATCTAACGGGTCCTGGTTCATGAAGAGAGGCCAAACTGCAAAACTGCACGATACCGTGGCACAGACAATGAACTTCATGCTGGAAAGTGATCCGGAGTGCCAGGACGGCACTGCTGTAGGCGAACTCATCAGACTAGTCAGAGAAAGACTACTAGTGGTTCACCTTGGGCCGGATACGAAGAAGCTCCAGCGGGCGGAAACTTTCAAGGGTGTCGATAGCACGATCAATGACATTCCCAGCATTCAGGTGGAACAAATCGAAGATGGCTTCGTTTCACAGAGAGGGGACATGGACACCAGGATTGCCCAAAACCTGTCGGCAAGGGGCCGTGCCACTTCCGAAGAGCTTCTCGATGCGATGAAGAGGATTGTAGCCAATGGTAAAGGGAGTCAGCACTACTGGTGCACGGGGCAGGGTGATCGTGCTCAGATCACTCAAGAATTACTGAAGCTCTTGTCCACCACGGACAGAACCAGACCATCGGGAGGTGATTCATTTCTAGCCCTTCCGCGTGCGGGTGGAGTTGGTAACAATGGCGGTCTTTTACCTCCAAGGGAGACACGAAGAGAGACACAGGTACTGGACATACCTGATCTAGTTTTGCCTTCGACGCAGACCAAAAGAGTATGTATTCCCGTCATGCACACTGTTGATCCGAGGCTGTGATAATGACTCGACTAACCACAAATATCCCAGATTGGCACGGTACGTAAGCTATAGCGTCCACTTACTGAATTCATGAATTATTTGACAGCAACTAACTGATTCGGTGTCATATGCCGAAATAGGAGGTGAGTAAACTATTCCTGCCCATGATTCCAGTTGTAATGTTGCTAACAATATTCAGTATGTAAGTGGACTTGCTCCATAACATCTTCATCTTCAGAAAGCAGCATAACATGTTCGCTAATCCCGTTATCACTCGTAGAGGGTAAGTTAAGAAGGTCCTTGAATTGGTGACTGTTGTATGTTGCTGAACCCTTCTCACTCCTATAGGTAGTAAGTCCTCTCCTTTATCCCGTTTTGGTCGTTGCAGTGGCGCTGACAATGTGAACAGGTACAGGTGAGCCAGTTCTGTTAGTCCACCACCCATGACAAGAACCCTGAGCACAGCTCAGCATAGCAGAAAGCCCGGAGTTGGCGCTCGGAAACTGCTATGGCTGGGCTGATACCTACCATGTTTAACTTGCCAGCATTCCTCCTCCATCCAACCTCTCAAATTCTTTGCTTCCCTTTGCGTCATGTGAGGATAGGTGATTAAGAGCGGGATGCATGACTGGCAACAGATATTGACTCTGCTCCTTAGCTCGATCGCACGATATACACTGTCGACAATGACTTTGCACGGATGGCAATTTCAGCCATGGGTACCGATGGATTATGGCCAGAGCCCCCATCAAAGTTGTGTGTCGACTGTAAAAACATGAAATTCTTCGAACAGGGGTTTCAAATCGAAGACACCTGGGGGGCTCTCAGGAGGAACCAAGAGACCTGCGAGTTCTGCGCTCTGCGATGGGATGTATGCGTTTCCTGGGATCCGAAAATGACCCGGCTCATAAAATTCAGCTGCGAGGAATCGATGTTGCGTCTTAATGACCAGACAACACCCGTACTTTCTCTCTGCCGGAGCCCAGGTAATTGTTTTGAACAATGTCCGGCACGCGAAGGGGACCAGAATCTTTGCTGACCTTTGCGAAACAGAAACGCAGTTGGAAGACACCGTCAAGATTGGCCTGCCGGGCCTTACGGTATCTGAAGACCAACACTTTGCACTTTTGCGAGGATGGCTAAGATACTGCGACACCCACCATGAGTGCAAACCGTGGTCGAATGCACCTCTTCCAACACGCGTCCTTGACCTTGGAACCATGGACGATACTACCATCCGTCTGCGGGAGACGCAGAAGGGTGATTCCTTCCGCTACATCGCACTCTCCCACTGTTGGGGAAAGCATGAGCATTTCTTCACCACCGCATTGAATCGCCGAGACCACATGAGAGGAATCCACGTTGATAACCTTCCCAAAACCTTTCAACATGCGGTCAAAACCACACGTGGGCTGGGTATTCGGTATCTGTGGATTGACTCCATGTGCATTATCCAGGGCCCTGGCGGAGACTTTGACAAGCAATCCGCAAAGATGGAGGACGTGTTTAGTTCCGCCTACTGCGTGATCGCTGCAAGCAGTGCGCGCGGACAGGGAGACGGCTTTCTCAACCCCAGGAGAAAGTGCGATCACGTCAAGGTCGTCAATGAAAGCGAAAAAGGGGGAGTGTATGTCTCCCGCTTCCGTGACGATTTCAAGGAGCACGTCCTCAACTCCCCGCTTAGTGAGCGAGGATGGGTCTTACAAGAGCGCGCCTTGGCGAGGCGAACCATCTATTTCACGGAATGGCAGACATACTGGGAGTGCGGTGATGGAATTAGATGTGAGACGCTGACACGGATGGATAAGTATGTGAACCCCCAGTCGTACGCAATGTCGTACGCATTGTAAGCACGCGGCTTTTGGATACATTATGCTAACAGAATCCATTTAGCAAACTTATGTCCTACCTCGGTGATCCCAACTTCCCATCAAAACTCTCTGGCGCTGGCAGCAACCGTGGTGAGAAAATCCGCTTTTACGAGGACCTGTATCGACACTACAGCCGTCTCAACCTCACCTGGAAGAAAGATCGGCCAGTAGCCATCGCTGCACTTGAGAAGCGCCTTCATCGAGATCTCAAGTCCTCCGGTGGGTTCGGCGTCTTTGACGACAGCCGCAGTCTGCTACCCCGGAGTCTCCTTTGGCAGCGCGGTGCAGAAGTTACGAGCCTCAACAAGATCAGCTTTCCACCTGACACGCACACACGCCTACCCACCTGGTCATGGATGGCTTACGATGGTGGCATTGACTTCCTTGACCTGCCACTAGGTGAAGTGGACTGGGACGTCAGCGAGATCCAAGGGAATTGGACGAAACACCAAACCCTTGACATACAACGTGGACCTCAGCAACAGGAAGCCAAGGAGATAGAACTGAGTGCCAGAACGAGGAGGTTCAAGATGGGAACGACGGGATCAAAGGAGTTTGATATCATATACGACATCCCCAACCAGGTGTCGAAGGAGACCGCACTTCTGAAGTGTGTGCTGGTTGGAAAATTGAGGAACAATGACGTGCCGAAAGAGAAGACTACGTACTATGTTCTGGTTGTTGTTTTGCGGGATAGTTCGCTGCCGACGGAGATGTACGAAAGAGTAGGCGTCGGAAGGATGCTTGGCGAATACATCGATCTGGACAATTCGCAGCCGGGGAATTGGGTCAAGATCAGGTAGGCGCAAGATTGGACGTGTCGTTCTGCGTGCTGGGCAGGCGGTTTTTCCTCCTCCAGATTGTCACCTCGATTTTCTAATTTCAGATTCTATGATCGTTAACCTCCTTTCCTTTGCTTGGTGCGTACATTTCGAGTACCTGATTCAACGTGCAAGCTCAAGTGGCCGAGTTGTCTGGTTAGGTGATGTAATGAAGCAAAATACGACATGTTGACTGTCGAAGTCTGGAAGGACACTCATCAAGCTCATCGTCTTCAGCGTCGTTGATAGCGCTGGAAACCTCATCGCAAGATCATCAGAGAGCAGCATAAACGATGACCAAAGTCCGAAACTGCTTCCGCTCATGCCAGTTTGATGAATGGAGTGTGAATACCAAGTAGCTCTCCCCCCAGGTCCGGGTGAGCTTGTGTGGTATGAGGAGTGGTGTCATCATCTCCGAGTTTGAAGTGTGAACCCCCTGTGAGAGCGCTATAAGTATAGGTGACCGTCCGCTGTTAGTCTGGTGGAAAGACCTCGATGGCTGAATAATCATCCCTGATTTCGATCGCTATGGATACTCCAATTGGGTGCATGAGTAGAGAAACGTCCCATAAATGCATAACTACTGTTTTCAATATATGCAATGTACGGGGCGTTTAAACACCCCCGTCAATGCGGTATTGAACCTTCCGACCCATCACGTGGATTCGCGAGACACTTTCGCGTCTCTCCAATTCATCAGCATCGTCATCGGCGAACTTCCCGGTGACATCCAAATCACAACCTCAAGTACGCGACGCCGGACACGCTACTTTCCACCAACTTCCACCAACTCTTTGAACCATCAACACCACCGATTGTAGTCGAAACATCACAAGAACCAAAACCGCACCAATGTCTACCCAATTGAACGCGGGAATCCCGCTCTCCCACGCGCCCGACGGCGTAGGCTACAAACTCCTCGAACTTCCCTCAGAGCTAGCTGAACTTTTGGAATCGGAAAACCCGCCTACGTAAGCTTCTCTACCTTCTCTCCTCGATTGTGGACACCTCCCTCGCGCTCACGCTGCCCTTCCGGCTTTCACCGACCAAACTATCCCCCCTTTTACCCGACATCACCCAAAACATGAAACCAAACACCCAAACAACAGATAGATACCTCAACTAACAAAAACAAACCCCGACAACAAAAGTCTAACCCTCCACCCCTCCCCCACCGCCGCCCTCCTCAAAACCACCATCGACGGGCTTCCCAAGACTTACTCCCTTCGACAAAAGAACACCTCCAACGGGCTCATTCTTTTATCCCCATTTACTACTACTCAAACTGCACCACAACCACGGCCAGATAATAAACAGACAACAACAGAACCGGGAGACGAGATGGACATAGAACAAGAACAACAACAAGAACATCAAGAAGAAGAAAAAGGGATGGGAATACCTATCCCAGGCCTCCGAACCCTAACTACCCTCCATGAAACGATCGAGTTAGTTCCCGAAGCGGAAGGCGCTAGTGCGCCGGCTGTGAAGGCGAGGGGGAAGTGGCATGAGAAGTTTGCACGGGGGCGTTAATTTAGGTGATGTCCATGGTTTTGTGGATGTTTTTGTGACACATTTAGTTGGGGGGGGGGGGGGGGGGTTTGGGGGGAGGGAAATACTGGGGGTGGTGCGTTTTGAGAAAGACCTGTGATACCCTGGGAGGAACAAAAAAAAGATTTTGGATTAAAAAAAAAAGGGCAAGAGCGAGATGTTCTGGTTCGAGTCAAGGGCTGAAAACGGTTGGTTGTTGAAGACGCTGGTTGAATATTAGTAAGTGCCCTTCTTCAGTTGCTCAAGTTGATGGACATGTCTGTCCGTTACCTCTCTATCATGGGGACGTTTAAATATTGTGAAGGTATGTCTGATGCCTCAATGCCAACACATTACACACTGAAGGCTAACGGAGACCACGATTGCGATGTCAGTGACTTATTTTCGTCCTTTCACCCATGTTCCTCACAAAACAAGACATATCACTGAAATATAGCATACTATATACATGGCTATTTATGTGCGCACAATGATCTTACTCTATTTGGGGTATCATGAGATCTACAATGTTACTGCTAAGTACGCTTCGCCACGCAATGTGCAACGTCTTGGAGGGCGAGAAGATAAAAAAGCACAAACTAAATGGCTGGCGATGCTCCCGTCTGGAAATGCAGATCAGATACCAACAAATCCGCTTTATACTCGCTCAAAAAAAGAAATAAAACAATAACAATGCAACGACGCTGAATGTAACCAGCGTTTCTCTTTCGGTTTTGCCTCTTTTGAAAGAAGGAAATACCAGATGAACGCTCACGCCACGCCAATGATGCCAACGTGTGTTAGTGAATCGTCATCCTCCTCTCCACCTCTTTGACTTTTTGTTACCTTTCCGCAAGCTGGGAAGAAGATTTCGCTTCAACGACTTCACAGAAACCGTAGCATATGAACGACATTGCTGACGTCTGAAGGAGATGCCATGAAACAGGAACCAACGAGTCATCAACGAAGATAACTTGGACTGACAAGATACCTTCTCTCGTCCAGCCCCATCCACCAGATCAGGCTTGCCAAGGCCGATATCTAGTTTCCCTTGACCGAAACGCAGCATCATTGGCATGGTGAAGCGTTACGAAGATCGGAGCGAGCATCACATCACCCGATCAAACATCCTCTGCACGGTTGGAATCAGGATCCATTCCAGGCGGCCTAGGTTCCGCAACCCGGTCAGAAACCGGGTCTATGAGGACCGAACCCGTATTAGGGGGAGGTGGAAGCGGAAGCCAAGGATGCCATGGACTAGATGTACCACCTCCACGAAGTCAACCCCGTTCATGTCCCCAGCAGGTACTTGCTGTCCAGAAGGCCGTGCAGCTACCTGACCTTGGTGATCCGGTGTCTCTGGCGCCTATTCATCAGCAGTAAGATCGACAACAGGCACCTGCTGTCTAGGAGGAACTGCTACTACCGGGGCTCGGCCAAGGCTTCGCACGTTGACGCCCGGGTTTGGTATATTGTTGGCGGCCACAGGAGGAGGATGGGCGGCCAGCCTTGGCGCAGCGAGTTGCGCCATTTGGGGCAGACCAAATCCATCGTTCGGGGGAAGGGGGCCAAGGCCGAGGCCAAGGAGACCTGGCCCGCCCGGATTCCAGTGTGGAACATTGGCCGGGAAATGCGCGTTAAGCATGTAGTGATGGTCATTATGGTTGTGATGGAGGACCTGGTTTCCAACCCCCGGAAACGCCTGTGGTGCCTGACCTGGATTGGGAGCAGGATTGAGGGCAGGATTAGCATGGGGGTTGGGATGGATACCAAGGGCAGCATAGCCTGCATGTCCTGGGTTCATTCCTTGGTTGGGGTAGCCGTTGGCCACTTGGCCATGTTGTGGCTGAACCGGTCCTCGGTTCCTCTGGGCTGCCAGTTGTGCGTATCGGCGCCCCCACCTCTCCATAACCCGGTCCCGCACTGGTCCCGGCGGCAGTCCTAGTCTTACGTCTATGGCAGAAGCAAAGTCAGTCGAGCATTCGCATGCTGGATGGGAAGCAAGGTCTCGAAGAGGACAAAATACTGACACTGCTGTAGAAGATCGGCTTCGCCTCCCACGGGCTGCACATGTGCATGTGCAGCTCCTGGCATGCCTGGCTGGGCCTGATTTGGCCCACCCACTTGGGGTTGCGCTACTATACCACCCGCAAGCGCATGCCGAAGACGAGCCGGACCCTGACCGGGGTAGGCTACAGCAACACGCACACCGTTAGGATGAGCATGCTGCTGCCGTTTCGGAAAAAGCTTCTCATCAAACTTGATTTCAAGCTCCTTAGCATCAATGCTGGGGTCCGCTTCCAGTAGCTTCTTTCGTTCCCTTTCCTCAGCTTCCCGAGCCTCCTTGTCGTGAATATCATCCAACGACTGCTGTTCAAAGAGAGGGCAGTTGCCCTTTCTACCACCTCTGTTCACATCGTCAAAGTGGTTATAATCGCAAGGCTGCCTACAAACGTAGCATTGCATGGCTCTGCATCTGGGACAAGTCATCTTGTTGCAACCGCTTTCTTTGATGAATCGGTTATTGCCTACGCCGGTTAGCCTGAGTTAGACGATCAGAGGAAATTCCAATGAAGACTCACATTTGTAGCACTCCCGTATCATAGCCAATGATCTGGCCTCCTCGAGTTTCCGCTTGGCGTCCTCGCCCTTATTACGGGCTGCTTCAGCCATGGCCTCGTCGCAAGACTTGCCGATGTGAGTTTCTTGACGGCAACGTCGGCAGCTTTTGACCCCACACTCCGGTTGTTGGCACTCGAACTCCCAGTTGACCTCCACTGGGGGATACTCCGCAGCATAGTTGCAAAATGGACAAGTCTCCAGGCCCTCGATACCAGCACGTCGAATGCTGTCATTTTGCTCGATTTGGTCCAGGGTACGCTTCAGGCGGTCATCCAGGAATAGGTCTTTTTGATCTCTGGAAAAAGTTGCTTCGCAGCCATCCATAGACATGCAACCTAGATGATACCGCTGCTGTCCAATCTGATTTTCCGCTTGCCGCCGAGCGCAGTCGTAGCAGAACCAGTGAGCAGTGTCACCATCGCAGTGCACCATGCGATTGTAGGGAAGTTCGTCAAAACAACACCCGCATTCGGTGATGGCACCTTCCGCCTTTGCGTTTTCGAAGTTTTTCTTGTCTTCCCTCTCCTGGGCTTCTTTGGCGGCGTCCTTGGCTAGTTTTGCTGAACATACCTCCTGCGCTGCGAGAAATTCTTGCTGTGCCTCTCTGCCGGGTAGAGTGATATCTTCTTTATCGATTGCTACCTCTTCGATGTTGTTCTTGTGTCTGGGATACAATTTCCTGCGAAAGGTGACACCATGCGGTTTCGAAAAATCCTCATGTAGGGCTGAGTACGTTTGATAGACCGAAGAGTTGTGCGTTAACATTGCTTCCTCGATGTCGCCTACATATGCTTTGGGAAAAGCTTCCCTGAGAAGTAGCCGGCTGGTCCAGGATTAGTTATGGCTTCAACTTTCGGGTGTGAATGGGTAAAATCCAGACTTGTCTCCAGAGTCTAGCGACGATTGAGAGACTCACCAGACGCGGCTATAATTGTGGTCTCTATGGTGTTGGGATACACGGCCCTCATATTTTTCGTGCAATTTTTGCAGCTTCGACTCTTTCGCGTTGTCGCCGACATCCGCATCGTCTCGTTTTCTTTTCTTGACGCGTCTTGGATATTTGGTGCCGTTGCCTTCTTCCTCCAAGATACGATTAAGGAACAGTTCTGAATCCCATCCGCATGCATGACCCTGCTGCTGGGCGTAATCTGGACAAACATCCGGTAGAAGGCTTATAACTGTGGCCAGAAACGTGTCCTGGTCACGTTGTGGCCCTTGTTCTGGCACCGGTAGTACAGCAGGGGGTGGCCAACCGTCGTCGACGAAAACCCTGCCCAGGAAATTAGTATCTTTATATCTCTCGCAACGAAACCATGTCTCTGAATGATGATGTGGAAGAGGTTGTCTCCAGCCTGTCCCGTCTTCTTTTTCCTTGGAACTTTCGCCCTGATTCGAGTGAGTGAGTATAACGGGATTTAAGAGTGTGAACATGGCTAAAGGGCACCGAGGTAGGTTTACGCCTACGGTGGTGATAACGACGAGGAAAAGAAAAAGAAAACAGAAGGGCGCTTTTGGTAATATTAGTGAGCGGGGGATGGGTGTGTTGACCACTTTGAATAGCGAGACCAGATGTGGAAGTTGTGTTGTATGAATGGTGAGGAGAGAAGATGGTCGTAGTCTTGCCCAAAGATAGTAGACCAGGCGAAAATGATCCAGATACCGGCTAAGAACAGGACAACGAGGTGCTTCGTTGGAACCCAATTCTGCATGTAATGGAACGTGAAGCCTGAGAGAGAATCTCCCAATGTGCGCGAAGTGAAGTGTATCTGGTTGAGAAGTCCACCCACCCCGCAAAGAGAATGAAACATCGGGGATGCGGCTCAAAACTTGGTCAGATGCATGGTAGTCGGGAGCGACGTCAGGTCGATCTGGTGGTTCGACATGGCCAAGATCTGAGAGTGGGTAAACCACCGGTACATGATCAAGGCATGAAGAGAGAATGAACACGAACGAGAATAAGAACAAGGCGTGATGGGGAAAGATCATGGTGGTCCGTGAACACAAATTGGAGTAACTCACGGGTTAGAGGCACTCATGGCTCAGGCTTTGCTTCGCCAGGTAGTTCGATACGTGCTGACGACGAAAAGACGCAAGTTGGCGAAGCTGCAGGAATAGCGAGGCGGAACATGTGCCGGGCAGCTTGCGTGGAGCAGGTTCTATTTTCTCCCCCGAATTCGAGGAAATCAATATGTCCCAGCCTGTGGCTTGCGAGTGAATCCCGTCGGTGTCGCCTCGGCTCGTCCGAGGTGTTCGTGAATGTTGTGATTAGGCGGGTGAGTCGAAGGTTGCAGGTTAGTCTCGTACGATCCGCCCGGTTCGGTGTTTGAGGTTTTTGAGAGCATAAGTTGAACACTTGTATACAGGTTGACGAAGTCCCATCACAGCCCCATGGTCCGATGATGGGCAGGAAAGCAGGATGCAAGCGACTGTTTGGAGATATAATGAAGCGAAGGTTCAGATGGAATGCTCTTGGTTAGCGGGCGCACCAGAGAGGCGACATGGCACTTCAGATTTTTTTTTTGAAAAGCCTGGAAGCGTCGGGCGGTGTCGCTCTTGAATTGGGAATTAAACGAGGCCCAAATCAACCATGCGGCGGCAATTGCGTTGGACGCGAGCTGTGTCGCAAATGATGGATGATGAATCTAGCCAGTCGTGGAGAGGACTAGATGCGCCAGCGGCAGGCGGCCAGCAAACCCATACATCGGGTCCGGTTGAGTGAGGCCTTCCCCAGTCTCCGCCTACTGCCGAACGTGCTGAGCGTGGACCTTGATGACAGGATCGGACAGTGTGAGCAAGCGACACGTTGCCAGGCCACCGTCACCCGTTCATGCGGCTGCCGAGGCAAACGAGTGACCAACGAGTTAACCTCCACCGTCCCGTCGGGAAGCGACAAGATTATGAAGCTGAAGTGCCCGACGGTGCAAGCCAAGAAAAGGCAACCTGAATTGACCGAAATCCATACAACGCTGCCGGGTCAAACAAAAAGTACACAATTGAAGAGTGCAAGTGCCTAAAAAACACAGGCGAAGCTGGAACCTGTGTGGACATGGACTCGCCAACTGAACAGGGCAGGCACATTTTACTTTGAACTGCCCCTGCATTGGTTCCTTCCTTCACTTTGAATGCTCCATCCCGGTTAAACCAACAAAAAAATCGTAAATACGTACCACCCAACTCGTCGTTCCCCCATGCTTGACGCCTCTTATCTATTGAAGAATCAGACCTCCCGTTCTTCTTTGAGTGTTTCGGGCAGGGTGTGTGTCAATACCCAGGAAGGAATACCTGGGTCACCTGGCTGCCTGGCCTAGTTTGTGCAGTTGTTGGACGCCAGCGAAACGGGGTCAGATCATTAGAATCGTCCTCCCACCCCCAATACTCCATTGACTTCGGTCGGAGTCGATCAACCTGGGTTGAGTGTGAGTTAAACTGGCGGTAGCTTCCGGGACAAAGCTTGCGTAATTGCGATGAAGGCTTAATGACCAAAGACAGTTGTGATTATGGTGTAAGATTGATACTAATGCACTCAGCTTGTAGAACAATAGGTATGGACAGTTCGGTTCAAAGAAGAGGCCGTACGAAGTGCCGAGATAAAACACCCCAAGCCGGTTAGACTTGTATTTGTGGTGGGGCACCACCCAAATCCACACGTAATGTACAATCCAATACTGGTTTGATTGTTAGCTCGAGACCTCGGGTCAACTTCCCTTGGCGTGTGCATGATGTGAATATGCTGGTTTTTAAGATAAATTACACCATATTCTTCCTTAGTAATACTTTTCGGATTCATACTTGGTCATTAATTGCATCCATAACAATTTCAAAGACCTCTCGTAACATACAACGCAGCAACTAGATTGCCGTAGTTTCTAGTCACATCCGCTATCGAGAGCCAGGCCGCCCAACCCACCTCTTCACAACACTGCATGCGAGCAAGACGGAGGTCACCATCATTCAATCCTCTAGACCAGATCAGATTGCAAACCAGTACCATATCAACTATGGCCGAACTCTCACACTGCCCAACTATGATGTATGTGACAATATTACAAAAGCTCCGTCATAATATTCGGTGGTTAAGTGATAGAAGCAAGTGGGTATCTACGCAAAGGGCAGCTCAGCTACTACCTCTGAACGCTGCCATATCGGTACCTACCTAGGTAGCACGATATGACCTTCCCGCTCAGAAATCCTCTTCATCATCCTCCAAATCTGACAATTCCGAATCTTCATCTTCGTCCTCGTCCTCATCCTCACTTGAAGGGACATTGCGCCTCGTTCTCCTTCGCGAACCTGAAATACTCGCCTTCGCCTTGGCAGCAGCCGCCTTGCGCTTGGGTTTCGTGCTCATCACCACGGAGTCTTTCTTCTTTGCCGGTTGATCCCCGTTACCCTCTTCCTCGCCGTGATCCACCTCAAGTGTATCCTCCCCATCCTCATCATCCTCATCTACCACCGGGAAGAAAGAGGACCTCAGATGGCTATCCCTTTCTTCATCCTCCACCTCAAAGCCTTCGGGCAAAAACCCACCGCCGCCCATTTCCTCATCTTCACCTATTTCCGCTTCGGCTTCAGATAACTCCCGAATCTCCGCCCCTCCGCTTCCATGCCTTCCAAAGACCTCCACCTCATCACCCACATGCCCATAATCCTGCTTAATTCTCTCAACAATCCGCATCCCCATCAAAAGCTTCCTCCACATTCCCAACGCCGCCTTCCGTCGCTTCTCATCCTCCTTCCTCTTCTTCTCGGCCTCATCCTTGGCCACCTCCTCCATCACCTGATCATGATGCTCCTCGGCAATAACAACCCCCTGAATCACCGGCACCGCCATCCTGTTTCCAAACTCAAAGTCCACCACCGCCTCCGCGTAGTCGATGCCCAACCGCTTGCACACCCGCATCGCGCCGCGGTATGGCACGTGCACCGCTCCCTGAGGGCACATGTGCTCGGCAAATAAATCAATGTTGCCGTACTCGTTCTTGGGTATGACGCCGTTTTCGATGGGCGGCGGGATGATCCAATCCGTCTGGTCGAAGCTGTATAATCCCTGCAGCACTTTCTGGCCTGTAAGCCGCTCGGCTTCCGCAATCTCTCGTCGCCGGTTGTTCGTTGCTGCTCGATAAGGGACGCGCTTGAGCGGTTGCTCGCCGGGAAGGGGAGCTCGCCCTTGCTTGTGCCAGGTTTCGGCGCTCTTGACGTGGACTACGTCCTTGCGGGAGTAGACGGGCTCGTCTTGGGTGGCGGCCGTGGTGGTCGCCGCTTTTTTGCTGCTGCCGCTGCTGCTGCCTTTGTTCCTGAACATCTTGACTGGTCGCGCGTTGGGCAGGAGTGCTTCCTCGCGCTTGAGGTGTCGCTCGAGGACGAACTCTTTGGATTGCTTGTAGTACTGTAGAGTCTCTTGGCCCTCTTTAACTTCCTTCTTCTCGGGCTTGGCTGGCTTCAGGTCCGTCGCGTTTTCTTCTAGATCGACGTCGGTCATGGCGGGCTTGCTCCTGCCGCCTCGAGCGTAGCCTTTCATCACGGTCTGGAACCAGTCGTGCATTTCGTACCTCGCTACCTTGCCATGCTTGTTGTAAACGGGAACTTTCTCCATGGGAATCCTCATGCCTTTTGTGCGCCCAGGCAAGGTTTGTCGCTTGAGGTAGCGCACTGTGACATCCTTTGCTGTGCCGTCTGGCGAGTAACCCACGACGTAGGCCATGACCTGCTTGGCCTTGTCCGCTTTGCTACCACGTGGCTCCAGAGACTCGATCAACTCCCTATTCGTGCCAATGATGGATTTCACGATGGGGTCAACTGGTCGGTACTTCTTGGTGACTGGGGAGAGAACCTCAGTCCAGTAATGGGGGAACTCCAGGTCCTTGTCGTAGACTTTATTCTTCATTCGCGGTGTTGGTTCGGGCTCGTGATCACTAATGACTAGATCGTCATCACTGTCTGCTGCTATGAGCTCTGAGTTAGACCTTTGGATCTTCGTTGTCTTACGGCTTGCACCTCGTCTTGTAGATCTCCCCGATGCCTGAGTTGTAACGGTCTCTTTGGCCATACTCGTGGCTCCCATCTTCTTTTTTGGGGTCGATTTGTGATCTTCTTCCTTCTCCGGATCTGCCTCTTCTACTTTAGTCCAGCCGAACCCCAAGGGCTGTAGACTAGCTACCAACCTAGCCTCCAACCCCAGTCCCCTCAACAATGCTGTAAAAAGTTGAGCGCCAACATCACGACTCCCAGCGCATTCCGAAGCACACTCGCGAAAGTCTTCCAAACAGGCAATTCGCTCTCCAAATCGTTCCGGTTGATGCTCCTCCTGGCTGAAGGCTTTCGTCAGGCGATCCAACCTCTCCAACGTCATGTACCCCCATTTCCGTAGCCCCGGTGCCGTGGTCCGAAACCGCTGCTTCCACCACGCGCTGAGGACTTTCATCAACCGAAACAGGGGATCGCCATGGCTCATATCCACCGCGCCCTTTTCAAGATGTTTCGCTGCTTGACCCCAGTCGCGCGACCTGTCCGCTTTGGCAGCATCTTTCCCTTTCGCCTGCGCCTTTCCTTTCACTTGCGCCCTCGTCTTCTTCTGGGCGGGTGACTTCTTTTTAGTCGAAGCCTCAGTACCACCTCCATCAGGTACCACCACCTCCAACCCACTACTCCGCCTCCATCTATCCACCTCATCCCAAAGTTTCGGGGGAAGATGCGACAAAAGAATTCCTTGCACCTCTGGGTCGCACAGCCAAGTATTACGAACAGCGTTGTGCCAGAGAAGCAACTGCACGTGCACACAATGAGTCGAGACTCGTATCCTCCGCTCTAGCTTGGACGGTCCTTTCTTCCCTAGTGCGTTGGCAAGGGATATGCGCGTGTCGCGGATCAAAGTCAGTTCGAGGTCGCCAGCGGGTACTTCGGGAACGTTTGCTGTGGCTGATTGGGGCTGGTAGGGTTCGACATCTTCGAATTCAAGATCTTCGTCGTCATCCTCGTCTTCGTCCTCGCCTACTTGAACATTGTGTTTTTGTTTCTTGAGGACCGAAACGTCTTCAAAGTCGCCATCGGACAAGGATGAGAGAGAACTGGAGTCGTCATCGGAGCTCTCGTCAAGCGCCAATGCTGCGAGACTGGTCTTGGAAGACGAAGCGGGACTGGCGGTTGCGTCGAGGGCGTCGAAGAGGGTCGGCTTCCGAGGTGGAGCAGTCAATTTGGCGGCGTTGAGGTTCTCTTTTCCTTTTCGTCGCTTTGCATCGTTCTTCAGGTCGTTGGCTGGAGGGGGAGATTCATCGCGGACTCGCTTGCGGGGTACATAGGGGGGCATGATGGGCAAGGTGCTGTGTCTCTTGACGACCGATCATATCGAGGGTCAAATGTGTTTGTTTGGGCTGTATTAGAATGTATCCAACTACATCCAACGCCTCTATGTCGTCATCACAAGACGCGTTCGGCCTTGCGGATGGCAAACAAAGCTCAAGTACCCTAACCCTGAATTTTGTGTGGTTGTGAATTTAGGTTCTTGCCTTTTACCAGTTGTTGTTCAGTTGCTTCAGTTTTCATTGCTTCGTATAGTCAAAATTGTAATAAAGCTTCAACGAAGGGGTTCTCGCTATAGAGAGACTATGTTCACCAAAGAAGACGCAAGGCAGGATGATTAGTGTAGATGGAAGACGGTAAGGAAGTGAAGATGGATTGTTTTGTTTCAGGGCAGGGGAACGACTGACATCACCACCTATGCTAGTGTAGAGTGACTTTACCCCACGAATTGCAGGCAGTGGACTCGCAGTGGACTTGGAGCGCTACCAGTGCCGCCTCTGGTCAACCGGCAGGCAATCTGGGTTGTTGTTGCCCCTGTTGATTACCAGATCTCTCCACAACATCGGTGCATTCGAGACCCTTCCAGATCCACCGTGCGGCGGCTGAAGGCAGCGGCTGACAGGGCCGCGAGGGCCGCTACGGCGCTGAAAGGCAGGCGATGCATGCGCAATGGACCCCCGAAGGCAACAACAACGTCACGACAGCCACTGTTTACCTGTAAAAGGTACCTCTACCTTCTTCCCCTCGGCATCGTTTTTGGTGTACTTGCTTTGATCTGGTTTGTCATCCATCCTCCAAGACCACGTCGCGTGACAGCCAAAGTCTATCACCAGCTTGCGAATCTTCAGACGACAACGACCCCTTTGCCACGCCTAAGCTATCTTTAGCTATTGTGTCACAAGCGAAGGCAGCATCGTCCTTACGACTTGGCAGGGGTGACCATCTACAACCTCGAGGCCTTCACAATCCAGGGGCACTTCATTATTACCAATCCTCCATCGAACGCCCATATATAAAACTGCGTGAAGCTCGGCTTTGCCAACCCTCCTTCTCACCATGTCCAACAACGACTCCTCCGACACCAGCTACGTCAAAATGTCTACCGCCGACGTTGCCTCCCCCTCTGGCACCAGTGCCGGCACCGACGCCAGTCTGGTCGGCAAGCACTGCCAGCTCGAATATTGCAATCAGCTCGACTTTCTCCCTTTCCTCTGCCAATCCTGTCACAAGACCTTCTGCCTCGACCATCGGTCCGAGTCATCGCACAACTGCGCCTGCGCGGGCGCTTGGGCCGAGCGTCGCCGGCTTGCCCAGCTTGCCCGGCCCTCCGCCGGCGAAGGGAAACGCATGCGCGAGCTCGTCTCGCAAAAACCCTGCGCCGACGACGCCTGCAAGACCATCATCGGCACTTCCTTAGTCCCGGGCGTGCACTGCCCCTCTTGCAACCGGGACTACTGCCTCAAGCACCGGCTGGCTGAAGACCACGACTGTAAATCCAAGGTTCCAATCGGGGCGCGAGCAGCTTCCGCTGCGACGGCTGCGGCAATGCAAGCTAGCGCCAAAAGTGCGCTCGAACGGTTCAAGCTGTGGGGGAAAACGAAGCGCGAGGAGGCGGCAAGATCGCTACCGAAACCGAAACCGAGCACGGCTGCGCAAAGGGTGATTGCGGTCAACACGCTGAAGAAGACGGCCAAGGGTGATGACAAGATCCCTCCCGAGAAGAGGATATATCTGTATGTGGAGGCGGAAAGCGAAACGGCCAAGGCGAAGATCCCCAAGGGCGAGTTCTTTTACAACAAGGAGTGGGTGGTGGGGAGGGTGTTGGATGCGGCGGCAAGGAGTCTGCAGGTGCAGAATATCAACAATCAGTCGAGTAAGGAGGAGGATCGGCTAAGGGTGTTTCATGTGGAGGGCGGGAGGATGTTGGAGTTCAATGAGAAGATCGAGAAGGTGTTGGTGAATGGGAATACGATTGTGCTGTTGAGGGGGGTGGGGCCGCCACCGGATTTGATTGAGATGTGAGGGAGGGTGGCTGGTAATTGGAGGATGTGGGATAGTGGCAGTTGGTTCGCATCTTCACTTTATATATTCTGAGAGCATTGGGATGGGCTTTCAGCGGTTTTGATATTTCTCATGGACACTTCCTGATACCAAGTGCTGGGACTGGGAAGTTGTTGGAGCATTTCTTAGATGACTTCACATGTAATGATATTTTGTGCAACTTGTCAATCTTTCCGTAATTTATTCAATAGTGAGCATGTGAATGTAGAGTACCTATAATACACTTCAAGAGCGCATGGGAACAATCCCTTCATACATCTTTGGCCAGCCCATGTTCTCTCCATCATCTCTCTATTCCGCTTACTCGTTCTTCTCCTTGTGAGGAGTAGGCTTCTCACTCAGCGTCTTTTCTCTTCCGATAAGTGGCGCATGCCCAACAGCCTCCTTGCCGCCAAATGTCTCAAAGGCCTTATGGAACACCCATTCGACCGCATTCTCAACTGGCTTGTCGAACAAAGTAGGCAGGAAGGGAACGACCGACAGACCGAGACCAATGGGACCCCAGGTCCGGATCGTCTGGTTCTTGACGTTCTTCATCGCGCGCCCGCTGTACCGCACCACGCTGTGAATCGTAAACGCAGGCAGTCCCATACTGGCCACGCTCTGGAAGATGAGGCGCTGCAGCATCACGGTCCGGTAGTCCTCCAGCGGCGTGATTTTGCCGGGCGTCGGCTTGTCGTCTTCCATCTTCTTGGTGCCGTTTTCATCGATCAAGCCGAGAATGCGCTTCTGGCGCGATGTCAGCTCGACGTTGGGGTCCAGCACCCGCCGGTTGTGCCAGTATGCCTTGTATCCTTCGTAGCTGACGTCGCCCAGGATGTACGCCCACGAGACGCCGTAGGCACCACGAACGAGCCACGGGTGCGCGACGGGGCGGAAGGACTCCCCGATATCGGAGGTGTAGGCGACGTAGCGGTGGGCGGAGAGGAGAATGGTGCGGAAGCGGGAGGCGTAGGCGGCGTAACGGACGTTGGACTCGGTCGAGGGAGGCATGCTGTCGTAGAGTACATGACCAATGTTAGCTCCGTGAGACTGTTGGGCCTAAACTCCTTTCTTTTTTTTCTCCGTGTGTTGGTTTTCCGGTGCAAAACACGTACTAGCCCTCGTAGAGATCATCATAAAATTCTTCCTTGTCAGTCTTGTCGACTAACTTCTGGAGACCGTCGGGCAGCTTTCTTCGCGCAGGCAGCTTCTGGGGGTTGAGCTCGTCATGAACGGCATTCTTGACATCGACAACTTTCTTCTCCACCTTGTCTTGTATAGGGCTGGTTTCTGAAGGAGACTGCTTGGGCGGCGCCGGCTTGTCCGGGTTATTGCTGTTGCCAAAGGGCCACATTGTGGTTTATTGTTGCTTCTATCGCGGATTGTAGAATTTGCTCGGATGCGACGGATTGCGCGATGTTGGCGCGGTGATGTACTTTTATGTTAAAAAAAAAGAAAGGGCGGGCGTTATCTCTGATTTTGCGTCAAAGGTAATAAGAAGTACAAGTAGAAATGAAAACCACCAGGAGATCCAGAGTACACTAAGTAGGATGTGGTGATGGCAAGAAGCAGAATGCGCTGGCAAGCTAACACCATTGAGCTTCAGATGAGCTTCCTCCACTCCGGACCATAAGCCGGGCTCAATTTGAGCAGTGACGTAGCGACGGTCGATAGTGGTGGATAACCGAGCGATAACACGACTTAGCGTGCATGGCGGGGCGACGGGGATGGGGCTGGCGGGCATGTGGGTGGTCCGTGTGTCCTTCCGCGACTTTTGACGTTCTGGACGTGCAGGGCGGCTCGAGGACGGCTACGGGGCAGCGGCTTGGCAGCGGGAGGTCGGGCTTGGCTGGCGGCTTCTGCAACCTCAGGCAGCCAAATTTTCGGCAGGTTGCGCGACGGAGCTTCTCTGGCACCTTTGCGTCGTTTTCCAAACCGTTGAATCCTCCACGCCGGTCCCATCACCACCAAGCTCCGAAAACACCCCGCCAGGACTTCCAACCGCCTCCGTCACAATGGGTCAATACTACAACCTTTTCGGCCAGAAGGTCGCCTCCCAATACGTCAGTGCCCCTCCCAAACAATAGCATAAATAAGAGCCTCCACTAACAATAGCTTCCCACAGCTTGCCATGGGTGTTCTCGGCTCCCTCTTCGGCGGTGTCTACCTCGCTTCCGGCGGCAGCAGCAAGACCCCTGCTACTCCCCCCATCAACGCTTCCAGCTCTGATGAGGCCGACTTCATCAAGTACGAAGCCTTCGACTCTCCTTCATTCTTCGTCCCTCCGGCCGCATTAGCACCCACGTCCTCTTCGTTATCGTCATCACGCATCACCACAAGTGCCCACAATCGCTAACCCCCCCGATAGGAAGTTCCTCGAGACCTCCGAGACCACCGAGAAGCAGGCTCCCGCTGCTGCCCCCGCCAAGCACTAAAGTGCCCGAAAACGACAGTTATGATGATCGAAACAGACACGAGGCGTTGCGGACTGGACTTGTCCTGTGTACATATATAGCGACTGGTTAATGGAATGTTTTCGCCTGGGAGAATCGCGTCAAGGAACCGACATCGTCACACATCGTTGACCTTTACGGATATCACCAGCAACACCCGAATTCCAATCCTTTCTGGGCGAAGTTGCGAGGAAGTTGGACCCGAAGCTGGAGCTGTTATTTTAAGACCAATTCGGCAGTTCATCTGAAGCACCGTGCAGACCATCCTCGATCTTACCAGGATCTCCCTGCCAATTCGCCATTGTCTACCAAAGAATGTTCAGTATGTGGCTTCGGAGGCAACATATTTGGGTGGTGGCCATGACGATGTTGTCAAGCCGTCGCGACAGCACCTTTTCAGGAATTGTCCAATCAAGCGGTTGGCACGAAATCACAAAGACGAAGTCCTGTGACCTGAGGTATCACAATTAGTGGGCTATCTTTCGTCCTTTTTCCTCACCAAAATACTGAGTTTCTCATGGTGCCTTTGCTTGGAGACTCCTTGCCTTCTTGGACGCCAACATTGCATAGTTCGCGGTTGTCAGGCTTTCCTACTAGGGAGTTACATGGTGTGGTGGTTTTCGCTATACCCCAACAGGCTCTGTTCAATGAAGCGTTGGGACAAAGATGGAACCCGTCTTACTCGAAATTGCGTGTCCCGGACAGCTTTCTGCCATAGGATGTCTGTCCATTCGGCCCAATGTTGTAACTCTCGTCATTGAGTCATCTCATGAGAAGACCTATGCTATCGGATAGTTCCGATCAGCTAACGAACTCGGGCAGCATCAATAAATACATCAATTCCTGCCCATTTCCGCTGTCACTGTTTTTGTCAAAAATTTGACCATCACATCACTGTCTCATTCAGCTCATTCTCATTGACAACTCCATCACACCCCCTTGTCATCCTCCCCGATGTTTCCCACTTAATGTCATTGTTGCTTTCTTCAACCCTAACCCTGGAGATGTAAACAAATTCCCTGAACGACGAACCCCATCGATCACCACATCTGGACACTAATGTCCTCCCCGTGCCCCGTCTTCTTCCCGAGTTACATCGCTGTTAAAAAAAGATAAAAAGAACCTTCACCTTTGCTTTTACCTTTTACCTTACTCACCCAATCCCTTTCTGCCAACACGCAAACTGCACAGCAATGGGCATCATGTTCTTGAAGCTGACGAGAATTTGAGAACCCTTTCCTTTTCATTTCTTCACAATATTTGTTGGTGGACGTATATTAGGCATAACAACAGCCCCAGGGAACTGTATTCTGCCAGCTAGTTCTACCAATTCTGCAGGAACAACGACAGAAGTAGTGGGACCTATAAGGCCTAGATACGTCAAGTTGCGCTTTCCTATCAGCCTCGCGCCCAGATCTCTACACAATCCCAACATCCCAACCGATCTGACACGGCCTAAACCGCCCAGACGCTTGGTGATGACATACATCTTCATATTCTCTGGTTACAGCCCCAGAGAACAAAGGAGCCGATATTGGTTCCTTTCTTTCTTCAATATCCACCCCTTCTGATAATGTGCACAGCAATCGCCGCAGCATCCGGTGTGATCTCCTCACCTTCTACCGTGTTGTCCGCTCGGGAGCAGGCGTCCATGATTTTACCGCCGGCGCGGGCGACGTTGTTGCTGTTTTGTTGTAAGACATGTGCCTGTCAGCGCTCTTCCTTCTTCTTGTTTATTCCTCTTCCTTGATGTCCACATTTTGCAGGTTGGGTAGGTAGGAAGGTAGATAGGTGAGTAACTTACCAAATCGTCGAAGCACCATTGGTATCCGGCCTGACTCCAATCATCTCAGCATTGCCACGCACGACGAACGAGACGTGATCCGTGCCCCTGTAGACCTCGCATGTCTGTGTGTTAAGGCGGGCGAGGTAGTTGATGCATTCGACTGCGTCGGGGATCTATTGCTCAAGAAAAAAAAGAAAAAAGCATCATGTTCGGTTAGACATTGAACGTGTTTTGTGTGTGTGGTGAGAAAGAACTTACCGGTGCTTGTTTGCCAACGACTGTGTTGCACATGGCCCGCTTGTGCATCTTGGAGGCTGTTTCGGGGAGAACTTTTGGGTTGAGGTTAGCTCGGTGCTCCGGGTTTTTTTTTTTTTTTTTTTCACTGCCCACATTCTCTTCTCAAAACGCTTTTGGAGCGGAGAGACTCAGTACAGTACTCACCATTGTCGGTGGAGGTGTTGTTGACATAGGCATAATAAGCGTCGAGAGCCTGCTGAGGAGTGGCTGCCTCTTCGGGTTTGGCGATGATCTCGTCTACCCATTTGGCGAAGGAGAAGGGCGCAGGAGCAGAGGCTACATCGCGGGTGGTGGGAACGGCGCCGGCGAGGGGAGTGAGAGCCATCGCGGCGAAGGACAGAGTGAGGAGGTTGACCATCTTGTTGATGAGTGTTATGGGAGTGTGTAAGGGGAATCGAGAGGACTGGCGAGTCTTGGAAGGTGTTGTTCCGATGTTGTGATGTGACAACAGTAAGAGGATTGTTCACCTCTTTATAGAGACTCCCGCCTCCTCACTTGGAACAATCTGCCGTCTACCTCAACCAGCCGATAATAAAACCATAAGACGTGAAGGCATCATCAATACGAGAAGACGAGCCCTTTGCCTGACCTCGCCGTTGCATCAGACTTGATTAGCTTCTCTATGACCTCTTCCTTCACGCGTTCACCGACTTTCGATGTAGCAATTGACCCTCCAGTGCCTCACGAATGTGGCCGCTCTCAGGGCTACTTTCTCCTCGCAGATGAAGGATTTGCCGTCTCCAAAGAGTAAGCTCAACCTGTTCAAGGGTATGGGAGTGGTGTTTCCCACGAATTTAAGTCGGAGCGCTAATGTAAGGGTCTTGATGGGTCAAGGCACAGGAGCGGGTACAGTCTCCAACGGCTACGCATTGCGGCTCCAACCGACCATTTTCACGGCACCATATCGGAGTTAAGAAAGGGAGAGAAGTGAACGCTTCCAATGGGACAGCCAGGCCGGGCTATGCCGTTTCTCTTAGTGTTCATGACCTGATAAAGTGGAGAGCATTTGAAGTTCACGCTGTGTTGATGGTTAGCTGACAGTCGTTGGATCTGACAGGACGGATTTGACAGCGCAGCAAGGTAGGCTGTAGTCGACCCAGTGGTTCTGCGGTCATGGTAGCATGGAAGCTCCATCGAATCATTTGGGGTGTCATTGTGGGTGGAGAGACAGCACAGAAGGAATTGGTGATGCAACGGGACAAGATGCCGATCCCTGGTCTGTCCCGGAGTTAAGCGTCTTCTTGTGATCAGACTTCTGTCGATGTTCACGGACATTTCTTTGTTGCCATAATACTCGGTACACTCTATTTGTGGTACACATGTGATAGTGTCACCTTCTTCCATGAACCAGGCTGGTTTAATCTTTCATTCCTGGGCAAAGCGAAGTTGCGTCTCCACCTGGGTAGGTCCAGGAGACGTGTGTGATGAATTAAACGCTGCCGGGACACTGAAAGAGAACATAAATAAAAACATCATAGCAATCGGGTATTTAAAGCGCCAATTTGTGGTGAATTAACTCATGTTGACCCCAGGTAGCTTGCAAGGACAACACATCAGCATGCGATCTTTGAGCAAAACGGGACATGACAGAACACATATCATGTGTGTTTCTTTTCAATCGAGCAGGACGAATCAAGGGGGAAGCCTTTTATTATGGAGCACTATCTTGCTCAACTTCTGAATGACAATCTGGAACTTGCTATCCCTTTCCTGGAACTCCATGCTGAATCATTCCCACGGGTATCGTAAATCATGAACTCCGTGCACCCTAAAACCAAGAGCCTCAAAACATAGAAGCCAAGCAATGTGCCCTGATTCCCTCAGTCGCTGGAGTAAGGGCCAGGGGTCGCCGGACCAGCCTGAAGAACCTCCGCGTCACTTCTGGCGCATCTGGCTTTATGAGCCTTCTCGAACTGCTCGATCTTCTTGTCGTACAAGGCGTGAGTCTCCTTCGTGGCCGGCATGCTTCTCTCCTCCATCAAGATCTCAAGCAGTCCCTCCAGGCGATCGATGCGCATTCTCTCCTTCCTGACCTTGCTGCGGTGGTAGCCGTCGTTGTTTCTGACATCCTCCTTGAGTCTCTCCTTCTCAAAATCCACGGTTGCCACCTGCACCTGCATCTTGACAATTGCGGCAGCATTGGCGACCTTGGCCGCGTTGGTGTCGTCGAGGCACAACTGTGCCAGACCCAAGTCAACAGGTCTCTCAGCACTGTCCGCCACGTCACGAACGAGGCGCTCCAGCTTATGGTCAACTTGAGTGACAGCGCTGAGAACGGCATCAGTGACAGCCGCGACGGCGCTCGAGGGCGCTGCATTGGCCTGCAAGAAATATTCGCAACGGTTAGCACATGACAGATAGATGATGATGTGTGTGCAACAAGATGTCAGGAAAAGGTGAGTGGAAGTCGAAGGATCAATGAGAATGAGATGTTCAATGGGTGAGGAAACTTACAGCGACCATGCCTTGGGTACCAGGCCTGTTGCGAATGGCGAGGCTGGTAGTGTCCTGGGAGAGCTAGTGCATCCGTCAGCAAGTGAACTCACTATGGTAAGTCTCATCACTCGTCGTGCTTGAGAATCATATCCCGCGCCACCCCGAAAAACCATTAACGGGATAAATCTCTGCGAGCTGCGGCTGTCACACCTGCGCTCGAAGAAGAAAACACCAGGAATCGACAACATTCACGGACCCTGTGTGTTCCCAGGACGACAGGCCATACAATGTATAAACCTGCCAGAGCCCGCAGACCCACTCATTCGCTTGAGATAGCACTTCCTTTGAACGAAACTCAAAGAGCCCAACTACAACGATGGCATCGTGGAGTGAGTACCAAGGTGGACCTTGGCTTCCACGGCCGCGGCCTGGCTCTCAAACCGTGACAAGGCGCTCAACATGGTTCATCTGGGCGAACAGTGATCCCAGAAGAACAGGAGCAGATCTTGTGTACACAGGAGAGCGCAGGCATTTTCACGTAGAGGAAGCGTCGCTCTTGCGGGAATCTGAAACCATTGCTGACGAGTGATGCCGGATGCGAAAAGACTTACCGAAGGAGTGTTGGACATGGTGATGTCCGTGTCACAAGACTCTGCCATTGTGGTTGCGAGGACTGAGTTGCGCTTGAAGATTTTTTTTTTTTTTTTGGTCTGGCGAATCAGGAAGACTGAGAGTTTTTGAAGGTTGAAATGGAAGAGGGAGAAGGAGCAAGATTGGAGGAGGAGAGGAGGGGGGGAGGGGGTTCTTATAGGGACGAGGAGGGTAGTTTGCTGGTCCGTGCAGGAGTGCAAATTCTGGCTGCAGTTCCACTGGGAATTTCCAGTTGCTATTGTGAAGTTCTGTGAATGGGGATTCGAGTTGGGATGAAAGTGTAGGTAGGTATTGTTTGCGCGTCACCTGCAGTTGTGGTCTCACGGACGGGCGGGACGACGAGTCTCGATGGGCTGTGGTGAAGGTCGGGCCAGCCGCTGGACCCACTCCAGCCCGCAAATTCAGCAGTAAAAGGTCTCGTCTGATCTTCAACTCTCGAAAGAAAGATAAGGAATCTCGCGGAGAAGTTTCTCGCGTCCTCTGAGTGGTGGACTGGCTTGAAAAGCAATCTCCCAGGTGGCAGCCTGGCCTTCACCGTCCCCCCGAACCGGAGAGGAGCAAACGGATCAACTCGGCAAGAGGGTGGCAGGTGACAAGCCAAAGGGATCAGACGAGCGGGAGATAGCTACAGGAGGCGGTGACGTCGAACCTTGACAAGTCGTCTTTGGGAAATCATGAAGCATCTGCGAAGTATACTTGGGGACTGGAGTCCGCAAACTACGGCCCATAACCAAACTCACAACGACCTGACCAACGCTGGCAGTAATAGATGACTAGAAGACCAGGAGATGGAAATCAAACTGTGAACATTAATGTTGAGCTTTCTATCAAGGATGGCTGTCAGTGTCGAGTGACATATCACTGAGTGACTACCTCTACACGGTAGGTACCTGACTACTTGTCATGATTTTGCCTGCCGGTTCTCGAGTCTCACCTTGGCTGTGTAGGGTGGTGAATGGTGTTTGTCTATGAATTCATCCCATCTTTCTGCGTCAACCTGTGGATTTGTTGGTAGGCTACGGAGAGTGAAGGGGACTTGCGTTGTGGGCGCGTTGCCTTCACTCGGTTGCTCGTGTCGTTCTCCTTTTTGGGGCAGGCACGCTGAGTATTTGGTCCGTGCAGGAAAAGGTTTAGGCAGCTGCGCAGACACCTTGAAGTCGAGGACCATTCTAGTGAAGGCAGGGCAGGTCCAGTTTCTGGTCCTTGGACTTCCGTTTCCCGCCTCACGCCAAATCTTACTTTCATTTTGGTGTCACGCGAAGACACTCCAACCCCAGTTGTCTGGCCAACTTGCTCTCCCTCCACACGCTTGACACCCGTCTTTGGAGCCTTTACCTGAAGCAAGATGGGGCGTGGTAGCAAACCGAGTGCTGATGGCGTCAAGAAGCGTCGTTTTTGTCGAGGACGTAAAAGACCCAAAACCACAGATCGGGCCCCAAGCAAGCTCTCGGCGGGTACAGACTCTTCTGCCTCTTCACTGGCAAATACCCAGGTAGGGACGCTGTCAACAGTGGTTCAAACATTTGAGAACATCTCGCTGATCATCCCGTGACATGACAACAGCCAACTTCCGAGCCTGTTCAGGAGCAATACACAGCTACCATGTCTGTTCTAGAGCAAGAGCCTGGTCGGGGACAAGACACAGCTTTAGTGGAGCAACTCAAGGCCCTCGTGAAGCAAAACGGGGATCTCATGAAGCAGAATGTGGATGCCTTGAAGCAGAATGCGGATCTCGCGGCTCTTTTGAAAGAGAGCAAAAGGAAACTGGATGTCATGACAAAGAACGCCGAGAGAGCCAAGAAGAATTACATATCCGAGAAGAAGGCGAACAACAGAAAATACGAGGACCGGAAGGAGGAGCTAAAGCAGATCATAGGCAACTTGAACATGAAGCACGACGCAACACGTCAGGAAGTCGCCGATCTGAATGCAGCCATGCACTTTGTGCTGGAGAGAGGACACGAGGGTAAATACTTTGACAAGGTAGGTCGGCATACTTATATTAATCCAGAGAACAGTGCTAACGGACTCTTGGGTCTAGATGTGGTCAAAGACTCGCGAGTGGACGAAGTACTAGGGCTGTCTGTGGAATATCGCCAGTATTATAGGGCCATAAGGATCATAGTGGGTTGATGTGCATGGACTGTGCTGAGATACGGGCGCATGACTGGTCAAAATACGCGACTTGATACTGGCGTGCCCATCAAACTGTTCATTACGTCGGTCATAAAGGGGTTGAGGAACCGGCTTGACTTGTTATGTGCCTTGTGGTTGGTTTAACTTGGTAGACGTCCACTAAAGCATTATGAAGGAATGAAAAGGGCATATTGACTGTCAAGTACCTTAACTCATGACTGGCGACGTGACCCCTAAAACTGATATTTATCGATGTAAAATCGTTCTGTTGAGTCAATCTGGATGAGTTAACTTGCCCATAACTGCTAAACCATGCACGTTCGCACCCTTTCTTTCCTTGAAGACGAACGACGGTGTAACAATGACTTCTTAAAACCTGAAGGAACTTGCGAGCAGATTTCTCAGACAGGACACCATATCTGAATTTTGTGACTGGTGATGAAAGCCGGCTTGTTGATGCATGTTGATGTATGGCGTGGAATGCTACAAAGACATCGTTTCAAAGACAACAGTATGGTATGAACATCCATGACGAATATGATGGGTCTGATATTTGCATAAAAGTCAACAACAATGGAGTATACTTTTTAGGAAACGCAATGTAAAGAGGAAATATCCCACTTGGATACAAAAGCGTCTGTGTGTAAATGATAGGTGCTTGCGGTCAAGTTCACCCGTTGTGGACACTTGCGGTTCACGGGTCAGAAGAAAAAGATAGAAGAATAAAAAGACAAGCATTCGGATTTTGCGTTGACAGCTAACACAACTCAGCTCTGGTTCAACTCATGAAAGTGTGAAGACGGCAATATGTGGTTGAGCAACGATAGAGATATTCGGATGAACTTGGCAGAATATGATTTTTTGGAAGTTTCGAGTTGTACGTAGCATCCTCACTTCGTTTGTTGTTGGTCAGGTATGCAGGCTATGACAGGCAAAGAAACATGACCTGGCTTGCTGCCTCTAGGTCTCAGTTGGGTCAGGCAAGGGAACTTATAAGCGAAGTAAAGTGTTTGACCGGTCAATAGCATAAAGATCTGCGATGACGAGCAAAGAATTCGTCGTTGTGGTGAATATGTAGAGGTATACCTCGGCGATGTTCATTGACGTTACAATGCATTGGAGACAAGTGAGGAGCATGCTCCAAACGCGCATGTCTGACGATGAATCAGCGGGGGTAGCGGGTCGGGTTAGGGTTATGCAACGCAGCACCAGCCTATCAGCATGCACAAGACGACCCAAATCTTCTCCTGAATTGCCAACTCCCCGACTCTCTCAACTCCTCCGACAACGTTTAGGAACGAAAACAGCCACAAACCCTCTTTACAGCGATCACAACACCTCCCGAAACCTCGCTCACTTCCCACACCCGATTACTGTGGATTACACTAAACCCCGAATACTCTCTTGTAGGGGTCAGTGACATTCGGGAATCCGGTCCATCCAAAGACAGACAGGAAGGACAGCAGCCACTCGTTCGCCGAGCCCGCCCGCCCGCCCGCTTTAATAGAAGAACGTCGGGCCACTGCCTAATTGAGGACCTGACCATGTCGGCCGTCGAAAGCGAGGCTGCCACCAATGCCAACACCACATCTAACCAAAACAACAACAGCAGCCAAAACGGCAGCCTCTCGCCGCCCAAGGAACGCGAACGCAACTCGCTGACGCTCGACCAGCGCCGCGCCCTCCGACGATGGGCCAACTCGCAAACCGTCCGGCCTAGCCACAAGGCCTGCATCGAGTGGTTTCAAACGCAATACAACCAGACCATCTCTCAATCGACCGTCTCTCACTCTCTTTCTCCAAAATACGCCCGTTTGGATGGCGACCCGCAGCTCTCCGGCTCGCGCCTGCGCTTTGGCAACTGGCCCGACGTCGAGAAGCTCGTCCTGCTCTGGCACCAGCAGATGGTAGCCTCGGGCCGGCAACCGTCTAACGAGGAACTCGCCGAAAAGGCCAAGAACATCTTCACCCAATTGCCGCGCTACAAGGACGAGACAGCTCCAGAGTTCAGTCCGGGATGGATCCATCGCTTCAAGAAGCGTTATGGCCTGCTGATCCGCCGCCAGCGGCGCCACGGCACGGCGCCCAACCCAGCCGACGACATACCCTACCTCGTCGACGCCGTGGGCCGCTTCATGAGCATCACAGCCGACGTCTCCCCCACAGTGATCCGCGACACGGTCGTGCGCGTGGTGGGCGTCGAGCCTACGCTAGCCACGTGCGCGCGCGTGAGGGATGAAATCGTCAGGAAGATGGAGGGTCCTTCCCCCGCTCCCCATCACCAGCAACCTAACCCCCACCAGAACCAGCATCAGCAACACCTGGCCGGACTCCAGCAGCAGCAACAGCATCCCGCTCTGAACGCAGTTGGCGACACACCCATGGGCGGCTTTTCCCCCGACGACGATCCGGAGGTAGTCCTGCAAAATGCCCTGCGTGCTCTTCAACAAGAAGAAGCCGACGCTGAAGCCGAAGCCGCTGCTGCCCGCGAAGAGCGCGAGCGCGCTGAGCGGGGGCTGCCTCCGCTGGGAACGATTGCCGGACAGGCTTATGCGAATGCCATGTCGACACCTGCTCGTGGTGGTGGTGCTAATGGGACTACTACAGGCGCGAGGTTCGTGCCCGGTGCTACGGGGGTAGAGGACCCGTTGACGCTGACGCCGATTCCGAGTGGAGGACCCGTATCTCTGACGGATCGGCCGGTCAGATGCCCGTTTTGTGTGAATCAAAGGATGTTGAGGACTATCAAGGAGGCGGTCGAGCATATGAGTACTCATGTCGTAGTTTGAGGGAAAGATGTGAATGAGACAGGGACCCTTGCTTGGGACTGGCGTTATGCCTGCCTCGCTCCCCATGTCGAGGCGTGTTTTTTTCTTTTTTTTTTCTTTTTTTTTTTTTGTAATGGGTTTAGTTTAGAGTTTCTTTCCCGTTTCCCGGTCTTCCATTTCTTGTTTTTTTTCTCCCCTTCTTTTCTATTTCTTTTTCTCGTTTTGTTTGTTTCATCGTTAAATATGTCTGCCTCGTTGGGCAACAGTCAGTCAGCCATGATTATCCTGGCATTCCAGGTATCGCTATATCTGCTTGGGACTCTCTGGTGGATTGCAACTGGCGTTTTAGGTGTCAATTTTTATCAGCGGTATACGGTTCGTTGTACGCCCAACTCACTTTTCTTCGGAGAAATGTGAGCTTCGGAGTTATTAGTTGGGGACGTGTATTGCATTTCTAGATGCTTTTCAGAAAGAGTTTGCTAGATCTGGCCTTCGGGCTGGTTGACTTACAAGTGTTACAATAGTAGTGCGAAACGACATCTACTTCGGTACTCCTAATATGTAACGAACTCTGACTGATTGGTGTGAGGGTGTCATGGTTAATATGGATTCCTTTACCGGAACAAGTATGCGATGTATGTTTTCGATGGGCTTGGCATTTCCCGTAATAGTGTAGTATTTGTTCAACTTCCAATGACATTGTATAGCATATCACACATGCAATTATCGAAAGTCGCGATATCTTCAAATGTAGATTTATGCTATTAACTGGCTGCGAGTAGACCACCACTACTCTCTTTTTTCCGGTCATCTTTCGCTCTCATTTTTTTGATTACCAAAAACACCTTGTCTGCACATGGATATATTTGAACCTCACCAACACTGCAGAAACAATACCCCGTGTCACCCGCCATCTCGGTCAACATCTTGAAACACAAAAAAGCCTCTGGGTGTAAATTCATTTCATTCATCATCCATTCACAAGGGCCCCTTTTTCTTCTTGTCCCTTGTCATCACCCTCAGCACCTCCATCACCACCACCACCTCTTCTCAAACCACCACCCATCTTCGACCTCCAGTAGCAACGTCGTTTGGTATCAAATTTAATTCTTCCCTCCTCCCCCACGCCTAACCAAGAATCCATCTCCCAACTTGGCCCCACTGCAGCCTTCCAGCAAGCGCGCAGATCCTCCCCTGACTCTACTTCTTTCCTTTTCCCACCACGGTCACAGACTCCTTTGGCCTGACTCTCTCCTGAGCTGTTCCAAAAAATATCACCGTATCCCAAAGTCCCTGCCGCATCCAAAATGTCCCATGATCATCTGCGTCCCAGAAGTTTTAATGAGTGGAGAGAGACGAGCCGATCAATTCGAAATGTATTACAACGACTGAACCGCGAAGTCCTATATGATTTACGTATGCGTTTGGGTATATTGCGTGGAGTATAGATATCGCATTGTGTGTTGGATGAAGAGCAATTTGTTGGCAGCCGTCGACGAGAAAGATGGTACGTAACTGAGTGCCCAAATGAGTATTTCCCTCCACGTTGCTCGCCTTGCTCGTGTATGTAGCCATCTGGCGTGACTTTTGAAGGCCGAGCGCTTAGGTTACCCAGTTGCTGCCTTCGAATCAAATGTTCGTGAAACATGGCGCATGTGACCATGGTATCCGAATGCGCTGTGTATCGGGATATGGCCAACAAACATGTATGGGTTGGGGTTTCAAAGTCCGTCAGTCCATTATTCCACGTAAACAAGCAGCTTTTCGTTCCGTTGCAGTGCAATATCCAGATCTTCGTCGTTCATCAGAGGGGGCTTCTCGCCACTCGCGTCGTCCTTGTAACTTAGCTGAACGTGCTCGCCCTGAGGAATCTTGAGACGATCCAAAATCTTGTCATGGAGAGCTTGGAATGGAATATCAGTGGGTACGCGGATGGCGATGATGTCGCCGTTGAAGTGCAGTTTCACCTTCATTTGTGAACCACCCTGCATAATAGCAGGTGACAATGAGGTCTGTGAAGCCTGCCCAGGTCCCGGAATCTGTTGGCCGTTACCAATGCTCAGCTGCCTCTGAGGAACACCGAGGCCGGCAGAATATCTGTTGCCGGCTGTGCTCTGTAGTGAGAGGCCGTCGGCTGGTGAGTCAGAGGACGGACCAGATCCTCCCGAGAATCGGTATTCCTCGCGAGCAACGCTAGGGTCGATTTCGTAATCACCCTCTCTAGGAGAAAAGAACTGCTTGACCAGGTTACAGCGGGAGATGTGTGGCGGTTGTTCCAGTAGACTTTTAACGTAAGAGTCAAGGTTGTGGCGGCGGCCTTCCGTAATCGCATCAGTCACGTAATTAACAGGACCGGGCATGTAGGGTAGCGTCCGCTGCTTGCCGCCTGTAGTTCCAGCTTCAAGAGGGAACTCGGTTAGGAGCGCGATTTGGAAGTCGTAGAAATCCTCGTAGTATCGCGAAAGTTCGAAGCATCGACCATCCTCCAGTTCGGCTTCAATAACAAACCAGTACTTGTCCTCGGCAAAGCAGTACCTCGGAACCCTGGCTGCGATGGGTGCGTATAGTGTCGAGGCTGGCCTCGAATAGGGTTGTCCTTGAGCCTGTATCTGTTGCTGCAGAGACCTGTTAGTACAAATACGCACGCAAAGTATGTGGACAGAATACACGTACCTGGGTATGAGTAGTCTGCTGGCTCAACCGGGCGCTTCCTTGCAAAGTTAAGCGGTTCATGGCCTGGTCAAGTGGTTGTTGACCACCACCGCCACCACCAACATCAAACTTGCCGAGCGTTATGCTCGAGTTCTTGTATTCCGCAGCCATCTTCTTCCACTCCTCGACCTTTGGAATCCCAGCTTTTCGTATGGCATCATGCGGGTTCGGGACAGGGGTGTTACTCGCCATGTCCCGGATCTCAACAAAGGATACGGGAATTAGACCCGGGCCGCCAAGTCTTCCAATGGGCTTAGCCACGAACCATTCGGGGTTCGACTGGGCAATGACAATGATGGCCTCGCCCTGTTTGGCTTCCAATTCGTCTGCCCGTTCGGCTTGGAAATCGTACAAAACAACACCATAAACCATGGCTCCATTCTTGCCAGGTGTTTTCGACATCCGATGTGCGGCGTTTGCTCCAGGAGGCGAGGCCGCCGAGCCTTCGCCGTATCCCGAATCACTGTCTACGGTCTTCAAACCCAGGGAACCGGTTTGAGACTGGCCGCTATCGCGTTCCGTACGTCCAAGGGCCTGGAAATAAGCGACGGGCACGAGACCACGAGCGTCTGGTAGCGCAGGGTTGCACGCCTCGTACCACTCTGGGTCATTTTCACGACCGATGACATGGAAGAAATCGCCGCGTGAAAAGCTAAGCTCCTGTGCATTTTGTGCTTCGTAATCGTAGAGAGCTTTTATAACCTGTGATAAAAAGTTTAGCCCAAGTGCATTATGGTTGAAACCTTGTTCCAAGACATACCTTCTTTGGAGGGACGATGGCGACGGCAGATTTCGGTTGAATAGTAATATGAGGTTTGGAGTCCTTCTCTCCACCCTTGATGGACCTTCGTAGAGCCTTGAAACCGCGTGACATTGTTAGTTGCCAGAATGACGAAACCGCAGTATTGAAATGAGTAGTCCGACTAGGCCCAGAAAATTCGAGAGGTGCTGTGGGTGTAGATGGAGCAGACACAAAGAAAAAGGATTCTTCCGGTTCACGCAAGCTGTATTGCATCGTGACGAATTGGCCAAGGCAAGAACGCCTATGTGATGGTGTATGAATACCTGAGCCGTAGCCCGATCCTATCTCTCATGTTCCCAATAGCAGTGAAGCCTCTGCCATACAATCACGAGGGCTGTTCTTTGGGGAACGAGCGAATACGATCGGACTGAAGAGGAGGAGGGACGGGGGAGGGAAGAGAGAGGGGATGGCAGAGCACAGAACAGCGGGGAATGACGTACCTTCATCTTGTCCGACAGCAATACTCAGACGACTTGTAAGCTATGTGTACACAAACCAAAACCGGAACTATTGTGCTATACACAGAGAGAAACAGGAACGGCTGACGGGGTGAGGGGCGTCAGCGAACAACTTTTGGAGCGGGCGTCCTGGTGTCGGCGTGCGCGGGCAATCGTGGTTGGGGTTACGCCGACTCAAATGACGGACGGCGAGAGGTCTTGCCTAGGATCCCTCTGGGGTTGGTCCTGGGCGGTTCTGCTCGTGTGTGTGGTGTGTGTGTGTGTGTCGTGGAGGGTGTTGCTGGGTGGAATCTGTGTAACGATCCAAATGTGCCGTATGTATCGGTCGGATGGGAGCCGGGAAAGCAGCGCGGCGATGACGGGAGTGGATATCGCGGACGGGGTCGTTATCTGCTACACTAGTGTTTGCGACCGAGCGAACGTAAGGGAGACGTAATTTGGGAGCAGCGGTTGTCCAGCTAATTTCGGCGACCGTTTCGTGTAAAATGGTCGCGCCCCAATACTTCTGTTCCCCAAGTGGATAGCTGACCCCAAGTTCGCTGTCTGGCCGAGTTTGCCTCAATCTTGGCTTTCCGTCTTTGTTTGAGCCTGATCAGGGCCGCCTGGCGTGTGGGAGTGTGGTGTTGACGCAATTCTCTTGTTCCTTTGTTCAGCCGCAATGCCGACTGCCTAGACCCAATGCTCAATGCGCAATTCCCAGTCCGGCGAGCGCTTCTAGAATGTCTAAGTAATGGTGGACAATCCGCCGCGGGAGTTGCGTTGGATGTTGCGAGTGTTGTCGGCGATGATGGACTTGACTGTCGCAGTAGGAAGGTTGGTTGTCGAGAGTTGGAACTGGTGATGAGTGAACGAAGCGAGCGAACAGGTGGGAATGGAAACTGGAAACTGCACGGTGGCGGGGAAGGATCAGGATCAGGTGGGATATATGGCCTGCGTGCCTTGCGTGCTAGTCCTCGGGACGGGCAGCAATAGCATTAAAAAAATAATAAAAAGGGAGATAGCAACAGCCCAAAGCCAAGCTTGCAACGGAAGCAGCAAGGGTGATCACCAAGGGTCGGGTCCAGGTGTGTTCTCGCAGAGTGGAAGCCGACAGGGTGTGGAGGTGGTGGCCGGAGATGGCTCGAAGACGGGCGGGTAGGTGTGATGAAGGTCACAAGCAAGTCACCAGCCTAGCCGAGACGGACGGCATGGAACATGTTGGAAAAACAGCCACTCAGGCTTGCTTATTCGCCTAGTGTCTGTTAGTGTCTGCTAGTTTATGTCCGTATCCCTGAGCGTGAAAGGGTGGCTGCCTCTATCTAGCCGTTAGCAACCGCATGACAATCGGCATGACAATGGACGGCCAAGGACCTCGACTCAAGAGGGGAATTGTAGCGTTGCAGCAGTGCAGAGGCCGCGCGGGCAGGTACCTGAAGGCACCCAGGCCTGGTTGATTGGCGCAGTTGCTACCCTGCAATTGGTGCAATTGGAGAGCGCCGCCAGGGTTCTCACGTCCAGAGGGACCCACCCTCCCTGGACCTGGCTGTGGGTTCGAATTGGCTTACGTTCTTACCTCCACTTTCTTGGCCGCTCTCGATCTTTGGGATTCCGGACGTGCCCACCGCGATACGACCAGGAACTTTGCGACAAACGAATGAAAGAAGTCGGCCAACGTCAAATCTCAACTGAAACCAACCAGCTTGCTAGTCTTACAAGATCTGATCAAAGATGAGCCGCGCGCAATGAGGCCATTGAACAGCTAAGATTGCTGCTCCCTCAGGTATTCTCCGTTGGTATCTTTGTCGCTGTCATTGCCTGGCCTAAGATATGTGTGCGTGCTAGTGTGCATGATATTGTACATATCTTCGAAGCCACTGCATATGCATCGTGATCGCGCTTGTCATAGCGGAAACTGTGGTTGGTTTGTTGAGTCGAGTCGACGACCAGGGTGCTATCGATGGACACGGTACCTGAGGATTTTTTCTCACTTCTCCAACCTCAACTGAAGGATTGATTGCTTCATTCTCGAGTCTGTTCCGTCACTACCCATCCAAGTGACTTGAAAGGCGTCGTCGTCGACAACAAGTCGATGCTGTGAGGCAGGAATATGCCTGCTGTTAGTGCACCAACTCATACGATGCGTCATGAGATGTTCAAAGCCCACACCTTGTCAATGCATTGACATCGGGCTCCATCATAACGTCGGTGGACTTGAAAGCTGAAGGACTCGACAGAATGCAAGGCCTCCAAGACGGTTCACAAGCAACCCCTAGTAGGAAAAGCCTAGTACTAGCATCACTGGATTGACGCTGACATATGTCCTTCTGATGGCGACTTAGTTCGGGATTTTCAGATCTTCCTATGTTGGCAGATTCATTCTACACAGTCCGAATCTCCTTCATTGGTGCAGCAAAAAGCATCGCGATCAAATTTTAGGTAGATATCGGTTCTCGGTCTCGGGGTATTTCGGATGAAGCTCCGCGGCCTGTGCCTGACTAATCAAAACAACCCAAACAGCGAACAGGGAGCATTGGTGTCTAGACTCGGATAGAGACACCACTGTAACGGCCTGGTAGGGCTCTGCTACAAGCTCCCGATTTTGGAATCTGGGCATTAACCGATCCAGTTTTTTTTTCTTTTCTTATTCTTTTGCTTAACAAATCTCACTTTTTGTCATCTCGGGGTTTCTGTTCGGTCTTTGTATGATGTTCATCTCATTCTGGCCACAACAATAGTGTGCGAGCTCCTAGAGGGAATAATAAACACGAGAATAGTGCAAGTGGATGGACGTCCTTCGAATACTCGACATCCTCATCTTCTCCATTGGACATGAATAACGCCCAAGAAAAGCCGCCAATTGCCATGTTTTCCATCGCAATGGTTTCAACCCTCTTTTTATTTATTGATGCACGACTTTCACGTACACGTACATGCACAAGATTTGACCAATCGGAATGTGACGCGAGGAGCACACGACGGGCCGGGATGCCCGCTGGCGCACCTGTAAGCAATGAGGCAGCGTGGTATTTTTCGATTTTCCACATGGTATGGTGTCTAGCTTTCGCCTCACCAGCCACCGCTTCCATTCGACCAAAGGTTATGTTAGTAACTGTATCAAGAAGCAAACGCGTATCATCGAGGTTTGTAACATCTGCTTGCAGTGCGGGCAGAAGTCGAAGGACCCGACCCTTTTCCACCATTGATCATGATGCGCGGCCGATTGTGTTGGCGTCCGGCTCCCCGTACTCTGACTCAAAAACAACAAGAATGGCATCAATATCAACGGCGCACAACATGACTGTGTTGTGTGCTGGAGGTCATGAAGTACGTTCTTATTTTGCTAATTGTAAAACATGCCCACTCAACCTCCCTGCCCAAGACTTTGTTAGGCGCAGAAGTGAATCGGCCGGTTGCTCTTAACATTGTTCCCTTAACGCCAAACACCTGAGTTACCTATACTAGGATGAAGAAGGAACAAAAAAAAAGACAAGGGACAAATGCAAGCAGTTTTGACACCCCGAGACGCCAAAACCCTATGCTCGCTGACCCAAACCACCACCCAAAGATGCCAACATCGGAACGCAAGGGATACTGAAAAATTGTTGGATAAGAGAGCAGTGCTTTGAAGCACGCATATAAAGAGAGCAGGGTGCCACTACAGCACCAGAGCAACTAATGCTGCTGCTTCCACGTCGCCAAAGGTCACCTCCGCGTGACCCTAATGCTTGCTAAAATAAGAGACCCCGTGAGCCGACACGTCGAGATCCTCCGGCAAGACACATTGATCGGGAAAGAAGGGGGTCGATATGCGAAGACGCCATCTATCATCCTGTCCACCGAGAATGGCTTCCGAAAACGGTAGATATCACGTCTTCGTTTTTGAGTAGAGTAGGCTGATTCGTATACTGCACGCCTCAACCAAGTCTGAGGTCAATTAGGGTGACCTGATGCCGGCAAATGACATTGAAGAACAGGAGCTGCGCCTGTCCTGGAGGAACTAGCTGAAAAGGTAAGTCGGACTGCGTTGCAAGTGGCAACCTGGCGCATCGTGAGGTCGTGAGACGACTCGGAGGATGAAGTGGTTTTCGTCAATGTAATAGTTCTTCCACAAGGCATGACGTGAGCTTCCTCTAACGCATTCCACGTTACTATTCAGAGAGTAACATCGGAATTGGCAACGAAGAAACGGAGATAGAAAACCCGTCGGTATTCTCCATCGCCGAATTCCCCCATAAGGTGTTGCTGATAGAGGCCCAGGTGGCAAATGTCGTGGGGTTGGACAGAGACTTAGGTCGACGAAGGGCGTGCTATCAATAATATCAAACTACTGCATGACGACGCAAGGGTGCAGATCCCGGTGACCGAGGTGAGAAACTACGAAGGCGGAGATGAAGTAGAAACATGAGGTCGACAGCCGGTGCTCATGTCTTGAAAGAGTTGGGAACGATGTGGGCGGGTGAGGCGACGATAGGAAATAAGGACTCAGTGCTGTTAGATTTGACCTTTAATGTCAACCCTGGAAAATGCTGCCTTCCTCGGGCCCTCGAACAGCTCTTTAGCTTTTCCGGTCAGGAACATAACAGTTCCCTCGCGATCCTCCAGTAGATCCTGGCCCTGGTAGTCGAGGATGAATTGGGCAGCATCCGCATCCGACTCAAAGTACAGCTCTTCCGTGACGAAGCGCAGCGGCACATCAGGTTTATACCTAATCGGAGTCAGGAACACATCTCAGTACATGGAGGGAACGGAAAGTACATACGCCTTACAGATGTTGCAAAGAGCGGCAAGGCGTTCACGGCCAACGAACATATCCATAAGATATGCACCCATGTTGGGCGTGTCGTTGTAGAGCCGGAAAAAGCGGTGGTAATTGCCAAGTGCCAAAGCGGATCGGACGTCAAGCGCATGCTTTATGGCTTCTTCCTCCTTCTCTGCTGCAGTTAGATCCGCCAAGACGTCGTTTAACGCCGTGCGGTTAGCGGTATGAATGAAATACAAGATACGATACGCCTTGAACTCAATCGACTTCCCCTTAATACCCATTTTGTAGAGGGCCTTGAGCTGGGTCTGACATTGATTATACTCACCGAGGTCCCCCTTCTCCAAGGCAATCCGAGCATGAATTTCGTAGACTTCTACGGTAAACTCATTTTTGATGCGCTGGACTGTCAAGTCCTGACGCATGGATTTGAACTGATCGCAGATGTACGAGTAGTTTTGCTCCTTCTTCCACTTTCTCTTGAGCAGCTCGAGCGTCTGGCGCAGAACCCGCTCTGGTCGGACCACGGACGGAACGGGCGGCGCCGTCAGACGGAGATAGCGCTTCTCCAGGGTCTCGCATGTGCCGACAACCGGGCCGTCGCTGGGAGGCGGAGTCGGCTCGCGATATGTCGACTTGTAACCTCCGTCGAAGCGCTTTTGACGTTTCTCCAACTGCTTCTGGAACTTACTTTGTGTCTTCGACTGGGCTTCCTCGACTGGAGCTGGGCGTTTATCAGCATTGAATGTAATGCGGTCCTCAAGGCGATTCTGTCCGTTCCGCCAAGGGGGTGCGGCGCCCTCGCTGAAGTCGGTAGACTTGCGCTTCTTGGAACTGGATGGGGAAATGGAAAGGGCCGAGAAATGAGATGCTTGCTGAAGGGCCCTGGCTCTAGCACGCTCCTCTTTGATCATCTCTTGCGGCAAGGGCATTTTCTCCCAGTTCACAGTGTACATGTGGCCCTGGTCGTTCGCGTACGAGATGGTTTCCTTGAGCTTGGCTTCCATTTCGGCGCGGGTGACCGATGGATCTAGGTTGGAGGTCTGGAAAGAACGCTGCACGTAGTTGCGCACAGATTCCGGCCAGTCGATCTTTTTCTTTGCGGGCTCTTGCGTTGTGATGGGCGTTGCGGCAGTCAAGGGCGCGGCTGGATTAGTGTGAAGTGGTGTTGCAGGAGGAGGATTTATAGGAATAGGGCCGTAGGCAGGTGGGGGAGGATAGGAAGCGGGTGGTGCGGCGGAATAAGGTTGACCGAAGGTTTGGCGGACCTGAACTGGAGTGAACGCGGTAGTAGCTGGGGGAGGAGAGGTGAAACAAACGTCAGCGACGGTCACCAGCAGTGTCGGGACGGGGCGGCAGGAGTGAATCGCAAGTCAAGAGATGGGATGAAATCTGTAGGACACGGCAGAAGCATACCAGAGTACGGATAAGCCGCCGGCGGCTGCGTGCCTGGCGGAGGAGGTTGAGCGGATGACCACTGCATGTTGCTCGTCTGGAATCGATGGGGTTGTCGAGGGAGAGTTGAAGCACACGACGAAACAAACAACGACGGAGCAAGAAAAGACGATGCCAACAAATTAAACAGAACTCGCTGGCAAACAACAAAGTCGTGCTACTCGTGTGAACCCAAGGTTCAAAACTAGCTATGGAACTGGGCGTATAGTGTCGTGGGCGGTGGTGAGGGAATGGTTGCCGATGGTACTAATGATGGGCTGAAATTAATGCAGTGGGCGGTGACAAGAAACGTGCAAGGTTCGTTGATCAAAGAGGCTTCTCTTCAACGAAGTGACAGTGTTCAACCTCGATAGGGTGGCAGTGGCCCAAAAGTCGATCGGGCGTGGGTTGCATTCTGTGAACGGGACCAAGCCGGCCGCCATCAGATTCCACTTACTAGCCACCGCACGGGCTGCATGCTGCACCTGTCAACACCTGCTGTCTGTCATCTTGAGTCCATGTTAGTGCAGCTGTATCACAGCCACGTGGGCAGCCCCATAGTGTACATGGCCGCTATCTACCGCAATCGCCGCCAAGATGCCATCTAGTCCCAAGTCGACAACAACCCCCGCCGACATCATTCAGCAACCCGACCACCACTTCAGTTCCAAGTTGTCGATCCTCTTTTCACTCTTTTTATAACCCGACTCCCTCGAAAGCCCAAACAGCTTTCCCCCAGCTATGACGAATGTTTCTAAAGAATCTCGACCTCACCACTGCCTTGCGGCCGTCGTACCTGCCCGATGAAGATTTGCTCTTTGTCCAGGACAATGTGGGGTTGTACGAGGGGTGAGCATATGATCCCAAGTTCCTCTTCCTTCCCGCCATCATCAGTCCTTACGCCTTTTACGTTGTTTACTTGAAAGTTCATGTGTTTGTGTGAACCCTTCGACTGACTTATTCGCCGTGCCTTTATCAGCAAATACAAGCTGCCCAACCAACAAAATGGCCAGGTTTACCTGACCTCGCACCGGATATGCTACGTCGACAAGACGGAGCCCAGAAAATACTCTGCCGCTTTGGATCTCAAAGACATTGAGCGCTACGAGTTCTACGTAATTGCGCCTTTGCCAAGGAACATGCCGAATGATCAAAAACTAAATGCTAGCGTGTGATGTAGGCCGGATTTCTCAAGTCATCGCCCAAAATCACCTTGGTGCCCAAGGCCAACAAGCGAGCATCCCTCCAACCATCGCGCAACGGAAACGCTTCACCGGCGCAACGTGTAGACAGCCCCTTTCGTGCACCGCCCGTTGATACACCTCCAGCGAGCTCAGCGACATGGGTATGTACCATCTGCAGCTTCTCCAACCCAGTACCGTCCAATTTCGATCCGACGACGGCAAGTGAACATACGTCCCTCCCTCCCTGCCTAGCTTGTGGTATCAAGCCTACCTTGACCCATATTCTCAAGGCGACCATCTCGAATGCGACAAGTCGACAGCCCGGTGGGGGACCTGCCATCTACCCTCCGCTTCCTGACCGATCCAAGCAAGGTTCCGAATCAACGGCACCAGCGACTCAGACATCTTCATCGCCTTTTCAGGCAGCAGACGCGAGCGCATCTTTCCAGTGTCCAAGATGCACCTTTCTCAACCATCCCTCGCTGATGTCATGCGAGATGTGCGGAGGGCCACTCATCTCCAACGACTTACCTGCTGAACTCATGCAACAAAGGCGGGAGACTGACTCGCCCGGCCCAGTTCTGAGCAGTCTGGCTCCCAAAAGCGAGGCCCTCGAAAGCGTCAAGATTTCCTTTCGCGGAGGCGGAGAGAAGATCTTCTACGAAAGGCTCAAGGGATCAATGACCCAGCGCAAGTGGCTGCTTCAGGGCGCACCTCCGATTCCCAAAACCTCTTCAAATGGGTTAGGGGTAGGATCTGGTTCTGGTGGAGGAGCAGGCGGAGGAGTCGGCTCAGGTGGAGGCCAGCCCGAACGGGTAAAGATTGCGGGAATCGCAGGCCTCGAACAGCGCGGCCAATCCATGCGCAAGAATAACGAGATCGTCATCGGAAACGCATTCGAGGACCTCGAAGCCCTGATGGCCTCCGCCAAGGACATTGTGGCCCTGGCAGAAACCTTTGCTCGCCAAGTCAAGGGTGCAGGAGGCGCCTCCTCTGGCAGCGAAAATGCGCTGCTCGCCGAGTCCGCCAGCCAGCTTGGCCTCATTGCAACCAAGGACATTGTCGGCAGTGGCGGCGGCGGCGACTCGCTCTATCTGTCCGAACTTGCCCGTACATTGGCCGAGTTCCTCACGGACGATGCGCGAGGCGTGCTGAGGAAAGCAGGCGGGATCATCTCGCTTGTCGACCTCTGGGCCATGTTCAACCGGCTTCGCGGAGGTGTGGAGCTGGTCAGCCCTGCGGATTTCGAAAAGGCGGTTAACTTGTGGGACAAGCTCGGGTTGCCCGTCCGGCTGCGCACGTTCAAGTCGGGCGTGAAGGTTGTTCAGGGGCGCGACCGGACGGACGAGACGACCATCAGGGCGTTGCTGGCCTGGATGCAGGATTTGCACAATTTCCCGCCCGACCGGGAGGTGGCGTGGGACTGGCGCGAGTTTGGGCGCGGCGTCACTGCGAGAGATGCGGCGGAGAGGTTCGGTTGGAGTATAGGTGTCGCTGAGGAGGAGCTTGAGATGGCGGAAGAGCGTGGCGTGTTGTGTCGCGAGGAAGGCATCGAGGGGTTGAAGTTCTGGGAAAACTTTATTGACACGGGAGAAGGTGCTTCGAGGCCACATCCGATGAAGGAGGACAACGAGAGGCTTGTGAAGGCGTTGCAGGAGAGCGGTTTTTTGTGAGATGAGTAGTAGGTGCGTTGCCGTTTAGCCCATGGGATTCCTAGCATCATGTCGAAATGGCTTCTACGTTAGATTTGTCTGCTATTATGATAGAATCGATAAAGTTGACAGTAGCCGTTACAGAAAAGCATAATTTTACATGACTCAGTCATCTATCCGTGTACCATTAGAGGTTGCCCCTTCTCTCTACACCATATGATACAGCCAAAACTGGCTTTCTAAGACAACAAGCCCACAAGCAAGAGACGATGCCAAAACCCATGAAATTGAAGCACCAGAAAGCATTCCCAAACGCCTAGCCTCTATCCCAACACCTGCCGCCGCTCTATGCAGCTTTATACTCATCTTTACAAACGCAACAGCAACACACATACACGCCCATCTAACCATCCATCCATCCTCAAATCCCCAATCGGGGCACGCTCCCTCACCCCCATCGTCTAACTCAACCTCTCCATCAAACCCTTCCTAACCTTCATGTTAACGACCCCACCCACACCAAAAGCCGGCACAATCCTACATATCCTCGCCGCCACACTAACCGCCCACTTCTTTTTAACCAACGACCACCTCTCTCTCCAACTCGGCGCCGCTCCCGAACCACCCGAGGGGCGATTATACATGTCCAACCCCAACAGATGCACGGGCGTGCTGAAAAGCTGCACCACCGCCGGCGCCGCAAACTGCGCCATCGTCTGTCCACTGACCCATTTCTGCGCATCCTTGCTTAGCCTCTCCGTCAACACCGGCCCAAGCAAAGGGGGAACATTGAAACTGGCAAAAATCGTCATGCAATCCCTGGCCGCAAACAGGAGATAGCTTGGCAGTCCCACGGGTCTGGGTGTAGCGCCGGGGGGGCCGAAGAGGCGGACAAAGACTTGGTCTTTGTAGATGCAGAGACCAATGTTGGCGGCGGAGGAGGCGAAGAATTTGGAACTGCCCGAGGTGACGTGCGCTGGGTTGGGGTTGTTTTGGACAGTGGCGACGGTCGTGTCCAGCGTGTTGGCGGTTAGGTAGGTGCCGCCGTACAAGAGGAAGATGAGGCCGAAGGGACGGGAGAGTATGGTGGACCGGGGAGAGGAGAGAAGGGAGCGCAGGGAGCGGCGGAGGGAGGTGAGGAGGGGGGCGGCGCCGGAGGCATTCTCCATAATTGAGCTGTAAAGGAGGGAAAGGGGGGTTAGTTATAGGTTTGGAGGAGTTGAGGGAGAGAAGAGGGGAAGAAAAAAAAAGGGTAAACAAGACGTACCGGTCAATAATAGAGATAACAGGCGCAACAAGCACAGCTGCCGCAGCGGCACTGACGAGGTCAGCACCAAGTCGTAGGCCGAGGTTTTTGGTGTTCCATTTTGATGTTGTGCTTGTCAAAGGTGTTGGTTTTGTGTCGACGATATCACCGCCATCAGCCCCAAGCAGTGCAGCCCGAGTCTTTTGCGTTTGTGTTGCCAGGCCGGCGAGATGTGAGTGTGACGTCTTCAGTCCGGCGGCAGTATCTAACGGCGAGGCGGCCGAGACCGGGCCTTGGACCGGGACCGGGGCCGGGGTGCCTTCTTTCATGTCGGAGGCGGAGGCAGCAACCAGGGTTCTCCACCGGTGGCAGCGGGTTGTTTCGGGGAGGTTCTGGGATCGCGGGGTGCGGGATGCCGAATGCGATCGGGGCGGGGGCCGGGGACAGCGGATGCGGAGAAGAAGGGCCGAGGAAGGGCCTGGTGATTGGAGATGGAAGCGCGATTGGACCCCCCGGAGGAAAGCCAAGAAATTGGAATCGAAGAACTTTTAGCTCAATGACTAATGCTTGACTGGTGGCAACGTGTTGAGGGCCGGATGACGACGGTATGGATTCAACCTAGTTCTGATAACGACAGTGAGGTGAACTTGGCGTGTATGTAGCAGCGTTGTGGTCGCAAAGATGGAGCACAATGGCCGACAAGGTGTTTCGAAATGTGTGGTTTGCAGATGAGAACGGGAAGTAAGATAAAAAAAAATGAGATCCAGATCGGAATTGTTCAATTCAAACAAACGGAGAAACCGTGGCTGAAATAGAAGGAGGGCACAAGATAAATGTTATGGCTGGCCCGGCTGTTGACTCGGAACCAGTTCACCGCAGTTCCCGTCGTCCATGAACTTCAGCTTCCGAATGAATATGGGCAGAGGACCATCTGGATCGATATCGGTGTATTGTACCGAGTATGGAGCTATGTACATAGCAGGTAGAAGAAGTGCTCTGGTGGTCACACCCGACTTTCACAATCGTTTGACTTTCCACTTCGGCCCGGCCGCATCGGAGCTTCATACGCTTCTTCCCGCCTTCTCGACTGTCTGGGCCGGTCTAGTGCCTGACCACGGGCCCGTCTGATCTCCAAATTCTCTGCAACAGCTCCGCACTGGTCAGGGTCTGTTCAGGGCCCTCAAGGTCGCAGAGCATGGGTTGAAGCCCCGAGATCGGACTGAGCTTAGACTGGCTAACGTCAGCCGAGATGCGATGAAATGCCCGTGCCCATCTTTCCCCTGGTATGCCGAGACTTTTTATCAGATCAGATCGAACTATGACCAGGTGCTGTGGGGCCTGAAGCGGCCCTACAACTACACTACCTAGTAGGTACTGTACCTAGGTATGTACGTCACGCAGGCTACCTACCGTGCCGGTGTGGGAATCTGTATTCAATCCCGATCAATGGATCCTTCGCGGTTCTAAAACTCCAGTCAGGTCTGGATGGTCTTGGACTTTATGACCATTCATGCTTTGTGCGCATTGACCGCAACAGATGATCAACATATCTCTTCCTGCTCCGAGTTAACATATCAAAAACAAACACAGTAGCCATGGAGACGGTACCTTGACGGCACACTCCAGTGTCACCGCTCTTGGTCGAACATCACAAGTTAGGTACATTAGTGACTACTTCCTTTCCTCATATACTATAATTCATTTCCAAGTTAGTCGTCAACACACATCCTGCCTACGCACATCGGAACGCGTGTATGTATGTTCAATAAAATAGAGTCATTAAGTCATCATCATAATAATGTTACAACCCCGTCCCTTCACGGGATCAAGGCACCCACCCCCATTTACTCCTTCTCTTCCAGTTCTGTTCTATAGATCTAGTCCAACTTGGAGATACCTGTCCCGCTTTAATTTTTACCACCAAGAGTGTCCTGAACAGTACCGCCAATGGCGCCTTGGTCGGTGAACTGCTTGCCAATCACACCGGAGGAGGAGAGAGGGCCGCCAACTGCCTCGCCGATTTGGCCGATTGCGCCGGTCGCTGTTTTTGAAGAAATTGGATTAGATATTGATTGAGGTTGAGGTTGAGGTTATGGAATGTGGAGTAGGAAAAGGAGGGGAGGGGGATGGAAATAGAAGGGATTCCAAGGAAGAGAAAAAAAGAAAGAAAAAAAAGGGAAAACATACCAGTGAACTGCTTGCCAATAGCACCTTCAGAGTCAAAAGCCTTGGGCTTCTCGCCAGTCTCATTCCCGAGGTGGGCGTTTGCGGGAGTGGGGGTGGCCCCAGACATGCCGCCGGTGGCCTTGGGGCCGCCTTGAGAGGTGGTAGGCTGCTGAGAAGACATATTGTGTTGTTGAGGTTTGTTGTTGTTGTTGTAGGTTGGTCAAATGATCTTATTCTTGGTGTGAGGTTGAACGTGGTTGTGCTGCAAGATAAGTTTCCCATTCAAAAAGGGTAAGCAGCAAGCGGCCTCTTTAAATACAGGCGATTTTTTTTTCTTTCTTCCACGAATGTGTGTGACGACATCTCTGCAGGTTACTCTATTACACTGACAATGAAAGTGGTGACAGGTCATGATTCTCGATGATGTCATGTTGTGAGTTGACCAACACATCCCAGGTGGGCCGACCAGTGTTGCGGGGCCCCATTTTACCCCTGAGCGGGCAGGCGGGATGACCTAACTTCCGTTCTGGCCAGGTCGGCCAGCTCCACCTAATATCATCATTGGAAAGATTATTGGGACGTTTATGAGTATGACCGATGGTAAATATATGATCTTGATCACGAGATGGTATTCTTGATGATCTTGGATGTAGTTGGAGTAGGGTTTGTTTATGTTGAGAATCTTGCCAGTGCAGTGCTCCGACTTCCCAATGACGCACCGGGACCTCAGTTAACAACGAAGACGGGCGGATTTCATAGACTCATCGCTTCGGTCGATGTTCGTGTCTTTGCGCAAGCCGGCGTTTAGAGAGTCCATGATTCGAATCTGTTCCCTTCACTCTCCCGGCCACAAGGCGTTATTCTTAGCGATGACGGCGCACGATCACCAATTATGAGGGCTTGAAGTGACGAAACTAGAAACATATATTACTATTGGCCTTCTCCCCCTTCTTTTCAATCTTTTAGGTATAACGGAGTCCACATGTACACCTGTGAGACCTTCCCCAACAGTGGCTCTCAATTCCAAACTGCCAATTAATCAAATGACAACATAACAGCATTGACCCAAATAACAAACTCTTGAAACCTCCCATGACCTTCACATGCTTTGCTCCCTTGTTCAGTCTTCTTCAGCCTCCTTGACACACTCCGCCTCAACTCCCTCGGAAATAAGCCGATATTGCGGTTGCGAGCCAGAGTAACCCCCCTGCTTTGTCAGATACCGGACGACGCGGACCAGGACAAGCAAAGTTTCGTGGCTCTGTAGTGTATGGCCACCCGAGTGCTACTACGCAGCAGAGATCATCGGCAACCTGACCCACGCATTTTAGGTACCCATCTTACCATGGAAGATGCGTAATATGCACAGTAGCATCCACATAAACGCGGTTCTCAATCGTGCACGCCATACCGGGCTCGACCCTGAACATGCCGTCCTGGCCGATCGTGAACTGAGGTTCATCACCGAGCTTCACCCAGAGCTTGCCGGTTCCGATCGATACGAGCCGCGTCTGGAAGTCATCCGGGTCTATAGTAATGGTCTGGCCTGTGGAGATGGTCTTGACCTGGAACTGTACGTCGTTCCAGACTGGGACTGCATGGCCGGTTGACAGGAAGGGTTTGGAATAGGCGACGCCTGCAGAGGAAGAGGTTAGCGATTCGGAGGGTGGTCATATATCATAGAGATGAGGGTCACTTACTAATCGGTTTGTCGGTGTTTGATTTGAGGATTCGACCAGGCGCCATCTCCCACTCTTCCATATCAAACATATCCGCCGACTGAACCTCGCCGGCCGAGATAAGCGAAGTCCTAGCCGCAGCCGCAGGCAGGGCCGCCTGCCGTTGTGGCCGCGAGACTGCTGTTGCTGTGGTGTGTCTAGGCAATCCTCCTCCCCCCTCTCTTCTTTTCAACCAAACACCATCCGTACTCTTGGTGATTCCAGGTACTTTTGGCGGGAAAGGCGGCTGCGGTCGCATAGGAATTCCCTTGCCACGAGAGCACGCGCCACCCTTGCTATCATAGGTACAGTTTGCGCAGCTTTGGTAAACCCTCCTGGCTTCCGGGTGGGCGTCGGTCTTGATGGCGACGCAGCCCCCCTTGAACAATGGTCCCTGCTCCCGGCGGCATCGCGTGCACGGCATCTCCAGTTCGTCTCCTGTAACCTGGATTATCAGGGCGGCTATGTCTCGCGTGTGCTTCTCCGCGAAGGGCTCATTGGGGGTGAGCTCGAGGTCGCGAACCCGTGGGAGGGAAAGGAGCTCTTTGATGTAGCCTACTTCAGGAACCTCTGCGGTGAAGGCGAGGTGTGGCTTAATGTAGTTCCAAAGAGCCTTTTGATCATCGGTCAGAGGGATGGTAGATTTCGCGGGTTCGTAGTTCCTTTGGGCGTTGTTTGGAGGCAGGGGCCGGCTCTCGGACTCAGGCTTGTCGTTACCATATTTCTGTAAAGATGTTTCGTCTTGCTTGTGGGTGGACATAGTAGAGCCGCCTTGTAGCTCAGGGGTATATCCTACCACCGACTTTGAGGTTCTTGTATCCGGTTTTGTTTGGCCAGAGTTGGGACTCGTTAACGCTTGGATCTCGTCAGTCGTCTTGCCCCTCGTTCTCAAGATACGTCGAGACCTCTCTACGCCCCAAGATTTGTGGCTGCAATACGTCTGACCAAAGTGGTAGAAGCAATTGGCGCAGGAAACAATATTTGCCAGAGGACGGTTGTCCGCCTTGGAAGAGATTATAATACAACCTTTCCAAGGGCCCCTACCCTCCTGACACCTTTTGCAAGGTGTCGCAGCAGGTTCTCCCGTCAGTTGGATGATGACCGCCGATACATCCCTGGGATGAACATCCGTGAAGGGATGCGTCCGCTGCCATTCGAAGTTGATGTTCAGGTCTCGCACCCGAGGGAGGATGCTCAGCTCCCAGACATAGCCGCCGTGGGGCATCTCTCGCCCTCTATGCTTGGCCAGGAGCGGCTCGATGTATGCCCATATGCTGGCTCTGTCCCCAACCGGTTCTGACGATGAAGTGGCGCGTGGGACTTTATCCAAGGCCATGGGATCATCGATTGACGTGGAGTTATTTGTCATGGAGACGACAATGGCGCCCTTTCCTCTGGGCGTCGCTTCATGAAACCCAGGCCCCAAGTCTGTTAAGGTTCCGTCTTGGTTGTCATAAAACATATGGCCGTGGTGGGCGGACTATACAGTGTCAGTGTCTGGACACGAAAGTTTTGATGCCAAACGACCCAAAAGTAATTCGCCGGCGGCGACGGTAACGCTTGAGTGCGTTGAATGACATGTTACTAACCTTAAAATGTTGGCCCAGGTTGTGTAAGGTTTCACTAGACTTCCCACATTTCCGAACCGGACATATCCAAGGGAAGAATCCATCGACGAGTTGGTACCCATCTGGCAAGAGGGCTCCATGCGTACTACCTGGCACGCCATTCTCAATCCATTCACGATAGGGTCGACCCGAAGCAGCTATGTCTGTTGGCGTATAAGCGCCCTCTTTGGCTTTTGCCTCCGACGCTGTTGGATGACCTGTCAGCGTGTCTGGAATACTCTCTTTTGCTTCTGCCTTCGATGCCGATGGATGATCTGCCGGCGTGTCCAGAGCACCCCGTATCGCATTTTTCCCCTCTTTTGACCTAAGGGCGTTGTTCTTCCTCAGGGTATCTGCAACGTGGGACATTCTGCCGTCTGCCCATCGTTGTTTCATGACGGCCGAAAATTGTTTTCTTCGAGCTTCATCCCATTCGCCACCAGCCTTGCGTTTCGTTGGCACTATTGACGTAGGCGCAGCAGCGACGATAGCTGTGGCCAGTCTGGAAGGAGTAGCAGCAGGTTGCGTATTGACCCTAAGGTCTCCAACCACTTGGGGAACAGCTACAATGTCACTGAGGATCTGAGCTGGCTCCAGCTCCTTGTCGTCGGTGTTGTGGCCGAATCCATGATTTGGCACTCGATCGTACTCAGGACTGGGCTCGTGATCGGACTCGAAGATCAGCTGCTCGTCAATGTCGTCGCTATCGGCATCGTCATCGTCATCGTCATCGTTGTTGTCGTTGTCATCGTCGTCGTCGTCGTCGTCGTCGTCGTCGTCGTCGCCGCTGTCGCTGTCGCCGCCAAGTTCTCCATAACCTCCCTCGACATTGTTGCTCATGGATTCGCGTATATAGTTCTCGATATCGGTGCTGTTCGCCTCGCTGTCAAGAGCCTCGCCATCGTCGTCGGCACTATCCTCGGCGGCGCTCTCCTCTCCGGCACTGCTCTCCTCGGCACTGCTCCGCACACTACTACTGTCGGTGCCCGAGCTGGAATCCGAGTGCGATTGGCTTTCATCCGTGCTGGCCTGGACAGCCGTAGTAGCGGCCGAAATAGCCGGATTTGAAGATGCCGTACGTTCTCTGAAAGGCGATAATGGAATAAAAGCGAGCCCGCTAGTAGGGACGTTCTCGAGTCCTTTAAAGTTCAGGATCTGGGGCGGATCCGCATTCAGAGAAGAAAAGGTTGAAGATTGCAAGTTTTCAGCCATAGCGATAGTAGATATACTGCCTTCCTAGTTGGGTTATTGTATATTCTCAATTGCGACGTAGGGCGATCGTTTACTATAGTGTATCCGTATGTAGTATTTTGTCAATGTTGAGCTCGGATTTGAGATAGGAAGTGAGTGATTTTCGTTAGCGTTTGATATAAGGCTAGTAAAAGATGATAAAGAAAGATTGTTGTGTGCTTATGCTTTGCGCGCGTGCATATGAGCGTCAGATATGAATCATATTAAGCAAATTGATTATGTTATATTTTGAAAAAAAGTAGATTACTAATTTATATCCAACATCATGGGTAGATAAATGTTAGAGTATAATAATATAAAGTACAATAGTTTTATATAAAGAATAGAAAAAAATCTATATTTGATAAAGATTAATCTCAGTATTGAAAGCTCAAAAATAGAATTGGCTAAATAATTGACCTGAATATGGACGTCCCATTCGATTTGCATCTTCTAGTTGTGTGCCAGCTGATTGACAGGTGATAACCAATTGATAGTGCCTTACTCATTTGAATGCAGGAACTACCATCAACGGCCCATCGTCTAGTATCTTCCAAGTTCTCAATCAGATTAAAACCTTGAAAGTTCAAACCCTTGGATAAAGCACTTAGCTACCCTTCTTCTGGTTTCCTTTATCTAGATTAATCCTCATTTCGCCTTCCATTGTACCTCTTATTTTGCATATACGACGGAAAAGTTGCAACAACCAGCGATGTTGAGAATCGCTCGGCGGCTGTCTGTCGCGCCGCTCTTTTGGTCGTGCCAAGCTCCGTTTGCGCTTTGAACAAAATAACAGGGATTCCATGCGCAACGACGGCCATGCTACAACCTCATTCGCGCGCGCTCCTTCGTTCCAATAGTGTAGACTTCAGATGAACTATAACCGTGAGCTTTTGAATGAATATCGTTCATCCAAAACGGGTTTTCAAGAATTAAGAGACCTGGACAGCGATATCAATGGCTCCCTGGGAAGGAGGCGGTTGCCTTAATCTCCTCTTCTTCTTTATCTCCAAATCGAAACCTGCTTTATTGTGCAAACAAAACAAAAAATAAGGATCATACTTCCACCCCCTTCAAAGAAGCAAAAACATCAGATGCTGAACGAACAGAATCGCCAGTTTCCACAAGCTAGGTTATCGGACCAGACCAGCTACCGCCAAATCCCTAGACCAAATCCTTCCTCTCTTTGTTCCATCTTCCCAACTCACACATCCTCCATCAGCCACTTTTCGAATATTGACCCGTCAAACCCTTACATCTCTCTGAGCCAACACGTCCCTAACAGACCGTATAACCGCCCCCACCCACCCCGTCGCAATCGCCTCATCGCCCCTCGCATTCGGGTGGACTCCATCCGTGGTATACCTCGTCGCATTGAAACCCGAATACAGATCAACTGCCACCACCGGACTCTGTTGGCGAGTGACATACTGCGCCCAGATCGAGATATACCGATTCAGCATCCTGACCTTTGCCGCGCACTCGGGGCAATTCGCCGGCTCCATGGGCAATTCGCCGGCTCCATGGGCAAGATCTGAGCGACAAGAAGGCGAATGTTAGGGTTAACGGCGCGCATCTGATCCAACAGCTGGCCGTAGGCGTTGATGATTTGGATGGCGGTGCGGTTTTGCCAGATGTCGTTGGTGCCCAGGTGCATGAGGATGATGTCCACGGGGGCGACGCCGGGGGCGGTGAGCCAGGACTGGAGGAGAGGCTGCGAAACTGGACTGCCGAGAATGGGAACGGTGTCTTGGGCAATGTCCGTTGCGAGATATCCGCGGTGCCCTTCGTGCGGCCAGTCGTAGGCGGAGCCGTAGCCGCAGTAGGTGCGGGATTGGGTGCCGACGAAGCGGATTTGGGAGTAGGGAAGGGGTGGGGTGATGTTGGTGGCGTTGAGCTTGCGGGAAAGGAGGGCGCGCCAGCAGCCCTGGGGGTTTTGGTCAGTATGTTTGTGGTTGAAGATTGGCAGAGGTAGGGGAGAGAACTAACTGGATTGCCGGTGATGGAATCACCCAGGGCCATGATGCGGACATCATTTCGGACTTGTGGCTCAGCCGAGGCGAGAGAAAGGAAGCTGAGCGAGCCTACAAGGCCGCTGAGAAGTCGGATAGTCGCTACCATGTTGACTTTTCTGGTTAGAGGTATGGAACGAGGCGGTTTGGATCTGTCCGAGTTGCTGAGTTGAGGTGGCCGTCCCCATCACGAACTTGGTGCTTATATAGGCACACGCAGGTGAGGGCAACATCGTGGGATGATAAGCTTACACCTATCAACAATACAGTCACAGAATATATTGGATGGCCAGAACGAGTATCAAATTTTGACAACATTCCTGGCTCACAGCCGTCTTACCCTCTGAGGAATGCTCATTCATCGATCCTCCATTAATCATTGGTCCAGCCGAGCAAGGCGAGCGAATAGCCTCGGTAGAGGTAGTCACGGCTGATTTCCTGCTAAAGGCGCGTCTTCTTGAAACCTCTCTACTATCAACCGCAACATTCTCGCGAAGACACCGAGATGGTGTGTTTCGAACAACCACGCCGGCACGTAAGTCTCCTTGCAAGCTGCTACGGCGGGCAGGGCAGCTGACCTGTTTTTGCAACGAAGAGATAAGCTGAGCACTGGGCAGATGGGAATACAATCTATTCTGAATCAGCCCATGCCATCTGCTTGGTCATCGGGTATGTCAGGGCCATCGACTCCTCCTAGACTGCCAGAGTCGCATTCCACTTATGCTCCTCGAAAAGACAAGGCTTTCCGGCTTTCTTGCAGGCCAAAGTATGGTCTTTGATCTAAGCTGCACCAGCGGAATTGCCCAGATCCCCTAGAAAAGACACAATCAATGTTAATTCCCAGACCAGACGAGTTCAAAGCCACGCATAGCTTTGCGGACAGAAGTGGAAAGGTCCAAAATCCAGTTCATTGATGTCCAGGTTCCTGGCGGAATCTACGCCTTCGCTGGTTTGATACGGATAGCTTGTCGCGCCAGGAAGTCCAAACCCTTCATCTCCGAGGTTGATTCCAAGCTGCCGGATATAGGCCGGAATGTCAGTTGCCCACTTTTAGATAACATCCGTAATACATCCCTTGCAGCACGGCTCGTTCGCCGGTTCCCATACAAAGACATGCGTTGATATAGCATTGACAATAGCAGCTTTGTAGGCCTTGTACTGCGATTGTGCCCAACTGTTGGTGTACCAGCTGTCTCTGGAGCTTTCGAAGGCAGTCATGCATACCGGCATGCCACCGTAGTCGTTCCAGTTGTTGACAAAGTTTATGATAAGCTGGACCCCCTCGTTTCTCGGCGGACCAGGCGCTGCAAGCCATCGGGGCCGTTGTTGATCTGTTGATAGGATGATGAGAGAAGGTGGTACCACACGGTGCCAAAGGCTAGCTTGCGGGTAACGTCGTTAAATCCTCAGATGCGCAGGATCTCGAGGTCGAGGGAGGAGATGTGGTCTATTCTAGAACTGTGTCAACATTGCGGTTGTTGGTCAGGAAACTGATACAGTACAATTTAGTACCGGCGAGGACCGCGTTTCTCCGTCAATCGAAAAGCGTGTGCCAACCGCAGACCACGTTTTATCTTTTCCATCCATCATTTTCTGCAAGGTCCATGATATTCCCAGAGGAGTGGCACCGAATCATCCTGGAATGCAATGTCTACCAAGCGTATTCACAGATGTCAAGGTGAAAGTCGAGCATCGCCATATGATATGGTGCGTTGAGGTCGGAGGAGGGATGCCGGGATCTCAGTTGAGGCGAAAGTAAACAAAAGCTGCTGGTGACGTGACACAAATAAAGGGGTAGCAGTAATAGAGCGGTTTAAGATCCAAATGATGCCGGTCACAGTTCAGCCAAAGCATGCCCATGCTATGCGATCGTCCAGCGTTTGCGCCATGCTCACGGGCACAATCTGATGCTCGCGGGGAAACAATATCGATGCCGTTGGGCGACGTCAAAGGTCTCGCAAGAATCTCCAGAGATAACTTTCTTGTCGATGTCTTTGTGCGATGATGACATTGTACGACCACAAAAGTCAGCTGGTGTCCTGTTTGAGTCAGGAGGCGTCCATCCTGCTATGGTTTGGTTCCTTCAGAACGATGAAACGGGTGCGCCCAATCGAGACAGGTTGGTCGATGCCCGTCGTGTGTTCCGTCAGTTGTTGTCCATGGTGTCTGGCGGTCGACGTTGATTTGTTCGAAGAAAGGTCGAATCACGCGGAGGTGATGGGAACTTGGACAAAAGAAGACACTGCAAGTGGAAGCGAGCGGGCTGCAAGGGGCCAGGGCACCACCCACGATACAACGGGAGCTTACAGGGGTGTTCGCTGCCGCCGTACAGAGCCCAGAAGGAACTGCCCGGCCTGTACCCCGCTATCTGGTAGTGGCTCCTGGGGCTAGAGGTAGGTAGCCTGGCCTGTTTGGAACCGTTATCCCCACGGCAGCCGCCAGGTCGGGCGCCTCCCCCTCCCGGCCAGCCCTCGAACTCTCCTCCTCCGGGCTCGCCCACCTCGGCGGAGGGACCTGGAACATCTCCCGCTGAATCGTCATGAATGGGTGGAACTCTCCGTCTTCACCTCTACAACGTCCCTCACCTTCCCCTCCTCAGATCTCAGTCCTCTTATTTTGCTCTCATACATCCTCAGCATACTGTTCTCTTCCTATGCTACTTGTTGCCGCATACCTCCCCGATATCTTGGCGTGAACTTTGCGCATATTCTTTGGCTTGCTAGAATAGAGCGTTTGTCGGTAGCGGTAGATGCCCGTCCTCCGCGTCAGGTCGCTGCGCGTGGCCCCGCCTGGAGGGGAAGAAGGGATTCGGACTCCATCGCCGTACAAGTTCAAAAGTCCACTCGCCATGACAAGCTCGATCCCAGAACTCCCGGACATGCCCGATATTGGGCCTGATGACAGTTTTCGGCTCCTCATCAAGAAACTTTCCTTGTGAGCCAACGTGCCTTGTGAACACCATCCGTGGGGTAGCTGACAGGGAGATCCTCTTCAGATATATCGCCGAGAATATTCGGTTGCCGTCAACGTTTGAGCAACTCCGTACTACGGCTGCTGGAGACTGTTTGCGGCACCTTGTCGACCACTTGGTCCTCAACTGCGACCATCCAGCCATTGTGAATGCTTTACTGTATGTGATATCCTCTACAAGGTACCCATCTACCCAAGGACATCAGCTGATATGGTCACTACAGCGCACTAAAATGGCACTATGGCGCCATCACTGAGGATAAGGGCCTGAATGATGCCAGAGCCAGCGGTTGCGAGATTGCTGCTTGGCGTCTTCTCACTCACCTTTCCGAGCGAGAGGCTGTTGACTATTGTCTTTACGAGATCCCAGACCCAGCGCTGGAGGCTAACCGCCAAAGCGATGAAGAGGAAACATCGCAAGTCAACGAGCACAGTCCTCTACTTGCGCGCGCATGGACTGAATCTGTGGCAAACCCAAGGCGCAAGCATGAGTTCCCCAATCCAACGAGTGATAACCGGAGGAACCTCTTGCTCCAATCTCTCACACGCCTCACCATGAGTATGACCGGCGAGGTCGACGACGACGGCGAGGAAGAGGATGACCCGACTGCTCCGTTCATCAACTTGAACGCCCTGGAGATTGCCGCCATTGCAGACGCCAAACGATTCCTTAGTCAGAATGTCGTTCAGAAAATCATCACCGGCATATGGAATGGCGATATCATATTCTGGGACAACTTATCCGTTCACACCGAAAAGAAGCCGCGGTTTTACAACCCCCGCACGGCCGATCCCTTTTCACGTCTTCGGGTTCCCAAATATCTCAAGTCCTTCGAGGTCGTCTTCTTTGCCAGTTTTCTGTTTCTCTACTACGCCGTCCTTGTTGAACGAAATCCGACCCGAATCACACCCCTCGAAACCTTTCTCTACCTGTGGCTGGCTGCCTTTTCTTACGACGAGTTGAGTGAATGGATTGACGCTGGATCCATCTTCTACGCTGCTGATATTTGGGTGAGTGTTATGCTCTGTCATTTCCTCTCAGACTTGTTCGGTATGCGTGTATGTGCTAACTGTATCTGGCAGAACATATTCGATATGGCAATCATGGCTATAGGTTTCACTTTTATGGTGTTGCGTAAGTCGAATCATCCCTAGGGTTCTTGAATGCGGCTTGCTTATTACTCATTGCTACAGGAATTATTGGCCTCAAAACGCAAAATGCAGAGCTAATAGATCTGGCGTTCGACGTACTGGCACTGGAAGCTCTACTTATGGTCCCTCGCGTCTGTTCTATCCTCAGCTTGAGCCCGTACTGGGGCACTCTTATCCCTTGCCTCAAGGAGATGGCAAAGGATTTTATCAAGTTCATGGTTCTGGTTGTCATTATCTATCTCGGCTTCCTCACGACCTTCTCCCTGGTCGGGCGCGACTCGTTCCCACTGAGGGACATGACCTGGTTTCTCACCAAGATTTTCTTCGGCTCGACCTTTGTAGGGTTCGACATCATGCGCCAGATCGATCCCGTCTTTGGGCCGCCACTCATGATTCTCTTCGTTATGCTCAGCTCCATCTTGCTCATGGGTTCCCTTACCGGCATGCTCTCCAACAGCTTCTCTCGCGTCATCACGCATGCCCGGGAGGAGTACCTCTTTGTCTACAGTATCTACGTGCTCGAAGCGTCGACTAGCAACCGACTCACGCACTTTTACCCACCCTTCAACTTGCTGGCCCTTGTCATTTTCCGACCGCTCCGCCTGTTCTTGCCCTCCGACGATAAGTTCCGTCGAGCTCGCATCATCCTTCTCAAGGCGACCCACCTACCCATCGTCTTCATCATCGCCATGTACGAGTGGATTAGGGGAACCTCTCTCAGGGGCGCCACATATAGCGCAGTCAAGGCGCCGCCGCATGGGGCGCCCATTGCCAGCCCGGCCATGATGAGGAAGCTCGCGGGTCCGCGACGCGAGATGCGTGGCCGTAGGTCGGTCACGTCTCTGCAGAGCGACCAGGCGGCGCAGAGCCGGCTGGGTATGTCGTCGATGGAGCGGCGCATCTCTGCCCATCACGCTCGGCAGGCCGAGGAAGCCCAGGAGGATTCGACTTATGCGGAGAGAGCGACGGATGTCGAGGTCCGGATTGCAGATTTGGCAGCCAAGATTGACCGGTTGACGGAGCTCGTGATTTCTATGCAGTCGCAGCAGTCTACAACATTGGGCGACGTTTCGCTCTCTTAGTAGTAGTCCAGGACGGCGATGGACTGCTCATTAGATGACAATTATGGCGAGCATCAAGGGTTTCATGATAAAGTAAAGACGATGGAAAGAAGACTCATGGATGACGAACTTTTATATATTACAGTACAACGCACTTATCGATTTTGTTTCAGCGTTCCACAAAACCAGCACTTAGGAAAACATACCCTACGACATGATCTGGACTACAGGGTCCAGTTGGGTACCGGTGGCATATCTTGATGCATTAAAATCTTAGCAAATACATATTGAAAACACAAAGCCAATTAGACAAAAGCCTCAATAATGCCATGTGCATACAAGCCTCTTGATGGCACCTATAGTCCAGCACATTAACACCCAAAAGCCCGAGGCCTCACTCAACAACAGGCTTTCCTTAACGTTGATAGTATGAGATGTTGAGACGGTAGTACTTGGCGCCACTTTATTTTTGCTTCTTGTATCTTCCGCGACATCAAACTTGTCATTGATCAGCGGAGTGTCGGTCAATTCCTATGCGTTCAGCAGCTGCTGTCTCATTAATAGCCAGCTGTGTCATTCGTCTCGTCTATCTTTGATCTTGTCAATGCAACGTCTGGGCGGCGGAATGCGGTGAAGAAATCTGCACCGCTTTGAATGTCGTTACATTGCAGCATTGGGCAGATGCACCCAAGCAGCCTATGTACATACATAGCGCACTGCCACAGCGCGCGTGTGTTGCTGCGTGGTGGTGGTGGCACCGATACGATAACCGATCTGGTCTCCGTCCGATGGAGGAAATAGCACAACACCGAGTAATCGTGGTTTGTGCTACACAGGATAATGTCGTTCAGAATCAAGATATGTACTGTGGTTCCCATTTCACCATAGTGAAGCTACACAATGAGTGGGACAGGGGTACCTCTACCTTTGAACAAAGTCCTGGGAGTTTATCAATGTCTGACCTTTCTCCGAAGAAGTGCCATAAGTGATCGAACAAACAACCGATATACTGTGGTGGGATGGATCGGTAAGTTGAACCCGTGGGTCACCCTCGCTGACGATCTCTGGCACTCGAGTGGTAGCCTTACCTACAGAGTCGGGCACGAAGCTTTCTTGCTTGTTTTGGTCCGTGCCCGGTACCTGACAGGGAGGTCAACTTTTGCTCGCAACCACAGTACTTACTGCATAAGCTCCAACAATTGCATTGTTGCCGAGTGCCAGGGAAGAGAACAAGTTGAAGACGGAGCATTGAGCATCTTTACGGCGATACGCGCCCAATGGATCGTTAGCTTTGGGGTGAAGATACCGCCGGCAAGCTTGAAGACAATGGAAGACCTCAGCGGAGCGGATTTCCTTACCTTAGTGGAGCAGCATGGCGCCAAAAGAGCCCCTACCTCTAGTGCAAGGAGGTACGAGGTTTCAGAAGGTATGCCTACTGTGCAGAGGTAGGTATCGGCCCTTTATCCCTTGACTGCCGGACAGCATGTTAATGGAAGGACGGGAGCTCGTGGATTTTTGTTTACACTATTGAATTGTTTAGCGAGAGATGTACTGATCGTATTGATTTGGATTCGCTGTGAATTATCGCAGCTGTGAACGGCCTCGACAGTGAGTACTTGGAAATGTGACCATCCCGGTCACGGCATGGCAGTGCCCTGCAGGTCCCGGACGACGTGCAGCCCTTTCCTGTGAGTGGACGGGCACGACGACGATGATGTTCTGCGGCCCAAAAACGGCAGGTATCTCTTCGTTTTCTCACCGTATTCGAGGATCGTGTCCTCTCGGCGACTGTGGTAAGCAATAACACACTTGGTTTCGTTCCACAAAGAAGACAGATTTACATATGGCCTCAGCTATGATATGCGTTACAGCCAGCCCTTGGAGCCGAGTCCCAAGACGACCTGAAAGGTGGTGTAGATATTTCAGCCCCACGATACCAACCCCCAAATCCCCACAGGTCCGAGACCCCAAGAGTTCGATGACATCCCTGCAAGTATCTTGGATGTCTCGAAACAGGAGCAACTCCTAGGCAAAGGTCAAGGAATCGTAAAGTGGCATAGTTGGTTACTTGGGCGGGCATTGACTCAATTGAATTTCTCTCTTCAGTAGTGAGACTGCCCTGAACTTAGGCGAACGAATCAGGCCTATCATCTGGGCCTTCCTTGAGGTAGCCTGTGCTGGCCCTTCCACTAACAGTTGCAATCGCAGTCTGGGCAGGTATCACCGTGGCTTCTTAGAGGTGTACCTCTAGTCTTCCGTACCTGGGGGCGAGGTACCTGAGCGGCGAAGGTCACATCTGACGAACGATTGAACGAACGGTATTGCCAAGTTGTTGTTTTTTTTTCACCGGGCAACTGCGTAAAAACCGAAACTACTGCACCTATCCATCCACCCATCCATTCATTCAGTCCAGTCGGTCTGTTTTCTCTTCTCTCTGCTCACTGTTCCAAGTTCTTTCCTCCTCCAAACAAACTTCACGCCATCCCTGTCCTTCCTGACTCTCCTCTTCGCGTCGCGGTCACTTCGTCTTGTCCTCCTTCCTCCCTTTACGCGCCCATTGTATATACGATCTCCCCGCCCTTGACGATTTACGAATAACCTAGGTCATTGCCAGGTGTTCTGAACGCTTTTGACGTTCGAATTTTGGATTCCTGTCTTGATCTAATCACAGCTGAGCTGGCCGACGAGCGACGAAACATCCACCGTGTTTCCCCAATAATCACAATAATTAATACGACTTCAAACTATATACGCTACTACGTATCGATTAATCCCACCGAAAGCCCAAAGACGCGCGGCTCCCTTCTCACTCACTCGTCCCACGTCGGTAACGCGACGGGACCGAGTAGCGCATGCGATCATGAGAACGGACTTTTTCCATCGCTTACCGCCGCCAACTGCCATTCTTCTTCTCGCCAGCCTTTTCAACAGCGTTGCTGCTCATGTCGCCCTTCCGCCACTGCCAACAGTCACGGTTGCGCACTACGCTCTCGATGTCGTTTCGTGGCCACTCCTCCTCCCCACAGCTGCCCCGCTAGACCCCTTCGATCTCGCGAGGAGACAAGCTGGAAATACCATCTGTGGCTATATCGGCGGGCTGTCGGCGCTTCCAGCGACATGTAGCGCAGGATCGCATTGCGTCTTGGACACCGCGCACCAGGTGGTCGGTTGTTGTCCAGATGGGGCGGCCACATGTACGTCTGGTGTGTTCACCGCGTGTGTGGACGGCAACAGCGGGCCTCAGTCGGAGATGAACCCCTACGTATTCACATGTACTGGAGCCCAAGTATGTTACAAGAACATGTATGAAGGAGGAGCCTCCCAGTTCGGGTGTGGTACAGCTGCCGACCAGGCGACAAGTGTTTACACTACCGCAAACGGACTTGCGGGGGCTATCACTTACCCACATATTTCTGCCCTCTTGACGAAAAGTGCTAGTCGACTTGGCACGCCGACAACACTGGGGATTGCTACCAGCACTAGCACCAGCGCGTCCCGAACCCGGACGTCGTCCTCGGCCTCGACGGAATTCTCAGCTTCGACGGAGCCCTCAGCCTCGACGACAAATTCCTTGGTTTCTTCCGAGAGCACAGCGGGCACAACCACCACATCGACTACGACGGCTTCTTCTACCACCGCATCCACAGAACCTTCTACTACACCCCAGGCACCACCATCTAAAACTTCTACAGGAGCGCGCACCGGCGCAATCGTTGGTGGAACACTAGGAGGTATTGCCGCGCTAGCCCTCATCGGCGCCCTTATCTTGTACTTCCTCCGCCGCCGGCGCAGCGCCAACTCGCGCACCGGCCCTGGCCGCCCCGGAATCAACGGCAAGTACATCAGCTCTCCGACTCCCGGACCTAACAGTGGCTTCGCGGCCGTAAGCCAAGACCCTGACGCCTACGAGACTGGACCGGCTCCTGGCTACTTGCCTCCTGTCGCCCAGACAACCAATGAAAAAGGTGGTTTCTCAAGCCATCTAACCGCCGGCGGCCCCTCGCCTTACGCGTACACAGGCGCGGCGGGCGTCGCTGGTGCGGCTACGACTGCAGCATCAGCGCCGGTGGCTTCTTCCCCTACCCCGCCTGGACAACACATACGACAGAATTCATATCCGCCGACCGAAGGGTACCATTACCCGGGCCAGTTCCCGGCTGCATACGCTGGCGGGGCTGCTACGCGGAAGAGCAAGCTCGAGCCGGACCAGGTGCCATTGACAAGGGAAATTGATGCTTTTTCGCAGAACTTTAATGCGGCGCTGGGAAGGATTGGTGAGGAGAGGAGTAGCGAATTGGGGAGGGTTGATGAGGACGCCGGTGGTGCTGGTGATGGAAGTGATATTGGAAGCGGAATGTCACGGCCGCTGTGGCAGCAGCATCGCAGGCAGAGTCGGAACTTGATGTGGATGTAGGATTGAGTGTTGAGTTTCCGTTCATGGTTGTGGAAATGTTCTGCGTTGTTTGGGAGTATTGTATCGACATGGCGAAGGAGTTTGGTTAGCTTGAATATTGCAGGCAGTGGCTTACCATTAGCTGCCTGGGCTATTCTTGCCTTTTGGTTCATTTGTTTTCCAACATCGGGAGAGACGGGAGTTCAATGGCATGTCTTTGGTGGCGTCATTGGCGGGATAAATGGCGTGAAGAAGGAAAATCCGTTGAGTGCGAAGACCGATATCAGTTAGAGTGTAGTCGACCATGAGGTGGGTTCATGTGGATATCAGGAGTCAACTCTCCATTTAGTGTAATGAGCAATGCCGCAGGATGAGCGTACAAGAAGGGAGTGTACGAGATGACGAATACATACACTACTTATGAATACACTGGCTCAATAGAGTTCTGGAATCATCCACGTGGAAAACTTCAAGGATGTCACTGGAGGCTCAAGGTCAACCCCTGATGAGGCGAGCCAGGGACGATCGACAGTGCGCATCTCGCAACCAAAGTAGCGGGCTCCACGAACCTATCAAAAGTATCGGACTTTTCTCCGGACGTGTGTATACTATGTACGTGGCTCCCCTTAGTTTATGTTGACCACCTTCAGACACCACTCCCGTAAAGCCATTGTTGTCAGTTTCGCCAAGCATGTGAGACGAACAATTGATAGGTAGGCGTCGCTAATAAATTGAGTATTCACTTATAATCAGTCAGTGAACTCGACATGTTATCGACAACTCGTTGTCGAGAGTAGTGTTGGTCGTCAAAGCAAAGATGGCTGAGAAATCAACAACCGAGATCGGCAATGTTAAGAAGTGGGTTGGGCGGGGTAATATACTGTGAATCGGGCCTTCGAAGTGACGTATTAGAAATCTTTCTCCACGTCTTAGACGAAGCTTATAAAGTTGTCAACATCACTACGGCGTCATTGAGGTTGGTTTTGGGATAAATAGCTGTTCACTTGTCTGGAAAAGATCGAAAAACCCTTCAACTCTTCACACGCCTTCATTACCTCGAAATTCCATATCAAAATACCAAGCCAATTACGAAAAGAACACCAAGACTCAACATCATCAAAATGTCTGTTCCCAAGGTCCTCGTCGTTCTCACCTCTCACGACAAGCTCGGTAACACTGGCAAGCCTACTGGATGGTACTTGGTAAGTATATTCCCTCCTTACCTCCCCTCCACCTCACTCGTCTCCCATCTTCCCTTTCCCACCGCCGCCACGACCAGCCCACAGAAGTATAACTAACACCACTACTCCCAGTCCGAATTCGCTCACCCCTATGACGTCCTCAACTCCGCCTCCGTCTCCCTAACCGTCGCCTCTCCTCGCGGCGGTCTCTCCCCCGTCGCCCCCGGCTCCATTGAGGACGCCAAGGACGACGAAATCAGCCAGAACTTCATCAAGTCGGAAACCACCAAGCCCCTTTTCGAACAGACCCGTCCCCTCTCCGAGTTTGTCGGCAACCCCTCCGCCATTGCCCCCTACTCGGCCATCTTCTTCCCCGGCGGCCACGGCCCCATGTACGACTTGCCCACCTCCCCCGAGTCCCAGCAGCTCATTCGCGAATTCTGGGAGGCGGGCAAGGCCGTGGCTGCTGTGTGCCACGGTCCTGCGGCGCTGGTGAACGTGAAGCTTAGCGATGGAAGCCACTTGCTCAAGGGCAGAAAGGTGACGGGTTTCACGAATGTGGAGGAGGATCAGGTTGGCCTGACTCAGGTGATGCCCTTCCTTTTGGAGGATAAGTTGAAGGAGGCTGCCGGGCCCGAGGGAGCGTTTGTGAAGGCCGATCAGCCATGGGGCGAGAAGGTGGTTGTTGAGGCGGACGGAAGGTTGATCACGGGCCAGAACCCTGCTTCTGCTAAGGGAGTTGGTGAGGCTATTGTGAAGTTCATTAAGGCTCAGAAGTAATTCTCTTGGACTTTTGGGAGAGTAATGGTTTAATCTGTTTTAGACGCTGGGATGCTTAGCTGGATACGACTAGTTACGAATACCTCTTGATGGAATTGAGTCAACTTTGTTGTTATATCTTGAATGGCATGTTAATACATGACTGCAAACAGAGCTGTGGTATCTTCTAACGCTGGGTTGATAATTGCAGACTAAAGAAGGTTGAACAAACCAAATGCCGGGTTATGCGTAGACTTTCAATGTCAAAAACAACCGTGTACGCCATCTTTTCCCTTTCATGATATGCTTGGATGCTGCGATTCTGGTTGAAACCCTTTTCCCTGCCAGATAACCCATAGTCAAGCGCTGTCTGGCCAAAATCCTAGCCAAACCGGCACAAAAGCAACCAATGCTAACCGGGTATATAGCCTGTAACGCCAGTTCTTTCCTCTGCGCCTCTATTCACTGCACCTGATACTCCACACAAACAAACATACCTCTATCTTAGGAAGCAGAAACGGGCTCCATCCCATCCTTAGTGGTAACCACCGCCTTACTGCCGCCTACAACATCCCGCAATCTGCCTTGCATCTTCTCAGCCTCAACCCCCTCAACACCCTCAAGGGTGAGCACAATCTTTTCTGCCCACGGAAACTCTGTCCACTCAAGGAACTTGACCCTCAACTCCCATAGCATTTCATACAGCAAGTCAATGATAGGGAACAACGAGTTGGTCGGGTTAAGCTCGCCCGGTCCGAACGCCGAACCCTTCATGCAGTCGTAGCATTTTCCGCCAAACTGCTGGATCATGGCATCCGCGAAGCGGTACCTGCCGCGACGCTCATGCTCGATGGCTTTGAGGATGTCAACAACGGAGTGGATGGAGAGGCCGATAATCATTTTGGTTCCTTGGCCGTGGAAGGTGGATTCGATGCCGTTGGTTGTGGTAGGTTGGGTTTGGGCTTGGAAAAGTGTCTCTGGGTTGGATCCGCTGGTTGTTATGGTTGTGGTTTCCTTGGGTATATGCAAGCCCAAGCCTTTGACGACCTGTATCAAACCGGCCATGCGCTTTTCCATGCACAACCTGCTGCGACAGCCGCCGTTGCGTTGACCGTTCTTGATACGACCATGCCAGTTCTTGCACGTATTCTCAGCTACGTTCGTTAGGTACTGGCAGGCTTTGGTTCTGGTGTTGACGATGGCATCTGTATCATAACTTGGTTAGTCAACACTCTTCATCAACATCAATCAAACACCACAAAGGCAAAGAACTCACCAATAGTCTCCTCCCCAACCAACAACCTATTCAAAACCCCTCCCCCACCAGCACCAGCACCCGGCTTCTTCAACACGAACCGTCCTCCCGCATCCTTATCCACACTACACAGATACGCCAACCTCGCCACCAACGTCCTCCACTCCACAATCCACGTAAACTTCCTACACGCCTCCAACGCCTTCTCCCATTTATTCTTCTTCAAATCCACCCCCTTCATATCACGCTCCTCAAACAGATCCTCTCCCATGGCGTGGTTCCCATTCCGATTCTGTTTGTGTCCGCCGCCGCTGGCTTGACCGGCCGTGGTGACAGGCGCCGGGACAGGCAAAGTAACCTGCTTGATAAACAAGCCCATACACCGTCTCAACCAGCGCACGTACTCCTTGTCTAAACCCAGCGCCGGCTGCAGGTTGGACAGGCGCCAGATGGTGTCGACGTCGCAGGCTGTTTTGCCCTGTGTGGCAGGGTCTTCGAGGAGGCGGAGTAAACGACCAAAAGCCTGCATGTGCGAGTCGGCGGTTTCGCCGGGGGCGTTGGAGAGCTCGGTTGGGGTGCTACCCGGGATGGTGAGCGCTTCGTTGAAGTTGATGTACACGATATTGGGGAAGGGGGAGGTGGTGAGGGTGGTTGGGTGGTGCAGGTGTTTAAGCGTGCTGCGGCGCACGCGGAAGTGGTGGAGAGTGTGCATGCCAAAGACGCAGTAGAGGTCGGTGTCGGCTTGGGGGGAGATGATTGTGGGGGTTACTGGCTTTGCCAGCCTTTCGGTGTTCACATTGGGGAGTGAGGGTACTGGTGCTGGCTGAGTTGAGGGATTAGGGGAAGGCCCGGTTGGAGTTTGAGTGGTATGCTGAGTTGGAATCTGAGCGGCAGCCTGAGTTTGATGTTGGACAGCATGCTGAGCTAGGATCGGAACACCATTCTGGGTCTGCTGTTGAGCTTGTTGTAGAAACTGTTGCTGGGTGTGTTGCTGCTGAGTCTGTTGTTTCGGAGCCTGTTGTTGAACTTGCTTCTGGGCCTTTTGCTGGGCCCGTGGCTTAGCTGGCTGCTGAACAGCATGTTGATATGAATGTTGAATAGCAGGCTGAGCAGATACACGATTTTGCGCAGCAGCCTGAGCTTGATGTTGAGCACGAACCTGAGCCTGACGCTGAACATCATACTGAACAATATGCTGAGCTGGCGGTTGAGCGACTTGTTGAGCTGGCCTCTGAGCAGCTTGCTGAGCCTGTTGGTGAACGGCTTGCTGAGTTGGCTGCTGACCAACAGACTGGGGCACCATATAGGTGGAAGGTTTAAGCGGAGGTTGAGCAGGAGGCTGAGTCTGTCCTTGAGTGGAAGACTGAGGAGGAGGCCGAGCGGGAGCTGGAGAAGGAGACGGAGTAAAGGCCGCATTAGGAGTCCTCTGGACTGAAGCCCCAACGACATCCTGTTTCGAAGGTTGAACCGGATGTTGAGGAGAAACTCGAGCAGGAGTGGGGGTCGGAGTGGGTGCCGGGGTAGGGCTTAGTGCCGGAGTGCGAGCTGGACCTTGAGCAAAAGCTTGAGTTGAAGCTTGGGCGGTACCTGGAGCTTGTCGAGGAAACACAGATGGGACTTTCGCAACGATAGGGATATTCGGAACAGGAACAGGCGAAACCTTGTTAGGTACAGCAGAAACTGGGTTTTGAATACCCGTAGCCGGAGTTTGATTCATCACTTGAACTGGTCGTGCAGACCTCAAGGTTGGGATCGGTGCAGAATTAGCCGCCGCAACAAATTCCGACGGGACCTGAATAGGCGACGGGGGAGCCATGTTGAAGATCGGCGCCTGGGAAGAAAGCTGGGCCACTTGCTTATGGGGGGCGTAAGAGACAGATGTGGCCGATTCTGTTGTCTGTCTGAAGCTCTGTGTAGGCTGGCATGTTTCTATAGCCATAATGGCCTGTTCAACAGCAGGCATAGTTGCGCTTGTCGGAAGCCCACTAGATGGGGTTGGGGTGGCTGTTTCTGAAGCTGATAATATAGACGGCGTACCTGGAGAAGCTTCATGATAGTTTGTGGATAAGAGGGCTGGGGTAATTGTTGGTGTAGACGTCGCTGTCGGCATAAAAGCCATTGGTGCAACGGGAGCAGTGGCCTCCGAACCGATAGGTGCGGTAGTTTCTGTCTTCTTTTTTTGCGTTCTCTGACGTTTCTTCGGAGGCTCTTTAGGAGCTGTAGGGTCAGATGTTCCCTCGACCTTTGGCTTGCGTGGAGCATAATTCCTCTTGCGCTTCGCAGGCTGGGCGGGGTTTGCTTCTTGGGGTTTGTCAGGTAGAGGTATCTGGCTCGTGGCACTTTTTGAGGCCCTCTTTTTCGCAGTCTCCGCAGCGACTTGGCTGTTCATAGACTCCGCAGCACGGGAGAGCGCATCCGCTGATAAGGAGGTGGCCGGAGGTTGAGCAGCCTGTGACTTCACTGAAGGCATGCTGTTGGGACGGAATGAAGAGTTGTTGTTGTTGCTGTTGTTGTGAAAGCTGCCAATGTTATAGTGGCTGGCAGCGCCAGGTATAGTTGAGAAATCGAACGACGACGGAACTTGGCCTAGGTACTGGTTCATCGTTCCATTGACAGACTGTTGGTAGTGCGCATATTGTGGCATGGGCGCGACGGCGTAGTCCAAGTAATCATTGAACGATAGTTGAGGTTGTTGAGCGGCCTGCTGCGCCCCCGGGTTGACCATGTTGTTGTGCAAGTTGGCTTGGGTCGCTGCCATGGACTGATCAACGGACGGCTGTGGGCGACTTTGAAAACAAACAGACGGCGACTGTGGGTTGAAGGCTGATCCTTGAGCAGGCGCCATACCGTTCCCATTTCCCATGACTCTCATATTAGGATTGTTCTGGGCTGCTATACCACCTGAATGGTGAGAAGGGTTAGGGGGAGGGTGATTTGGAAGAGAGGTCGAGCTCTGGATTTGCCCCAAGTTGTTAGGAAAAGACTGAGACTGGATGGGCTGCGCGGTCGGTCGCAGAGGGGTATTGGACTGGCCCGCCGTCAAGGCAGGGTCAATGGGCTCCATTTGAAAGGCGAAAACGCTCTGAACGTATTCTGATTGTGACGGATCAGGGCCAGGCTGATTGTGATTTGCGTCGCTCATGTTGCAGTAGAAGCCACCGATGTCCGGCAGCTTGAATGCGGGGACGTGTTGTGGGTGGTGTAGTTGAAGAGGGGATTTGTCGATGGCTACACGTCGAGTGTGGGGAGTAAATACCAAGATGGACCTGGCGGGAGGTGGTGAAGGAGTTAAGAGCAGGAGGTCGCCCAGTGCAAGGCGGGGAGTAAATTCTGTCTTACAATAAATACGTATCGTGCTCGGGTCAACAAGTGAATGGTTGATGCCCGCGTCGGTACAGGTTTTGGTGCCGCCGAGGGTCGAAGGTCCTGTTGCCGGAACCCTAAGCCAACATCGCGCCAGCTTGTTTCAAGCTTCCCACAATGGATATTACAGGATATCGAAAACCATCTTAATTCTTATGACAGATTCAGATATCATATTCCTTGACCACACATCTTTGACACATGAACGAGCCGGCCATATCATCATTCACTGAAGCCCAGTCTTGACATAACATCAGCGTTGCGGCTTGTACTGTCAACATCAAAAGCTTGATGACAATAGATCGAACAATAGGTGGGGATCATGAGCACAGATGCGTAGAAAGGCACTGAACTGCAATGCGGTTTCCTGTTTAGCAACGTCTGGCGCCTAGAGTGAAATTTCACATTTCTCTCGCAAAGTTGAAACTTTGAGTGAGACGCAATCACCAACTATGAAGTCACGCCATGGTCTTGGGTACTATGAAGTTCCGTTTAGCAGAATGACTCCGATTCCATATCGATCTGGCAGATACATAACCGAAAAATTGCGAGTGTCATCAAGCCTTCCTGTAGCGGTAGACGCGCCTTCGTTGACTGGGTCCATGCCTATATGGGCTTCCGCTTGAGCAATCTGCCTCTGGAATCCTCGACTGTTAAGAGAACCTGAATCCTCATTTTGCCGTGTCATATATACTTTATACCGCCTGCCAGTCCAACCCCCATAGTCAAGGAACAGTTCATGAGACAGGACAACGGGAATGAGGATAAATAGTGAACCGACAATGTTTGGTGTTTCGAACCGGTGTCAAGATGTACTGTCGCAAGGACTTATCTCCGGCAAGTATCATGATAGTCATGGTTACCTAGGTAGCTTCAATTGATGTTCACTGCAGGTCGGTTCATCTCGACTTCACTCTTTCCGTATGTCGTCGTTGTCGCTGGGATGCACGTGATACATTCTGTAGTGTACCTGGCAAGAGCGGAAAGTCTCCCGTCAGCTGGGGCCACCTGACCCACCACTCCCGTCTTGTTTCCACCCGACCCAACCACTTCCCCGGACAGCAAGTGGGCCCGAACTTGCACTCGTGCACAGACCAACTTATCCAGGCAGCAGGGAGCCGAGGGGGTATATAAACCACCGAGACCGTCGCTCTGGTTTGTCTTGTCTTTCCCTCTTCTTTTCTTCTTTAGCTCTCTTTGCCTTACGGCTTAGATCAAGTGTAGTATCTGTTCTTTTCAGTTTAATCTCTGAAACTGCGCTTACGGGGGCAGAATCGTGATTACACCTATTTTTGCAATTTGGTCGGCGACCCTCTGGGCTTGCTCATGGTCGCTGTCCACCGTGTCCCTGGCATCACACTGCCTCCAGGCGATGCGAACTGCACGACGTACATGTTTCTGTCCTCAAGTCGTTTTCATTGCTATTCTGGGCTGCGCGCTTGGGATGCGAGGAAGAACTCGTTTGTTTATGGTCACTCTTCGACGTTGAGATTTACTACTTTCAGTGTTTGCTAACTTTTAAGACCTTTGCAACCATCATGAGCTGCCTAAAAGGTGTCCAACACAAGCGGAAGGTGGCTCTAGGATAGCCAGTGATCGGTGAAGGCCAGAGACTCCTGATGAGCTATGTCGGGATTTGTCACTGTGACTGTAGCTATATGAACATGGCCTGACTTGATGAAGCATCAATCTCGAGGTTGTCAAGAACGTGATCAGCGAGGTCCCATCGGCGGCCATTGAGTCGTACAAGGCAAGAGAGTTCATGCTCCTCGAGATGTTCTTTATGGCCGAGGATTTTCGCTGGTTCCAGTTGACACACGGTGCCCCACGAGGTGTTGGACATTTCAGTTGGCTGTCGAGGTTATAAAACCCTCTGGAAGAAATCCGGAAATATCTGTGATAAGCGTTCGGTCAATCCAAACGTTGAGCGGGATGATATGGAGGAGGTGGAATAAGGAAGCGAGGATTTAACGGGCAGTGGACAAGGAAGATGGCACACTACACTACAAATGGGACGTCCATACGCAGTGAAAGGGGACTAATATTGCTCCACTTGTATCACTAACACGAAATTCGTAGTTTCTCAAACTCGTGGTAGAGTTGATGAGGAAGCCCAAGCCAAATAAGGGTTTGCTTGTTTCCCAATTTTCCATATAGACTTTCCCATAGCACAATTGCTGATCTTGATTCTTGCGCACATTTCATCCTCTTGTAACCTAATGACTTGGTTCGATGATGTTCTACTGTAGTTATTCAAGATCTTGACGCGTCGCGATCGCGGGGTGACATTCAAGCGCAGCAAAAGTTAGAGAGCTTGCAGCCCCCGCTCGCCTCTTGCACCCCCAACACACAGCGGACGAACTGCTCTTAACTCCGTAGCTCGTCCATTGCATCACCACTGCTTGGTAACTGGCATTTAACGCTTAACATTCGGTTCCCAAACTGTGCACAATCCACGACGTGACACATCTTCCCGCATATGCGACATACTGTATCCTATGTTTTTTACAATCCCTCGAATGTGAAGATCGTACTTCTCGAGCCTCTGTCGCCCGCCGCATAATACACCATGGCCTACGTCGCCCCGATTCACCGGCCGAGCAGCGTGCGGCACGCTCTGCGTATCAACCTTTTGTCGCCCGAGGAGGAGAGCTTGATTATCGCGTATGGACTTCTACATCCCGTCCCTCTCCGTTCCATAAATTGCGCCTACTGTATCATGTCGACTGACTGACGTGTATTAGGAAAACAAATCGCATCGAAATATGGAAGCTCGCCGACGGTCATCTGTTCATGATCCATTCCAAGGTTATCAACGGGACCATCACGATTCTCCAAAAGCTCCAGCCTAAAGACCACCCGACCGACCTTCTCTTCGTTGGCACCGATCAGTTCGAATACTTTACGGCAGAATGGGATCGCGAAACCCAACAGCTAAAAACCCTGAACCGATTTAGCGATCCGGGCGAGCGCCACATGCGCGATTCCCAAAGTCAAAACAAATGCATCGTCGATCCCAGCGGAAGGTTCATGGCCATGCACCTATGGGAAGGTGTCTTGTCGGTTTGGCGGCTGGGTAACCGGAAGAACACGGCGACGACACTTGACATATTGGTACAAGTGCGCCTGTCCGAGCTCTTCATCAAGGGCAGCACCTTCCTGTACACCGAGACCGGCATTCCCAAGGTTGCCTTCCTCTACCGGAATCAAGCCAACTCCAACGAAACCAAGCTGGCGACGTACCGTCTCACGTCGGACGACCGGCACACCGAGATTTCCAAGTTTGATCCCACGAGAGACCGAGAGATCGACGCCGATGTGGAAGATCCCGGTGCGGGCATACTGATTCCGGTCAAAAAGGTTGAAGAGGAGGTCAAGAGGCACCATTTCCGTAATACGGAGCAAGCGAAGCCACATGTCGGCGGTCTAATAGTTGTTGGCGAAACGCGGTTGCTGTACATTGACGAAGTGACCAAAACGCAGGTCGAGTCCGCCCTCAGGGAAGCGTCGATATTTGTCGCTTGGGCAGAGTACGATCCCACTCACTACTTCTTATCGGATGACTACGGAAACTTACATTTGCTCACCATTTTGACGGAGGGCGCAGTGGTCACTGGAATGGATGTCTCCAACATTGGAAAGACAGCCCGCGCACACGTTTTGACGTACTTGGGCGACGACATGTTGTTTGTTGGTTCGCACTACGGCAATTCACAGCTTTATCGGCTCAACCTTCTAAGCGAGGATCTCAGCGAGATCCTGCAACTGGTCCAGGTGCTAGAGAATATCGGTCCTATTACGGATTTCACCGTGATGGACATGGGCAATCGGGAAAACGACAGCCAACTGGGCAACGAGTACTCTTCTGGCCAAGCCCGTATTGTCACAGCAAGTGGTGTCTTCAAGGACGGAACCTTGCGGAGTGTGCGAAGCGGTGTTGGTTTACAGGACATTGCAATTCTGGGTGAACTGCAGCACACTCGGGCGCTCTTCTCCCTCCAATCTTACAACTCTCCACGCGTGGATACGCTGGTCGCGTCCTTCTTGACTGATACCCGAATATTCAAGTTCGACCCTCACGGAGAGATCGAGGAAGTTGACAATTACTACGGGATGGACCTACAGCATCAGACACTACTGGCAACGAACCTCGACAATGGGCAACTGCTTCAGGTGACGACGGCCGCAGCTACTCTTCTTGACGCCGAAAGCGGAGTCACGATAGCATCGTGGGCTCCTGAAGGCGACAGGCAGATCATCAACGCTTCAGCTAACAAGCACTGGTTGCTCTTGTCTGTGCAAGGCACTACCCTGGTCTCCATCAACATTGATAACGACTTGACGGTTGTGCAAGAGAAGGACATCAGCGAACAGGATCAGATAGCTTGCATCCACGTGGCGCCTCAGCTATCGGATGTGGGCGTGGTGGGGTTTTGGACGTCCGGGACGGTGTCCATTATCGATATGAGCACCCTGGAACCGATACACGGCGAATCACTCCGCCGCAGCGCAGACGATGCTTCCATACCGCGTGATCTCGTCTTGGCCAAGGTGCTTCCCAATGCGCCTGGAATGACCTTGTTCATCGCTATGGAGGATGGAAATGTAGTCACATTTAACATTGGCGAAGACCTGACCTTTTCTGGACGGAAGAGTGTCATCCTTGGTACCAGGGAGGCGCGCTTCCATTTACTGCCACAGCAGGATGGGATCTACAGCATCTTTGCGACGACTGAGCACCCTAGTCTTATCTACGGCTCGGAAGGGCGGATTATCTACTCGGCTGTGACGGCTGAGGACGCTACCTGTGTCTGTCCCTTTGACTCTGAGGCGTTCCCAGGGGCTGTCATCTTGTCTACCGAGAACGAGATCAGGATTTCCGAGATTGACACAGCCAGACAGACGCACGTGCGATCTTTGGAATTGGGAGAGATGGTGCGTAGAATCGCCTACTCGCCTAGTGAAAAGGGTTTTGGACTTGGATGTATCAGGAGAGAGGTGGTCAATGGCGAGGAGATCATTCACAGCTCTTTTAAGCTGGTTGATGAGATCTTATTTGCGAGGGTTGGCAAGGAGTTCATGCTCGGAACATCGTCGTATTCCGAACTAGTGGAGGACGTCATCCGAGCAGAGCTGCCTGACTCGTATGGAAATCTTGTGGAGAGGTTTATCGTCGGTACAAGCTTCCTGGAGGATCCTGACCGTGGCGCTGGTACGGACAAGCGCGGTAGGATCTTGGTGTTCGGGATCGACAGCAACCGGGATCCGTACTTGGTCCTCAAGCACGAGCTGAAAGGCGGGTGTCGCGCTCTGGCGGTCATGGGCAGCAAAATCGTGGCTGCACTCCACAAGACAGTGGTTATCAGCCAGTACGAGGAAACGTCAAGCACTGAGGCCCATCTCGTCAAGCTCGCGTCTTATCGGTGCACAACTTATCCGGTCGACATCGCGGTGCATGGCAACATAATTGCTGTTGCTGATATGATGAAGTCGGCAACACTGGTCGAGTACGTCCCGGCCAAAACCGGAGGGGAGAAGTCTGAAGCCCCCAAGTTGGTAGAGTGCGCGAGACACCGGCATTCTGCGTGGGCAACGGCCGTGGCTCACGTTGAGGGCGAGTCTTGGCTTGAAGCTGATGCCAATGGCAATCTGATCGTGCTTCAACGCAATGCTGAGGGCGTGACAGTGGAGGACCAGCGGCAACTGAGGATAACAAGCGAGCTCAACCTGGGAGAACAGGTGAACAAAATTCGCCCAATCAAGGTCGAGACTAGCCCGAACGCCATCATCATTCCTCGAGCGTTCTTGGCCACGGTAAGTTGCCTGTTTCTCAGATTGATCATGTCACAAGGTCAAGGCTAACAATTGACTTTTTGAAACAGGCTGAAGGCGGTATCTACATGTTTGGCACGATTGTGCGCGAACAAGACCTCTTGCTTCGGTTCCAGGATAAACTGGCGGCGGTGATCAAGACAGTTGGCGAACTCGATTTCAACTCCTACAGGGCATTCCGTAATGCGGAGAGGGGGCCCGAGGCAGATGGAACGACTGGACCGGTCAGGTTCCTGGATGGGGAGTTGCTGGAGAGGTTTTTGGATGTGGATGAGAAGACGCAGAAGGAGATCTGCGAAGGTCTTGGGCCGAGTGTTGAGCAGATGCGCAATATGGTAGAGGAGCTACGGAGGATGCACTGAGCCAACGGTTAGATACTTGACGTGTATAATTGGATGTCTACAAGTCATCGCTTTGGCTGCTGAAGTTTTTGGCAGTTGCAAATCTTTGTCAACGAGTGCTGTACTCAAAACAGGCCTGCATAAGGTGAGAAGATGAGTCTGTGAATAGCCTCAGATGAACGAATGGAAATGCATCAAATGCGATCAATTGACATCACTGTCTTGGCACCCTTGGCTCGCCGAGTCGCTGACAGTTCAAGTTGTCCGGGCGCTGCGGTGACGCGCTGAGGTGAGCCCCACCACCACCAACAGCCCGGACGAACCAGGCGACGGAAGAAACCGGAGAGTGGACGAACAGGCAGTCACAGCCAATCAGGGCCGGTGCATTAAGTAGCTCTCTAGCTGCTGGGCGGACGCTGTGGTTGGTTAGTGCCTCAGGCCACAAGCCAGTAGCTATGGCGGTTTCCCATGCCGGGAAAGGTGGGAACCAAGCTCGGCCCAGAAAAACCTCAGTCCGTGATTTTGGCCTCGTCGTCTCGACCGCATTACGCAGCCGTCAATTCCGTCTCCGGAACACCGCCCACGTCCACCGTCTCCCGCGACTCCGAAAGAGCAGAACCTCGCTCGTTCTCCCCGCTCTCGCAACCCCCTCTCTCCGCTCCGACCTCTATCCACGCGAGTAATCCTACCGACACAATGGCGCCCGTCTCGATCGTTTCCCGCGCCGCCATGCGCGCCGCTGCCGCCCCCGCCCGGGCCGTTCGCGCTCTCACCACCTCGACTGCCCTCCAGGGTTCCTCGTCCTCCACCTTCGAGAGCCCCTTCAAGGGCGAGAGCAAGGCCGCCAAGGTCCCCGATTTCGGCAAATACATGAGCAAGGCGCCCCCCAGCACCAACATGCTCTTCTCCTACTTCATGGTCGGCACCATGGGCGCCATCACCGCCGCCGGCGCCAAGTCCACCATCCAGGGTGAGTCTTGACTTGATGGGATCTGAGGAGGAAGCTTCACACATTCCTCGAGGTTGGGGAAAACAAAGAGGTGGCATATGACAGATGGGTTCGGGTCAATGGGATTCGACAAGGGGGTTCTGTTATGGTGGGGCGAGCTATCTACGGTTCCGTCTCATTGATCATCAACATGCGACTACTATGACAACTTTCGATATCGGGGCGAATATGGTTGGACCTTGGGGCGATGTTGAAGCATGGATGCATGGAGGGGGGATACCATCTTGCACATGCACCCACAAACACCCAAGAACTAAAGACAGCTGACAAGGCGACCGTGTTATACAGAGTTCCTCAAGAACATGTCGGCTTCCGCTGATGTCTTGGCCATGGCCAAGGTTGAGGTTGACCTCAACGCCATCCCCGAGGGCAAGAACGTAAGGATCCTTACGAAACCGGATTAAGAAAGGCTTAGGCTGAGCTAAGCTGGGCACATCGATTCCCGACGACGATCAAACATGATGGAATGCTGACCCCGGTCTTTTCCAACCTTTACAGGTCATCATCAAGTGGCGTGGCAAGCCCGTCTTCATCCGTCACCGTACCCCTGCGGAGATCGAAGAGGCCAACAAGGTCAACGTTGCCAACCTCCGTGACCCCGAGACCGACGCCGACCGTGTCAAGAAGCCCGAGTGGCTCGTCATGCTTGGTACGCTCCTCCATGTCCCTCTTTGCGATCCGAACAAGACGAAGGACAGCATTTTTGGATGCTCGGATCCTGGATACACGAAGATGTGGGGAGACTGACATTTGGTGTGTGAACAAAACAGGCGTCTGCACCCATTTGGGTTGCGTTCCCATCGGCGAGGCCGGTGACTACGGTGGCTGGTTCTGCCCCTGCCACGGTTCTCACTACGACATCTCTGGCCGTATCAGGAAAGGACCTGCCCCTCTGAACCTCGAGATCCCTCTCTACGAGTTCCCTGAGGAGGGCAAGCTTGTCATTGGTTAAGCGAGCAAAAAGACAAAACTTTCCGATCGAACAAACAAGACAAAATTTTTAACCAAACCTACTAGGGAATCCTCTCGATATTCCCTTGTCCGCTTTTTTTTTCCTTGCTGCCCGAGAGACGATGACAAGGAGAATTGTATTAGTACGGGGGTAATGCGACAAAGGGCTTGAGTGGAAGCATGTCATAGACCATAAAACGGGATTTTTGTTTTCCGTGGTTCTTGACGCGGTTTCGTACGACTATCCTATAGACAGAAGACACATACGCATACACAACAGCAAATCAGGTGTCACGGTCGATCATATGCGCTCGAGAGGCGGAAACTCCTATATACTCAGAACTGCGTTCTTCACCTACGCAACCCTACATACCTGATATTGGTGCTGAGCTTGGAGCTAGGTTGCTGCTGAGTGTTGTGCCCTTGCGTTTTCCTATAGACTGGCTTTGTAGAAAATTTTATTGTATGAGAGGCTCACTGGAGCATGGTACCGTGAGAAGGCCTTCCCCGACCCATGGCAGTCGGCTGTGGTTGAGAGCTTTGTGAGGAAACCATAGGTCAGCTGATGAACCTCCCAATACTAACGCATCTAATCATTTAACACGGCATTGGTATATACAAATGGCCTTTTATGCGGGTGTGGGACAGACAGGCTACATGTCGAATTGCTGGACAGCAGCTCGACCAGAATTACAGATGTTGACAACTTAATCCCAGCTTGACCAAGCTTGCGAATCAAGCCCAGTCGGTATACCCGCCCGTGCTACTCTGGTAGGCGGTAGCTGAGTTAAGGAAACGCCCGCGAACCGGTAGCTTACCCTGGTTGTTTCATTGACGTCTGAGGAATTCTCCGAACGTAATTATATCTGAAGCCCGCCTTAACATCTTTTGCGCTATTCAAGCTGACACACAGTTAGTGCACTACCTTCTACCATAGCCCCTTGCCAATACTGGCCGGGTGGGTTGCGGTCTCATTGCAGGGGCCAGGTTGTACCCCCATGCCCCCCCTTGCTCTGAGTCTTTTTCCCCCACAAACAAAACAACCTCATCTTTCGAACTTCGCCTTCCCGGGCGCGTCTTGACACGGCTTTTTCACTTCTTCATCAACTTCTTCAACCCTTCACCCTTGCGGCTCAAAGGGGCTGCTCCTAGGGTCATGTAACAAGCGAAGTTCCATCGTTTGTCTGATCTGACTTGCCGACTACCCGAGGCACCATGGCGGCCACGATTCACCCACCACGACTGGACAAAATTGTTCTCGAACACAAATCATGGCAGGCGCCACGGTCATTGACAGCGACCGAGATCGAGGCATGCCGATGTCACCGAAAGCGAGAAGTGAGGGGTGGGTGAACGTCGCAGTCAATCAAGCGCTTATGGAGTCTCATCTTATATGAAGGGATCACCAAGTCGAATGTTTACTTTCCCACTTGGGCTGGGAGGATTTGACTGTCACTGAGCTGCCTGCCTTCGACATTACCCTCTGTTACGATCATGTCCGGACCCGTGCCACATTCGAGATCGTCAACATAGGGCAGAGGGGAGACCATGGACTTATATCAGTGAACATAGGTGCATGCTCAAAGTGCGGCGGCACATCATTCCAAATATCGTCTTTCGAGCACATCTCAAGTGAGGATGTTTTGAACAACATCCCGATGATACCGAGCACCATCACATGTTTACTCGCACCGGCTTTACGGGAGGCATTCCGTAGCCAAGTGGCCATCACTCCTTTTCCACCTTCCATCATCAGTTTCCCCAGCGGTGAATCTTCCATCCTTCATCTTGAACAGGTTACATCCTCGTATTTCCCCTATCTCGACGATATGTCGTTGGTGACAAGGGGCCCAGGCGAAAGCCGCCCGGTACTACGGTACTAGAGGGGCAACTTAAACACACACCTGCCCGCTTCGCTTGTACCTCAGACATGTGAGCTTGGTTGGCTCGCTACACGGAACAAACATGGAGTCGAGGCCTTGCCGGCCGGCCAGCGGATCGATTCCCCCTGTCGAACATCCTCGGGCCCAATGAACCGAATTCCTTTTTGGGCCATCTCGCTCCGGCTTGGAGCGGAGCCAACGCCCTGGCTTCACGACTTTCATGACAGCGGTTCAGGATGCGGGTATTATTCAGTACTACTACATATGCAATGATGAAAGGGCTCGTCCGGAGGGTCGGTATGTACAAGGCCTGTGGCAGACTGGTGGGAGATCACAAGGAACACATGGTGGATGCTCATCGACCAGGGGGGGTGTTGGATCTTGAGACCATGGTATATATAAACCATGATCGCTCTGTTCACGGAACGCGGACGAGAAGATAGCCTTGCTAACCAACTCCGCTCTTTCACCTTTGGTCTTGTTGACTCTTTCGTTCCTTAGATAGGGGTTCTGCGAACTTTGCACTCGTTTTAACATTCTAAACACTCTTTTTTTGATTATTTCGGGGCTCCCCTTTGACAGGTCAGCCCATCTCTTTGCATATACAACAAGCCGTCTCACAGCCACAAATCACTATCACCACCCGACAACAACAGACAAGATGAAGTACAACGCCAGCCTCCTGGCCCTGGCCGTCGCCACCGTCGCCTCCGCTCGCGAGCTTTCCTATCAGAGCTTTACCAAGCGCGAAGTACCCCAAGAGCACTCATACGATGCTATCCTGCGCGGCACCAACGCCGCCCTCAAGCTGAACAACCCGCTCAACATCCAGGACGCTGTTTTCGGCCTGCTCGACAACGCTGCCGCCGCCAAGGGTGCCGGCCAGGTCACCAACCTGGACTGCCTGCAGCAGATCGTGGCCGACCAGGCCTTTACCAATGCTAAGGCCGCCGGTGACCTCGACGGCCAGGTCAATGCTGTGCTGTTCCGCGCCCTCGAGCGCGAGACGAGCCAAGTCGGCCTTGCTAGCGCCATTTGCGACGAGACAGCGAAGAACCCGGAGATTGCGGTCGTTCATCAGCATCAGGATCCGGCCAGTGCGGAGGGCAAAGCGAAGAACAAGGACATTGAGTTGGTGGTTGCGAAGGTTCTGAAGGGATTGGGCGCGGATCCGTTGTTGGCGCTTGACAGTGCTACTTCCCTTCCTGGAGATGTATGTCTTTTTTTTTTTTCCCTCGCTGTCCTCTTTCACGTATATGCGTTAGAAAAGTTCTGGTTGCTAACGTGAATGGTGATACAGCTCCTTGATGCTACTGCTTCGAACCTTCTGTCTCCTGCTATTACCAAGGAGGAAATCCTGGCTGCCTTTGATGTTGGTGACGATGGCCTTCTTCGCCGAGCTGGTGAGTACAGTCAACGATCAAGTCAATGTCTGATGGGCTTCGTTCTTGAGTGCTAATTCTTATATAAAGAAGATGATACCTGCGAGGATGACGGTACTGCCGACGACACCGGCAGTGATGCTGGGGATGACGACACTTGCGAGGACGATGGTACTCCTGATAACACCGGCGACGATGCTGGGGATGACGACACCTGCGAGGACGATGGTACTCCCGATGACGCCGGCGACGATGCCGGAGACGACGATACTTGCGAGGACGACGGTACCAACGATGATAACACTGGCGCTACCGTAAGTCCTAAGGCTACGACCGGCAACGCTACCGGCAATAACAACACTGGCGGCAACATAAGTCCTAAGGCTACGACCGGCAACGCTACCGGCAATAACAACACTGGCGGCGCCGCAAGTCCTACCGCTGCGACCGGTAACGGTACCGGTAATACTAATACTAGCGGTGCCGTGAATCCTACCGCTACGACCGGCAACGGTACCGGTAATACCAACACTAGCGGTGCCGTATATCCTACCGCTACGACCGGTAACGATACCAGCGATGACGACACCTGCGAGGACGACGGTACTCCCGATGATGCCGGCGACGATGCCGGCGATGACGACACCTGCGAGGACGACGGTACTCCCGATAATGCCGGCGACGATGCCGGCGATGACAATACCTGCGAGGACGATGGTGCTACCGATGATGCCGGTGATGACGACACCTGCGAGGACGATGGTGCTTCCGATGATGCCGGCGATGATGCCGGTGATGAGGATACTTGCGAGGACGACGGTACCGATGATGATAGCACTGGCGGCAACAACAAGACTGGAGGCAACACCAAGACTACTGTCCGCCGCAAGGCCAGCAAGCTCGGCCGCAGGCATGGTGGATTGGACTTTGGCAGCTGTGGCACCCCCCAGATCCAGTTCGCCAAGGGTTTGGATGGTCGCGAGGAGGAGAGCTTCCAGCCTGTTAACGGACAGGATTTCGACCACGAGAGTGCCTTGAACATCCAGGTCATCAGCGAGTTTGTTTGCCAGAAGCTGCAGGATGATTGCAATGCGAGCATCGAGGCGGTGGCTGCTTGCAAGCAGGCGAGCAGCGCTGCCAGCACTGCTGAGGGCCAGCAGGCTGCGTTCTTGTTCAATGCCGCTCTTGGTGTCTAAAGTATTTGGATAGCTTTCTTCCGAAAAATATCGAGGAGGGGAAGGAGGGGATTTGTTGACATGTGTCTTGTTCGTAGGCAGTTCTTCTATTCTTGTATGCACTTTTTAAATCAAACTTAAGCTGAGCGGTAAACTGAAAGGCTTAATCATGGAAGTGATTGTGAAATGTCTTTTGATGGCCTGACTGTGACTGGCGAGTCGAGAAACGTTGTGAAATTCGTGTCTTGACGAGATCACATAATGGCGAACCCGATTGACATTTGTTGATGTTTTGGATAGGAGATGATGGACGAACAAGACCAAGAAAACAGACAACAAGCTCTGCCCGCCAAAGCCTGGAGTCGAACTCAATATAGCCAGATCGCAGACCTACGAAAACACCCACGCATTTTCTGAACCCAGCTGGACATTATCACGTAAGCTACTGGACCGTGTTGGAAGACAGCTACTTTGGTGCTTATATGGTCCCAGTAATGGAAGGCCCTGCCGCTGTAAAACTATACTTAGGCCCCGTGACGGTATTCACGATATACTTTCAAGATTCGGTAAGACACACAAAGAACGGACGGGATTTGTCTCTTGCACTTAAAACGTAGAGGAAGATTTTTCATCATGCATCACATCATCCCATTTGTTTATCCCTATTCTCCCTGAAATCCAATACAGCAATATCATAATCCGGATTCTTCCTAATCTTCACCCTCAACACCATCCCCTCCCCAATTTCAAACTCCCATTCCCTCCTTCTTTTCCTCCTTCCACTCCCTGGTGGTGGTGGTGGAACACCCACACCCACACCCACACCTGTTCCTGTTCCTATTCCCACCATCATCCACCAGTCCTTCCCCCCCAAAACCTTGAACAAGTCCTTCTCCGTCCTCGCCCACAACACCCCCGTTCCAATCTCATCATCATTCCTCACGACCCCAACTTCAATCCACTGCTGATCATCCCCTCCTTTGCCACTTTTCACCACCCAAAAAACCAACAAGAAACCCAACTGCGGATCCAGGCCGTGCCGAAACGCCAACGCCCGCGGTACCCCGGCCTTGTGCAAGCTGAAGCAGGGCTGCTGCGAGAAATCGGCGCGGTCCGTGACTTCGCTCCATCGGTCGAGGTACCAGCAGCCGGAACCGTCGGCGGCTTGGGCGGGGATGGTGTGGGATAGGGACCAGGGGAGGAGGACTTGAGGGTTGTTGCTGCTGCTATTGTTGGTGGTGGTTGTGGAGGGAAAGCTGTGATGGATGGAAGTGGAACTGGAGGGAGAGGGAGAGGGAAAGGAGAAGTAGGAGGGGAAGGAGGAGGGGATAAGGTTGGGGGTGGAGGCGAGGGAGATGGAGAAGGTTTGGACGGCTGTTGTGGGAGGGTGTGATGAAAATGATGATGATGGTGCTGGAGGAAGGAGGAAAGGGGGGATGCGGACTAGACAGCGTGCCCATTCTGGGACAGGAGGGCGGAGAAGAATTTCGGTGCCTGCTAGGGAGAGATGTAGTGTGAGGTGTTGCTTGTCACGCACGTGTCCGCGTTGGCTGGACTCTGGAGGCGGCTCCGGGGGTGTAAAGAAGCGCTGGAGGTCCGATGGAGGCACGAGGAACCGTGAAGGAAAGTGAACGCGCTTGAAGTGGCCGGCTGAGTCGGTGCAAAAGGTGATTCCCACTGTGTATCGCTCGTCGGGTGTGGAAGTCGGTGAGAGGACGGTGCAGCCGAACAGAGGAACGAGCATGATGTCTTTGACTTTGTGCTTGAGAAAGGAGTAGTTGAAGGAGCGGAATCGGCTGTCGTGGAGATAAGCGGATTCGAACTCATTGATGCGGCGGGGAAAGTATATCAGATCCGCAGTGGTACCCTCGAACGGGACGGGAGTGGGGGGGTTGACGTGAACGATGGAGTCCTCCAGAGAGCCGAAGACGTCCCAGTAGGATCTGTAGACAATGTGATCGTCGGTATGGCGGGCGTTGAAGTCTGATATCGGAACGTGCATCTTTAAAAGAGACGACCCGATGATCTCGTGGTAGAAGTTGTTGGACTGATGAGTATCATCAGGGCTGTCGGGATCTCCCATAACTCCATCAGCAACCCTCCAAGAGATACCCCCACAGCTCTCAAACATACTCGGCGACTGGGCCAATACTCCTTCAATAACCGCATACGAGTCCGAGCTAGCCCAAGCTAGTATGCTAGGATCGTAACACTGCCTCATGATCTCCAGCTGGAGCCTCTTGAAGGCCTTCTGTCCTTCTCCATACAGCAGCGGCAAATTAACATCAAACAGTCCCATCAAGCAATACGCCTCGTCCTCGATCCTGGTAGTCCGTCGTGTGGCCGCCCATGACATTCGCTGAGCGACACTGAAGTCACCCAGCTTCCTCTCCATCCGCAGCAGCCCGGCGTCAATGCCTGTGATAGCGGCAATGTCATCACTGAGTGACTCGCGCGTGCCAAACTCCCGCCACAAGCGATCGCAGAAAACCACGTCAGACGGAGCTATGAGTTCTTGAAGTGTCCAGCCACGCGTGAACCACTTGCTTCCATAGAGGACCTCTTTCATCTCGTCCGTGATGGACATCGCATCGCCGTTACCGCCGTCTGACATTGAATGGTCCAGAGAGGGTGATTGGTGGTGTGGTATGACTTCTGGAACACTGATGTCGTTGAGGAAGGCGTAGCAAACCTCGGCATCATGGTACCACTTGAACATGGAGTTGATGGCTTCAGAGAGCTCAGCACTGGAAGACTTGTCAATGCAGCAAGTGTCTATCCAGACGTAACGATAGCCTTCGGTGCGAGCTTTGGCGCAGCATCCTAGGATCTTGGAGAAGCCCTTTTTGGCAGTGACGGGCTTGTGCTTCGCCGTTCCATTGTTCGCAAAGGCAAACTGCTCGCTCGTTCCAGTATGGTTTCTTGATGACGATACTGTGCTATAACCGCTCTCGACGAACGTTGAAGTTGTTCTCGGTGTTTTTACTAGGTCTTGCATGTCCTGGAAGGACACTTCCTCCTGGCCCCAGGTGTGGGAGAGAATGGCGTAGGCGCATTTCGGGCCATCGTCAAACAGCTCAAGCTGAAGTGTCTCAACATCGAGAAGCCGCATGGTTTTGGTGGCTGATCTGCTGTAATACCTACCCTCATCCAGGCACAACGTCTGTCGAGTGTGGTTTCACAACGGACAAAAAAGGAGCAAATGAACGGCATAAAACACCGGCAAAACTTGTAACGCTGCGGTTACTGGGTACGAGATCTCATTCTGATACGTCCCGAATAGAAGAAGAAAGCCGGAAAAAAAGAAGGTGTTATGAAAAGGTGAGATACGCAGCCAACCGAGTGAAATGATCGCTTTAGATCGAAATGAGAAAGGCGTGATGCGGAGTGCATACAACTCGTCTATACTTAGCTGGCAGCTTCAGTGGGTTCGCAAAGCAGAGGTTTAACCAAGGACCAATCAGATGGCTCAGAGCTTACCTTTGCTTGTCTATGGCGTTGGTCGTGTGTATCAGGTAATGCCGTAGCAGCGATCAGAACAACGTTTGTACACACATGCCTCGTCAGGGATCAACGGCGCAGGTTATCTACTGTCACCGACCACAAGGGTATCAGAATCCGTCACCTACCCGCTCTGTGTAGTTGAGTTTTGGGAAGCCAAACAAGGCTAGGAGAATCACAGGAGGTTGACAAGTCAACTGTGTCTCGGCTTCACTTCAGTTCAAAGCGGAAATGTTGCAGCAAAGGTGAACTTCCGCTTGAACGGCGTTTGCATGTCTGAGTCTAGATGTGGTGATCAGTCTAAATCCAAAATTTCCTTCTCACCTTTTAATCCCGCTTTATCCGCCGGTTCCATGTCCAAAATCCGGCACACTGCCGTTACCATATTTCCGAATTCAATCAGAACATCTCCCACAGAGGCGGCGGTATCAGCATCTGCCTTACAGGTGCAGCCCGCCTCTTAGGACCGTTGCCAACCTGCTTCAGGCCGATATACACCACCCTCCTCGCTGGATTGCCAACGGTGACCGACTTGGAGTCCAGTCCGTAGTAGTCTGAGATGGAATGCGTGAGCCAACGCCTGGTGCCCTTTTGTTAGTACACTGTTCCGACAGCAACCGGAAACCAGGCATCAGATAAACATACTTGAAGGAAGCTCCGCTCTCGTCGTCTCCAAGAGTATCAAGCACCATCCTCGTATCGGGCAGCAGTTGGATACTCTTATCTGTGCCCTTCTCCGATGATGCATTCTTGATTGGCGGTTTGCCCTCAGCAGCGGCAGCGGCAGCCGTCTTTCGGCCCGTGAAGAGAATCTCTTCCTCATCCGAGCCGAGCTCATCACTCTGGTTTCCACTTTCCCGAGCCTTTTGTTCCTTTTGCTGCTGCTGCTCCCTCTTGGCCGCCGCATTCTGTCCGCGTTGCTGCTGAACAAGAAACTCCCTCACCGGCTCTTCCAACACACGCAGCCAGGCCTTGACGGCAGGCGTCTTCTTGGCTGTAGCACGCAAATCTTTCGGGACCTTTCCTACGTCTGCGCGCGTCTTGGCGACAGACGACGAGACCACCAAGGAAACAGCAGTGGCGGCCCCACCCAACTGGTGGCTGGTGGCAGTAACGGTCTTCTTGCGATGCACGGCGAAAGCGGCCTTGCGCTCCTCGACGCGCTCACGAAGCCCCTTGTCCCAGTACTGCGCGAGGTGGTACGGCATGTTATCGTGGATGGGATACGTCGGCCCGACCTGCCAGTCTGAAGGCAGCGGCGGCTGTACGTTGGGAACTCCAACAAGACGGTCTGTGAAAGAGAATAATCCAAAAATCGGTCCCCACCGCAGCAGGGCAGGGAACCGGATGATTGACTTTGATTAGCTTGTTCCCGAACTCCAAGCGTGCAACACGGATTGTAACGAGCGGGAACTGGAAGAGGACTTGGACAGCCCTGGCACTGGCCCATCGAATCACAAGGGGGAGTATTTACCATTCTCCCAACGCCGTCGCTGCCTGCTACCTTCCTTGCCCTTCAGCAAAGCCTCGCGCCTCTTCATGCTGTCCCGGCGCGAAGGAGGCCGGCGCGGCGGCGCGACATTTGCGGCATACGTATCATCGCCATCGTCGAAGACCACATTGCGCAGCTTCAAGGCGGGATCGGTCGGGCCTGCTGCCGCTGCCGCTTCCCCCTGAGCAGCGCCGTCCAAGGGGATCAACAATGGATTGCCAGCACCGCGCGCATTGTTGGCGATCCGCAAGGATTCCAGGGCAGCGACAGTCCAGGCTTCGATATCAACGGCGGCAGTCGAGACATTGAAGATGGTCGACTGGTTCACGGGGAGCGGAATTGGCTGTGACGCAATGATGTCTGCTGGTTGCTGGGACTGCGGATGGTGCAAGGCCTCGTCATAGTCATCATCGCTGTCATGACCAACAGGTCCGGCGAGCTTTGTGATAGCCATCGGGATCGAAGTTGGCAGTGGCCAGCTAACGAGTGTTTCTACCGCAGTGGTTGTCCGTCGTCGGTCGCATCCGGCGCTCTATAAAATATTTTTGAACCCGGGAAGGTTGCCGAGGCGTTCGTATCGCCTCGCACCGTGTGAAGTGGTTGACGATCGGAGAAGATTGGTAGGAGGCTGCGGGGGCCCGGGAGACTTTTAATGGGTGCCACCCGTTGACGGCGAAAAGTGGAGACGTCCGTCCGGGCTGCCGTGGCTGCTCAAGCTTATCAGAGGGTCCAAACCACTAACATATCTGATATCAGCACGTACCGTGTAGCGTGTGATTCGCAAAGACCGAATGTATTGATGGATGAAGAGGATGTTAGGGATGAATAAACAAGGCGGGTTGATATTGTGGTCAGCGGATATGGACTGGCAAAGAATAACAACAGGTGGAGGTGCTGCAAACGGAATCCGTACGGTCTTTAAGCTCCAGAGGAGCAAACATTGTGACACTTTCCCATGTTGATTTCCTGAATGACACTTTGCGATGATTCATACAATAGTTGGGCCTTGAGACTGCCATCGCTGACTCCTCCGTAGTGAATGGAAGCGCGATATAACCCTCATCCATAACCAAATTGTCATACATTCGGTGGCCAGTCACAATCACGTATGAAGCTACCGGGGAAACCATAAATGGTGGTCCAAAAGGGAGGGGATATTCGTATCTCAAACGGTCACTAACATCGAGCGCTACAGTGAATCATACACAAGATTACTCCATCCATCCACCCCGAACAGTTAACGCCAGTATGTGCATGAGCCAAGTCAAAGCGTGGTAAAGAAACAAGGAATAGTTGCTGCCTAGTTCGGACCCGAATTACCAATTCCACCTTACTTGAGCAGCGGGGTAGTCTCGGCAGCAGCGTCACTGTCCTGCCGGTCCATAGTAGCCTGCAACTGCTCCTGGTTATTTGCGTAGTGCTCGGGATGCGAGGTGGCTCGGCCAGGCGTATGGTCCTTGGACTCCTTGCGCGCCTGGATCTCGTAGTAAATGGCCATGGAGAGCAACAAGCCTTGCATCGTCGCGGTCAAGACAAAGATGCCCCACGAGCTCCATCCGGCCCATCCTAGCCGCGCAAACAGGCTGCCTGCGAAGACAAATCCACCCGGGGTCTGCATGCACATCATCGGAATGCTCAAGCTGCCAATGTGCTTCAGATGGTAGGTGGTCCAGATCTGAGGGATGTACTGGACAGCGGCTAGCAGAGCGGCCATGACGCCGAGCACGTTTGCCCAAATTGCGAGCTTATCGTGGGCAATGGTGCTCAGAATACCCGTGACGACAATAACTGCAAGGCCGTGCAGCAGAGTGAGAGATGCCACCAAGAGAGCGGTCTGCCACCTTGGCTGTTCTTCGACAAGCGCCGCCTCGCTATCCGGGTCGTCCGCTGCGTTGTATCGGAAGAAAACCAAAAAGAGGACGAAACTGAAGAGCGGATGTTAGCCAAAGTCGTTTCGCACCGTAACAGAGAGACACTGACATGAATGTGAAGCATATCCATTGAACTCCCAATTGCGCGATACCAAGTAGGCCAGCCACGCAATGGAAAGTCTCAACCTCTTTGCAGCAAGCGATATCCTGACGAGACTTGGGCAGTAGGAGAATGTTTGCAAACGCAGATGTTGCCGATGTTGTCCCCAGCAAAACGAAGTAGGGCGATATCCCTTCCGATGTGCCTCTTGATATGATACGAACATGCTGTGGCAGGTAGCTGATGAGCATTCCAATGACAATGACACTACGAAAGTCAGCCTCTCATCCTTGTTAATCTGGCACCCTCGTAAATGAATTCTTACATGGAAACTATTAGGTTGACGACGCTTATCTCGCGGAGGTCCTGGCAGACGTCCCCCTGCAGGAAGGACTCCATGGCGAAGGCTCGGGGAATCGCACAGTAAGTTCAGCTCGAAGTGAAACAGAGTATAATGAAATGGCTAATGAACAAAGCTAAGGTATGTGTAATTCGGTCGTAAATCGTCGAAAGAGGTCCGGGCGAGAAGTAGAAGTCGGTATTAATAATGTCATGGATCCCAAGACTGGGACTGCGGGGATGGTGTTGTTGGGTTTCCAAGTCGTTGCAACCTCAGCTGCCCGGCGCAATCGCAACGCACGACTCTCTTCGTCTCTGAGTTCGAAGAGTCTTGGACCTCGGAGGCAACAGAGCTGCAACGAAGTCAAATGGTATTAGAAGTCGGTGTAGTGATGGAGTGATGGAGAAGCGATGGACAACACGCTCGCGTCGTCATCCCCGTCAGGCGGAAGCAGCTCCCATGCATGCCAAGCCTGAGGTGGTCAAAGAGGTCCTCATTGTAGCAACTGGAACTGGGGAAGCTCCAGTTGCCTGCCGCCGCCTGCGCGCTAGTGCCGCAAGGTGGTGGGTCAACCGGCCGATTGACCATTCTGTTAGGACTTCTTCTTCTCTCAAGTACATTGACTTCAATAATCCGCGTTACAATACTTCAGACAGTCAAAGTCACTACCGTCAGCCCTACCTGCAGGTTGTTTGCCAAATCGGAACTGAAGCTTCTTGGAGCTAAGCTTCAATCCTCTTACAACTTTCACGTCGTCACTCATTCAATACCAAAACTTTCAGTTACCTGCCAGTTTGTTATTTTCATCAGTAAAACTGTTGATGATAGATAGGGGTAAACATAATTCTTAGAAATTGCGGTAGGGATCACTGTCAGAACAACTTTGTATCTCATCAAAAGAAAATCGGTCGAAACACCACAGACAGCCCCGTAGGCGCAGGCTTCAACATCACCACTTACACCAGACCACAACACAAGAGTATGGAGAAGCCCTCTCTCGACCTCGTGGCCATGTCCACCAACCCAGATGGTTTATCTTCATCAACAACAAAAACTTCTCAGTCTTCTCGTCAAACAGACTCATTCTTCAAAAGTGTCCAATGGCAAGTCCTCACACCTCCAAATCTTCCAGGCAGAATCCTCATGCAAAACCCAACCCGCTAACAAACACCAGGTCTGCGGACGGCACAACCCTCTTCACCTCCTCCTCCTCCAACCGAATCAACACCTTCGTCCTTCCCTCCACCCTCCTCGCGCCCCACGGTGACTCTCCCCTCACCCTCACCCCCCAAGGCACCCTCTACCTCCCCGAACCCACCGCGGCCATCGCGCCCTGTCCATACTTCGCCCTCGAACAGCCCTCAACACAATGCATTCTGACAGCCAGCACCGACCACCCGATTCATTTACACCACGCTTTTCCTCAACCACCACCACCATCATCATCCCAATCCTCATCCCTCGACGACGACGACGACTCCACCTTTGGTTTGCCACAGCACAAGCAACAACAACCAAAACCCCTCGCCACCTTCCGCCTCATCCACGCCGAAACAGAGCGCTACCTCCCCATCACCTCCCTCCTCTGGTCTTTTCCAGGAACCCACTTCCTCGCCGGCTCCACCAACTGTCTCTCGCTCTTCGACGTCTCCCGACCCGACCTAGGACTTTCCGACACCCCGCTCTTGACCATCAAAACCACGGGCGGCCCGTCTGCTCAACACAAATCCGGAAACGGAGCCCGGGTGGTGGGCATGAAGGGCACGATCTCCGCGCTGGCGATGCAACCCTTGAGTCACGGCGATTATGGTACCGGGGCCAACGTGGTAAGCGCGGGCACGTGGACGAGAAACTTGGGATTATATGATTTACATCGGGCGGGCGCTTGCGTCGCTACTTGGAATGTTGCGCAGGCTGCTTCCCTGGCAAAGATAGGGGGCCGGGGGGTGTTACAGACGGTTTGGAGTCCGTGTGGGCGGTATCTGGTGGTGAACGAGCGGGAGTCGAGTGGGCTTTTGGTCTATGATTTGAGGGGGACGCATCGGTTGTTGGCATGTTTACGAGGGAGGGATGGAGAGACGAATCAGAGGTTGAGTTGTGATATTTTCCCGGGAACGAATGAGGAAGTGGGTGGGTTTGAGGTCTGGGCGGGGACGAGGGACGGCAAGGTGGTGGTTTGGGAAGGGGTCGGAATGAGGGAGGGGAGTGTCGAGCCGAATTATGATTTCGAGGTGGGTGCGCAGGGGTCGGCGGTAGGCGGGACGGCGATGCATATGAGCGGGTCGGTGTTGGCTACTTGTTCGGGGTCGTGGAAGTTTCCGGATGATGATAGCGAGAGTTCTGGCTCGGAGCCGGAGTCGGATTCTGGTTCTGATGACATTGAGTCTGGGAGCTCCAGCAATGAGAGTGACTCAGAGGAAGAGGGGATGGGGACATCGCAGCAACAACGAGGCAGAGCCAGGCCACCTCCGGCGATTGTTGAAGAGACCAGTCTGAAGGTATGGAGTATCACTGCAGGTAACATGGTTCAAAGCGGTCATCGGGAGGAGGTCAATGAGCCATACGAGACCTGACCTTACAGAGCTGGAGATATCCGAATTCATGGTATGTCACCACTTTGTGCACGCGAGCCTTCATTTCGCGATGAAGCTAACTTCATGTCCTGTCTGTTTTATGGCAGGTCGTGCTTGGTGGCCAAAACTTCGAAAGACAGTCTATTTTGCAGTGCTGCATAGCGAACAGTCAGCACTATGTGAGTTTCCTTCGTCTTTTACTCAACCATGTTCCCTCATCACTCCCATGGTGAAGAATTGTGGCCAAGCCCATCAGAAAACTGCTTCATGGGATCATCTGGACCTAAGCCGCCAGAGAATTCGATATCATCACTGAAAATATCAACAACCTCCTTATCCTGACTCATCCCGCTGTTGTCCACCTCTTTCACATTTCCGTCTCCCCAGGGCTCATCAACCACAGCGCTCACTGCATCCAGAAGCCTCCTCCCACCAAATATTTCCGCAAACTTCTCTGCCCTCTCGTCTTTCGACATCATCAGGAAGGCCGGCAAGCCGTACAGCTTACCCTCCTTTCCACCGATCGCAACCTCGTCATCAGGAACCCTGAGCATCCCAAGGACAACCTGCGCAGCAAAAACATTCATTCCCGCTCTCCGCAGGAAAAGCTCCCAACCTGTTTCCACAGGCAGCAGTATGCTCTGCCACTCTTGAGCTTCAGTTCCATAATCGCATATTGTAGCTGCCACCCACTTGGCCAGCGTCTCGGTGCCTCCGCCAACATAATAGACGTACACGTCAGTTTGCGCCTGTAGCGCACTCGCGAAACACTGGAACTCGGCGAGGGCTTTCGCGTCAGATTGGGAGAGCGGGTTCATGGTCTCACTGTGTTTGTTTCCCTCTGAGATGAGAACGATCAGCCGTTCATGACGTATTGCTACGTTCTCGACTACATTGCGGAAGGTTGGCTGTTGTTGTAGTTGCTGTTGCTGGCCTGGGGCTGCGGGGAGGGGTTTCTGTCTTAGTTTTACCATGGTCGTAACTATAATCCCTGTGGCTGGGGACAAGACGAAGTCGGCCTCATCGCAATTTGGCTGCTTGCTACCCGGGGGCGCGTTTTCTGCCCTGAGTCGCTCGTGGTCGCGTACGATGAGGTTAATTCCTGGCACCAATTTCTCCAGATGGCTCGTGATAATATTTGATACTGCAGCAGACACGATTATCCGAGGCGGAGTTTTGGGGTGGACGATGTCCGGAGAAACAGCAAGAATGATTGCGGGCGCAGGTTGAGCCTTGGGTTCCGTGGGCTTCGTGTTGGAGACGGCTGCGGATTCTGGCTGGGGCAGCGTCGGTCGGTTGAAGAAGCGGCTATGGCTGAGCTTGGCCTTTTTTGGCATGTTCATTTCGACGAAATTTTCCACAAGCGAGCCAAAGTCCATATACTCGTTCTCAAAACCCTTCAGTACGTGTGTCGAGTTCGGCACGTCATGGTTGGTTATGTCGAGGACCCGGATCAGAGGTCCGGTAACTGGTGACGACTGCCGTTGGATGGGTCCAAGTTGCCTCTTCTTTCCACGCAAAAGGCTTGTCAGGTCTCGAGATTGCAACATGGCAAGAGGGGGCGACGACAGGCCCTGCCTAGTCTGTACATCCATGGATTGTTGAGCCTGGCAGGCATGTGCTGACCTACTGCAAGGACGGACTGTCTTGATGCTCGTGCTTGAGAGGACCAATTCTTTTGATGGGGGGACACTGGGTTCCCTTGATCTCTCCTCAAGGAGTTCATCTTTATCATCTTCATCCCTACGCAGGAACAACAGCCTGGGTTGTGTGTTGACGAAATCGGCACTTGTTTGTATCTCGCCTTCCCACGGTTCCTCCAGGAAGAAAGCAAGAACACTTGGAACAACCTCAACCGCCTCTGTTGTCAATTGTTTCTCGGCCATGTGGGCCAAGGGTGCCCATACCATTTGCTGCTCCTTGATGTTGTCTTTTCGCCATTTGATGCCCTTCCAGTCAACGTCGGTTGTTTTCCGTATCCATTCAAACATGACCTGGGCAGTCCAAAAGTGTTCGTCCCATTCACGGACAGGAATGGAGAAATCCATCACTGGAGCTGTGACTCGTGCGGTTGCGTCAAGTGGCTGAAGTTGCTCCTGCTCAACAGAGCGCATCACTCTTGTTGCGGTCTCTTCAAAGAAGTCGTTCAGTCGGCCATCCAACTCACCTCCTTTGCTTGGAACGGTGTCGCTGGCCATGAGGTCTTTGGCCTCTTTCAGGTCCTCAGGTAGCAGGACGCGGGGAGGAGCCTTGTCTGCAATTACAAGGCTATCATTCGGTAGCAGAGGTACTTCTATCTTGAAATCCCGAGCAATCAGTTCCGGGGAAGACGAAGATGATCTGGGCACCGAAAATTCCCCGGCTCTTATCATTCCTGATACGTCGATATCATCGTATCTGTCCGGTGATTTGGACTTCTCGGAAGCAATGCCGCTCCAGAAGTTGTTGTCTTTGGACAGAATTTTTCCTTCTACTGCCTCTAACTCTGCGCTCAAAGAAGAGTCTGGGTCGGATAGAATCGGGATCGCACAAGTTTTGTCGTCGGGAATGTAATACTCTGGTTCGGGGCGTGTTCGAGGACTCAGCGGAGGGGTTACATGCTCTACCCTGTTCAGCTAGTTCTTGTCAGTTGATGTTCTTCCGCGTAACCGAAGAAAAGTCACTGGTGTGTTACATACTCCGCTGTACGTTGAGACGCTTTCCATGAGGTCACGCTGTTCATCGTCACCCCAGTCTGCCTTGAGACTCTGAACCAAGAACATCAGCGTGTCCTTGGTGACTTCGATTGTCTCCTTGGTCAGACTCTCCATAAGTGCCTCGTCGCCTTTCCGCGCGCTTTCAGGAAACTCGAGACCTTCCCCTTGTTCAATATCGACCGGATGCAATGGAAGATGATGATCTGGTAGCGGGACCTTATGAAAGGCCGCAATCCGTCTCTCCATCCTTCTGCAGTCCGCCTGGTGATCACTCCGCAGCACAGGTTGTTCGATCTTGAGCTTCAACTCGGCGGTCTCAGTGAAGCACAGTTCTGCCATATGCTCCGCTACCTCTTGGTCTGTACAAGGCTTACAGACTTGTTGAAGGAGTGCAAGGGACTCTGCTGACACAGACCACTGCTCTGCTTTTCCGAGGATGGGCCGAAAAGCGAGCTCTTCAAGGGGCTTTTCCGATTCGATTATTTCTCCGAACTCGGTCTGAATGAGAGTTGCCGCGATACAGGCATCCCTCTCGAGTACACCCTTCCACGGATCCAGCTTCAAGCTGTCAACGGTGAGGCCATGGCATCGCGCATACTCGTCTGCATCTGGATCATCCGAGATGGATGATTGATCACAGTCGCTTGTTGCTCTGCACGCATTGCTGGGCAGAGAACTTTCCAAGGAGATCAAATCGGTGCTCGTTTCAAGGTCCATCTTCTGGTCTTGCGATCGTCAACGGTCTCGTACCCCCGGGTATCAATGCTTCTAAAGATGGTGGATGAGTGATGACGGCGTGGATAAAGATGTCAGAAAAGCATCACAGATCATGGCGTAGAGGCATTCTGTGGTGGGAACTTAAGTTGGCCACACGTCAATGTGTTGTTCACTCTCGACATTTCGAAACTCTGTCCCCATCTCATTTAGCCGTCTGCGTTTTTGCTGGTCAGTAGGAAGTAGCGATGCCTCACACCTTCCTCACTTGCACCATACATCCTCCGCGCCTTCCAATTGGCAGAGGAAAGAGCAGAGCGGGAGCCCAGCATTTTTCACGCTTCCCATCCTTTTGACCTGTGTCCTCGAAATTTCTGACTCTCAAGCCAGTAGAGTCGACCGCCCGAGTCACTTAGTTCCTCTAGTACCTGGTACAAGACCAATAATTGACACGGACTTGGGATTCATTATCTCTCATCAACAACCCTGATGAAGCGAACATAAGGCTTGCAGGTGAGCTCACCAGGCGGTGAGATTGTCACCACGCAAACTTTCTCGAAATGTTTTACCTTGGCTTGGCTTCGACCTTGCCGTCCGCGGCGTTGTCACTCTGGACGGCCCGTTGCCGCCAAAGGATCGCCCTCCCGTCTACTATGTAACACCCCCAACCTAAACCCTTTTAGGACAAATAGTGCAGTCCCCATATGCTCTTCCAGATCGTCACAACATGAAGACACCTCGACCTGCATATAGACCACGCACTTTCCGAGACATGGACAGCCAGTCAGCCAGTTTCGATGTTACCCCAGCATGTGAATCTCTTATCTGTTAGTGTTACCATTACTTTGGCTGCCATTCCTTATCTAACAGCTTCCATTCCCGTTGCTTTTCTGGATTTGGTAATACATCCCCCTGGATTCTTTTTCCCAACTTGTTGCCCTCAAGATGTCGCCGTACAGAATCTACGAAAATGGCAATGAGCTGGGAGCTTGGCAAATGGATTAACAAACCCACGTGTCGATAAGAAGGGTCAATGAGAGAAAGCATAATTCAGCTGCTTTCTGGTCCACGCTCTGTTCCTATAAGTCGTTTGTCTACTCCTTCTCTGTCTGTGTCATTGATTCCCAAAATTCCTACCGAATCGCAAGACACCTCCTCACGATACCCGAGATGACGGTGTCACCCGTTCTAGCAGCCTGGGAGGCTTGCGACAAGACAGACACTCTCTTCGTCCTCATCTGCACCGTCATCTGCTGGACCATTGTACCAACTGTAAGAGGCTCCCCTTTCTCAACACGTTCCGGCATATTCACCCATCATCTGACTGTTTCTGGTTGACGAACAGGTCGGCATAGCCTACTCAGGATACACATGGAAGCGCAACGCCCTCCACGCCGCCATGCCCGCCATCCTCACCATCGCAACATGCTCGATCCAGTGGTTCATTGTTGGATACACACTTGCCTACGGCGAGGGCGGCTGGTTCTTTGGTTCTCTCAAGCACTTCTTCCATAAGGGTGTGCTAGCTGAGCCTGTAGGATCAATTCCGGAAATCCTGTTCAGCGAGTTTCAGTTGGTTTTTGAGGCAACGGTTTGTGCAATTGCTGTGGGCGGATTCTGCGAGAGGGGGAGGCTGTTACCGGTTATTCCGTTCATCTTTGTGAGTAACTATAGACTGGGAACTTGGGCAATTTTTTGAAGGGTGAGGAGAGAATGATATGCTAATGGCTAGAGACGGGACAGCTGTGGGCAACATTTATCTACTGCCCGCTGGCACACATGGTCTGGGGCGGAGGCTTGCTTGGAGAGACTTTAGGCGTGCTGGACTTTGCAGGAGGTAAGTCGACAATCTCAAACAGCAACCTACATCCAGATCATGAAGCGACAGGACAACAGTTGACCAAGCTCTTCCCTCGTCCAGGAACTCCTGTCCACGTCTGCTCCGGCGCCACCGCTACCGCCATCAGCATCTACCTCTCCTACCCGCTCTTTCGCTCGCGCAAGTCCGACGTGCGTACGCCCACCCACATCCGCATCCACCGACCGGGTAACTCTTTCTTCCAGCTTCTGTCCTTAATCATCATCTGGGGCTCCTGGCTCGCCTTCGATGCGGGAACCACCCTGGCCCTCAACTTCCAGTCCGTCATGGCCCTCTGCGTCACCAACCTGTGCGCCGCCTCGGGCGCGCTGACCTGGAACCTCATCACCTTCTATGAGACGGGCAAGTGGTCCGTCGACTCGACCTTCATGGGCGCCATTTCCGGTCTTGTCATGATCACACCCTCGGCTGGGTTCATCGACATGCCGACCGCCTGTTTCTTTGGTATTTTCGGTGCTGTGCTCTGTCGTCAGGCGTTGAGGATCAAGTTCACCAAGTTTGCGCATTATTGGAGGTGGGTTGACAATGGTGATACGTTTGCGACGCACTGCATTGGTGGTGTGGCTGCAACCATTATGACGGGACTGTTTGCGCAGAAGGAGGTAGCTGCGTATGGTGGTGTGGAGGTTGCGGGCGGTATCATCTTCGATGGCAATATTCGTCAACTTTGGGTGCAGATGGTTGAGGCTGTTGTTGGTTTCACATGGGCGTTTTGCGGGTCGTATATCATTATTGCTTTGATTGATTGCGTTCCTGGGCTTGAGGTTTTGGCTGTTGATAAGTAAGTCCCTGCCCCCTGTTTTTTCTATCTATTTTTCTCCCTCCATATCACTGGGCTCACTCAATGCTGACTGATTTTGTGATTACAGACACATCAGCCAAGGCCTTGATATGAACGAGGTTGAAGAGTTTTTGGGTAACTTGGAGTATCCTGATGAAATTGACTATGAACCAACTGCAAGGGGAACTATTTCTCTGGAATAAATGCCAGGGTAGCTGGTGAAGAACGTACATCCAAAAGGTGTAAGTATTATGTATACAGAATTATGTGAGCAGTCCAGAATTACACTAAGTTTGAACAAACCAAAGGAGCACATAGGATCCTCCAAACCCAAAATTCATAACCCAGTCATTGGCTACGTTGTACAATGAACATTCACAGCATCCCATCATCCAAATAAACTATGCAATCCCGTCCGACTCATCACATCGAGCCAATGCGTTCGCCTCGGCGTATCAATATCCTTATCATACGCACTCCACACAGCATGCAGCAACTGCTTAGCCACCCCTATCGGCTTAGGCGGCAACGACAGCTCGAGCTGACCAAGACGGTCAATAAGAAACGACCGAGCCCGCAATATCCTGACTGCCTGCACATCCTCCTCATTTTCCCCTGATGGCGATGACGAAGATGGCGACCCCGATCCTGATCCAATACCACCAATACCCGCAGGCAACCCCGAAATTCCCAACCCCAAGTCTGTTGGTGACGAAGACTCCAAACTCAACAGATAACTATACTCCCCTTGCCCCATTGCCGTCTTGCTATCGAACCTCAAACCGCTGCCCGCGCAGAGACAGAGCAAAGGTTGAATACACCGCAGACTGCTTGCAGGTATCCGATCGAGAATGTCAGTGATGTGTAGAGCTAGGGGCGATACCCATTTTGTCCAGATGATTGCCGGGTCGGTGGCGTCCGCCCCTGCCCCCGCTGCGTCGAGGTCGGGTATTCGCTTGGCGGCGAGGTCGGGGAAGGATTCGTAGAGTTGCAGGAGAGAGCAGAGGCGGTACGTCTCGGTGGCGAGGCGGAGGTCCTTGGCCATCTTTGGGGTGTTGTCGTTAGGCATGGCGGCGGCGGTTAGCTGTTTGTGCATGGTGTTCCAATGGTTGAAGCTAGGGTCGTCGTTGTCCTCGGTTGGTACGTCAATAGCCAACAGCGCTTCCTCGATACGCGTAGCTTCCTTGATATCTTTCATGGCGCTTTGCAGGGCCCGTATTGTCGTCCCATCGTTATGTCGCCATCGACTGCGTGATCGCCTACAGAGCGCAATGGCTTTGCCGAACAATCGAAAAACGTCCGCCGAAACACCGGTCCAGGGATGAGGCGTGGAATGGACCAGAGTGCCTTGAACGGTAGAGGTGGGTGGATCCGGCCAGCTGAGCATATTCTTCAAGTCAGCCTCGTCATCACTTACCACGCTGCGAAGCATTTCTTCATAAATGAGACAGCCGTTGAAGAAATCAAGCAGTTCCTGGTCCTCCGGACTCAGAGTCCAGCTGTTCAGTGCTTGCAGCACGGCTCTCGCTTGGCGGAGGTACTGTTGCCCCAGCTGACGGGCTTCCATCCAGCACATGGATGAGCTCATGCAGAAGAGAGAGAGGAGGAGGCCACGCGGGAAGGTGGTGCAGCGCCCGTTGAAGAAGCTGACGAGCTCGGCTTTGATGGCCTCGGTTGCTAGGCGTGGCGCCATGCGGGCTGTCTCGCGCATCACGGCAGGAAGCTTTTCTACCAGGGAAGCAGCAGAGATAGATTGCAAGCTATAGAACACAGGCGCGGAGGTGTTCCACAGGACAGAGGTTAAGTGTCGGTAGGGGTTGGAGGCGGAGTCGTAGGCGGACCAGGAGGTACAGACGGACTTGAACCAGTGTTCGATGAGAAAGGAGCGGATGTCCACGACGGGCTGGGTTAGAGTCAAGGCTTGGCCGGGTGGAGCGAAGGCACGTTTGTCGTTTTGGAAGGGTGTTGTAGTCATCGAACCGTAGAAGCCATCTTGTTCTTGGGCTGAAGTCCCAGGGACAGGCGAGGGTAGAGGTGAAGAGGAAACAGACGGTGTCAAGAATGATAGTGAGGGCGGTGGTGTCTCTGCATGGTGGTATGCAGGCGGTGTCTGAGGAACAGGTGCTTTGGCAGTAGGTCTGGCATTACGGGCACCACTTGACGGTTGATTATCTTTGGATGGGACAATGGACGCGGATGCGGCAGTGACAAGCTGTTCAAAGTTTTCTGGCTGGGTTGGCTGTGCTGGAAGAGCAACTTCGTGCTTGGTCGACCACTGCAGACGCTGCTGATAGCCAGGACATACGATTTGCTTAAGGGCACAGTTCTTGCATCCTGGTTTTCCCTCGTCGCATCGTAGCTATACCATCGGGAGTCAGTACACTCGGCTCTGCGTCGATCATCGCCGTCATCCACAACTTCAGATCGATACGGCATGATTGGGAACGGCCGAAGAGAATTAGCAGAAAGATCACCTACACGTCTTTGCTTGCAGTTACGGCAGCCACTGCGGCTCTTCTGTCTATTCTTCATCGGGGCACGAGTTTGCGCCATGCTCAGTCGGTTCTAATATAGCTTTATGTCACCTTTCGAGATTATTGCCACGTCGGTCTATCGCACAAGCAGTTGCCGGATACCAACTCGCCAAGGTGTGAGAAGAAATCTGGAAATAGACCTTGTGGTCGAAGTGATTCAGGCGGTGTTGAGGATCGATAGGAGCGGGAATAAGACCAATCCATGCCATGGTCAATGCCACACTAGTGACGGGGATGGGGGGAATTTGTCAGAAATTGTAAGGATGCGCAAAGTAACGGAAATTACGGAAAAACACATGACTATTTCCGCCAAACTTTCCACACATAATACGTCTAGATGTAAGTGCTCGGGAACACGGATATGGTTACCTTTCCCAGATTTTTGCTTCATCTAGATCAAAATACTACTTTCATAGGTAGCGACGCTGAATGTTGGTCTTCAACTGTAGGCCGTTATATTTCCCCATTTTTGGTTAGTCATTGACGTTAGTACCTTGCAGTGGAAAAGGGAATGGCAATTTGGGTGATGAGCTGCACGGGCTGTCTTTTTGTACTCTGCATATTTCGATGTGTTCGGAATTCGATAAATTTGGAAATTGTGTTATTTTTTCAGGTATTGACCTTCAATACATCCCACCCTCGTTCCGACCTCCAGGATCGCTCTGATACACCAAAGTGACGGGGACGAGGGGGCGGCGACGTAACAGAAAGACTAGATCTTGTGTGTCAGTGTTATCGACAGCAAGAGGAAGAGATGATTGACTGATAAGGCCGTTTATCGTGGCCAATGGTAATGGTCCCGACAGTTTAGGTGGTTAGCTCGATGCGGGTATGCATCGTCAAGCGGGATTGGTCCACTAAACATATCGGATCAACGGGGGGGTTTGAAACCACGGAACGTGAGCTGAAGAAAGGCTTTTATTCTGTTATTAGAAGCCTATGGGTGCGAGGCACTCCTAGGCCGGACAAGTATAGCTGTACAGCTATGTTCCTTTTGATCCTCATGAAGGGAGTGAAAGATGGCGGTCAATCGGAGGTCTTCCAAGCCACAACAATGCAGTGGGCCAGGTTAGCGGAGCGAGATATATAGTGTGGTAATCTCGCGGTAAACTGAGACTGATGCTGATGAGACTTTAGGAGTGCTGGGTGTCACGTTTCAGTGGAGGAAACCGGACAGCGAGCGGGTGATGAGGGGAAGTGGAAGGCAACTCTGATATCTTGTAGGATAGATAGGTAGCTTATAGTAGATAACGCAGCTTGTCCCCGATTTCGGGCAATTCTCATGCATTTTGGCTCCCCGGATACAACCAATGTCGGCGGGGACGGCTCTTCCCACAATGTCCAGGATCCACTGCCATGCGCTTTCCTTGTTCTATTTTAGACTACCCGTCGCTTATTGACGGGTAAGGTGAAATTGGTTGCTTCGTCTCTTTCTCCTTCGACCAGGCTTGTGTGGACTGGCCTGTGCGATCGTCGTGTTCATTCCCAAGCTCCTCATTATGACCGCCATCAGCTTCTGCTGTTTGAAGTCTGATATCAGTATAGTACTGATTGTAGCTTTTCGGGTGGCTGTGGGTGTGAAGTTGAAGTTGGATTGCGAATCCAGAGTGCAGTTGTCGCCCCTTGTCGAATGGTTGCCAGTGGCTGGGGAATGGGAGGAAGATGCAAAATGGTGGAGTGGAGTGGACGTAGGGGAGAGAATCATGCTACCCGATGCCCCTACGTGTAATTTACACAAGGGATGGGAGCGCGGACATCCAGCTGGACTTGTCACCAGACATCCGTGTTCACGCTTATAGATTCAAAATCTCAGAGCCACTAACAATAACGATTACAGGCAAGATGGCCGAGCGGTCTAAGGCGCTGTGTTCAGGATATCTGAGTATCGCAGTCCGAAAGGGCGTGGGTTCGAATCCCACTCTTGTCACTGATCTTTTGCAATTTTTGTACTTCTATCTTCGAACCTTCATACCACCCACCCTCTTTTCTTTTTCTTCTTTTTGATTTGTGCTTTTTGGGATTGAGGTAAACGAGTTCGTGACTTTTGCTATAATTGTATAGTTGAGGTATCTGATTATAGAAATCGGCGTAGTTACTAGAGTGTCATGATGGGTTGGTGGGAATAGCAATAGCAGCTAAAAGCATCTAAACAATGATTGAAGAATGAATCTTTAAGAACCAACTCGCGTTATTCAAAATTGGAAGTGCCGAGATCAGCTAAAAGAAAAGAAAATAAGTATTACATCACCACGGGAAGTTGGCAGAGATCTCGACAAGCAAACAAATCAATGCTGCATTGTACATATGTTTACCGAGCCCCAAGCCCCATCATCAGACACGAAAACTAACAGAAAAAGACCATCATAACCTCATCACCCACCTTTCAGCCCTTCAACCTCCCTTAGGTTACCTCTCTACAAAGAGGCCTGACATCTATCTACAACCTAGCAGCAGCCAGACTTCTCTCCCCATCAACCAACACACACCACCCCTCCCCTCCCCAGCCTCCCTTCCCAGCCACGACCGCCTGGAAATTCTCATTCGCATATGCCAACACCTCATCATTGAAAGTTCCCGGCTGGAGCCAGACAGCAGGCACGCCGAGCTCCTTGGCCTCCTGGAGCGTCTTGAGCGTGATGGCGGGACCAGTAATGATAGAAACCGAAGTTTCCTTGGGGTCCTCGAGCTCCGAAAGGGACTTGATGGCTGGGTAGGGTTGCCCGTTGACGGTGAGGGTGGCGCCTTGAGGGTTGATGGGCGTGGCGGGGAGATCACGGTCTGCGTACCATTTGAAGACTGGATGGGTGTTAGTGGTGTGTGGATAATGTGGGTGGAGGTTGTGGGAAAGGGATGGGGGTACGGAAGAAGAATAAGACAAAACGAACCTTTGTAACCGAACTTCTCCGTGTTAGTGCTGGCGCCGACTACGGCGAACTTGGGAGAGGAGAAGAAGATCTTGGCGGTTGCGTCGCTGGCGGACATTTTGAGGTTTGGTGTAGACGTAAAGAAGTGGTGTTGTTGATAGCTTGGAGTGATAAAGTGTGGTAGTTGCTCTTGAAAGCGGGCTGGATATCTTGTGCTAGGTATGAGGATGCGTTTTAGAAACACAAAAGGAGACTGCGTGTTCAGGGACATAAGGTCGGTTTATATGTTTGCCGGAAAGACTAGTACCTGACAAATAATCAAAGTTGCACCAAGGTGAGCTAAGGTAGTCAAGTTGCCCACTCTATTCTAGGACATGTCTCCATGGCGACATTCGGGTGTTGATGGAGTTAGTTGACCTCGCCGTCGAGGTGATGCTATTTTCCCGTGTCTACGCCCCCTGGGCCCCTGAGCAGATCCCGTAGGAAGCTAACCACTCAAACAGCCATATCCCAGGCAACCCCGCGCTATCTACGAGGACCCCGATGACGTGCCCACCGCGTGCCGTAGGGGTACCTGTGATGTTGGTGCGCTCAGCCCCCACCACAACTAATCAGTAATTGATCCTGATGGTTTTTGTGTAACTGTATATCTTCAGGTATTGGATTACCGACATTTGTCCAATGGTGATATTGTCCATCGAATGCCCGTTACTGATTTGGAATTGGAGTCCCAATGTCGCAGTTGCTGTTCGGTGAATCAAGGCCAGGTGATGTAACGCAACCGAGGCTTCGACGGAAATCGTCGGATCCGTGAACTTCGGCGATCAGTCACTTGCTCAGAGAACCAAAGGATAATTCGGAATGCCGACGCGGGTGATGCCTGGAAGGAGCGAGCCAAAAAAGGATGATAAGGATGTCGCCATCCATGAGCCGTCTCAACGCCTCGGTATCGGATATAAAAAGCCTTGTGCCGTTGACGGGACAATTCAGTTTGCCTGTTTCCCCAGACAATATTGGTATCACAACATCAGGCACAGAATTCCTTCAACGGACTATCTTACTGACCACTCGGAGTTAATTTGGATTCACTGTTTGTGATTTGGTGCGTTTGTTTGGGTGGTCTTTTTGAAGATGTCCATCTTCGGGTAAGTCTCCACCTCTTGTTTACTTGCCTACTGACAGCATTGGCGCATTGCTTACTGTAATCATTGACATGTTCCCACTATAGCCGCTCGACGTACTCCTCTGCTGGGTATGCTGCCTTTCGGCCCTCATATCCCTCGGTTCTTTACGACCGGGTGTTGAGATTTCACGGCAAAGAGGCCCCTTCCTTCCCATCACCATCGTCGTCTTCGCCGGCAGCTGGAACACTGCTGGACCTTGGCTGCGGACATGGCTTGGTGGCGCGCGCACTCGCTCCCTATTTCAGCCGTGTTATCGCCCTTGATCCTTCGGCCGGCATGATTGAACAGGCTCGCAAGCTGACCGGCGACAACTCCAAGATTACGTTCAAGCAAGGCGGAGCCGAGGACCTTTCATTCCTTGACGACAATGCCGTTGACTGTGTGGTTGCTGGTCAAGCGGCGCATTGGTTTGACTACTCCAAGGTCTGGCCAGCACTTGCACGGGTCGTGAAGCGCGGCGGAACCCTGGCTTTCTGGGGTTACAAGGATCACATCATCGTTGGGCGGCCGGAAACAACGCCCATCTTTGACAGGTTCATCTACGGCGAGACGGAGCCGGTGCCGGGCGTGGAAAGCATGATGCGCTTTTGGGAACAACCCGGCCGGAACATATTACGGGATTCACTGCGGGAGGTAGTCCCTCCCGAGTCGGAATGGGAACATGTGGTCCGCATTGCTTGGGATCCCAATCATGAGACGGGCGACATTAGCGATGCTCCGGAAGAGGCCACTTGGTTGCGTCGGAGGCTCAAGTTGGGCGAGTTGGCGAGCTATATTCGCACGTTCAGTGCCTTCAGTGGTTGGAGAAGCGCCCATCCCGAGATGAAGTGCAGGGCGGACGGAGGAGAGGGCGACATTGTTGACTTGATGTTTGACGAGGTTATTGCTGCGGTGCCGGAATGGAAAGCGGCGGGAGATCGATGGGCCGAAATCGAGGTTGATGCTGTTTGGGGAACCGCTTTGTTGATGGCGAAGAGACGATGAATTGGTAGTGTATGATTATTAGAATCACGGTAAATCCGTCAACGTGTGTGCTACCTCTTTTGATAGGATAGTATCAGAATCCAGGAGGAGACGATACTGTACTGTACAGTGGTGGCTGCCCGACTTTGAACTTGCTATCCGGGCAGTATCACCGGCCCCCTTGCTTAACCAAGGTGTCCTCTGTTGATGTCTCTCTCGATTGAGCTAGCGGGCATGCAGTGCTGCTGTACAGTCCAGTACTGTTAGCTTGGTAAAACGCATAGGAAAGTTGACACAAGGTCTCGAACTAACAAACAAATCAGTAAGTGTACTGGATTGTAGAGGTATCGCGAGTTGTCACCAGTGGTTGCCCTCCATTGGCTGCCACCGCGACCGGGATGCGGGCGCATAAGGTCGGGTACCTACTGCGTATTGGCACAGACCAGTCAGCGCAACTCCCTGTCCGCAGCTCATTTCGCGGCGGGAAGGGAAGCCCAAACAGGCGAGGGGGAACAGCCTGGAAAATCGATCGCCCACTCCTTTTGCATCTAGCCTTGGTTCGCTTCTTGACCGTTCTTCTGAATAGCATCATCTTTCGCATCGAATCCATCAGCCAGCGTTTTTGCACCGACTAGCCCTTGCATCCTCTTTTGCGCATTCAAACGACATTTCCCCCCTGAGACACAATGGTAAGTGGACCTGTCCCTGTTCGTCCGCCGCGGGCACTGGCACGCGCGCGCCCCTCTCCATCCCTCCATCCCAACCCCGACGCACGGAAACAGAAAGCATGCGAAAGCAAGAGCCAGGAACCCCGCGGTTGCCCATGACAACAAAGGCACAAGGTGCCACAACCTTGGAAGCCGCAGCGCTCTGCGTTGAATCGGAGCACTACCTGTAAAATGCGCCTGCGCCCGGCTTGAGCGTTGAGCTGCAAGGTCCTGCTTCGGCATCCATCCATCACAGACCAAAAACACCATTCATTTTGCCATCTTCCGATCGCATTGCTGCTCCCTTGCCGCTTGGGTTTCTGCGCCTTGTTCTCGCAACCATCGCCCTCGTCCTCTCGATTGCCGACTTTAGCACGATCGCAAGCCAGCGCTTTTGCTTACGCTCAACCTACCGCGATTCATTACATACCCGCATTCTTGAAAGGAGATCTCTTTGCGACAGCGCAACTCAGGAATCATGGCATCTAACCAGTTCGACGGTCAGGCTTCTACCAACTACAAGGAGGCGTTCTCCCTGTTCGACAAGCGCGGTAACGGCCGTGTTGCCCTCGACAGCTTGGGTGACCTGCTCCGCGCTTGCGGCCAAAACCCCACGCTCGCCGAGATCCGCGAGCTCGAGAAGAACGTTGGTGGTGACTGTGAGTAACACCCAAGCGCAAACAAATAATTCATCCGAGATTCGTTACTAACAGATGCCCTTTTCATTCAACAGTCGACTTCGAGACCTTCCAGCGCGTCCTCAACCGGCCAGGTGGCTTCCGTGATCCCGGCGAGCCCGAAGAGTACTGCCGCGGTTTCCAGGTGTTTGATAAGGACATGACGGGTTTCATCGGCGTTGGACAGCTCAAGTACATCTTGACAAACCTCGGCGAGAAGATGACGGACGAGGAGGTAGACGAGCTCCTCAAGGCCGTTGATACCAGTTCCGGCCAGGTGAACTATACCGGTATGTCATCCTCTGCACTTGCTGTTTGCTTGCCATTTGCGCGGAATCTAGGAGTCTCGACTAACGATATTTGTGTGACGCAAACAGAGCTCGTCCGGACCATCCTTGCCAACTAAAATATCGAGTAGAGGTGGTACGGAATGATGACGAGGGAAACTGGGTTTGGAGGCCAAACATCACGGGGCATAGTTGAAGAGGAATCGCGGGACAAATCCGTCCAAGGAGAAGGCGTCATATACCATCTATTACAGGGAAATCGCATGTGTTATAATCCAGGCAGGCGTCGGAGTCTTGATAAGATATGAATTTGGACATATCATTTACCGGGAACTGAAAGGCTTTCCGGACGTGTGTCTTAACCAACTGCGCTAGATTGGGTTCCACGCCTGATCTTTCTTCAGTCCCCTTCTCTCGCGTGACGGAGGTGTGTTTACAAGTACACGTTGTTTGCCCAGTGCTCAGCAGTACAATATTCGTCATGAAACCGTTTCCGCTCTACTCGAAAAAGGGCTCGACCCTGTCAGTTTGGTCTGGGTAAGGCAAGAGACATGAAGCATCACGAAGGATGAATATGAGAAAACGAGGCCATGGGGTTTGCACAGTCACTGGAAACAAGGCTAAACACGATCCCGTCTTCCTTCGAACTCGGGGTAAAAAGGGATGTGTGGATTCCGATGTCCCGTCTCCGGCTCCCCGTCTGGGTACGGCCAGGAAGCAGAACGTATTACTCATCTGTATCTTTGGAGATACCAATTGTGTTGGATGACCAGAGCGGGCAACCAGTACTCAAATACTGCATTATCTAAAGCATCTATGTAATGTTCCTGCAGTAGGCTGGTAACTTACAATGTCCGGTCACGGAAGCCGGACATCTTACGGGAAGTGGACATTTCCCCAGCGGCTTGCATCGGTCTTGTCAATTATGGAGCCCCTGTCCTCCGCTGACGCCCATCACTCGTGCCTTCTTTTCCCTCGGCTAGTGAAGAACTGAAGGAACTGTTTTAAATGACACCATTTCTATCCCGTATTTGCAAAGCTGTGCATTTTCTTGACCGATCACGCAATTTGGCGAGAAATTCTCTGATCAAAATGCTGACCAAAATTCTGACGGGGAACTACGTTGCTGCCTCTTATCTGTTCGATGGCCAAACCGATATCTACCAACAATCACGACGACCTCGACGACGGACGACACTCAAACATACAAGCCGCGGACGACATCCGTTTGCCCCCAACAACATCGAAATCGATGATGACCACTGAGAAAATTTCGAAATTCATGCAAACGACAGACAATCATAACGAAGACGGGTACTATCTGGATAGGTGGGACATGATCCAACAATGGCTTCGAATGGGTGATTCACGTTTGGATGTGGAGGTATCTTGGGAGTTGCTTGGATTTATCGCACTGGACATATAAGCACGACATCTCGCCACGTTATCGACCATTTTCTTTCTATCATCATCAGCACCTGGGAAGGGACAGGAGAAACTCGTTCAGCTATCGTCACCGACCCTGACTTCATCTCACGACTCACGCCTACGAAACGCCATGACAGGAATGTACGACAACCCACCCCAGCCCCCAAGGCTCCGAAACCATACCCCAGAGAGCGTTACCGCCGCCTTCGAAGCATGGGCCGACAAACACCGTGCTGCGCTAGATGCGATCGTAGCCAATGTCAACCTGAGTGACCCGCAGACTGTCACATTTGAGAACGTCATGCGCCCCCAACTCGAGTTTGAGAATCAAAAGTTCTCGCACAACTTGCGCTTTTACCAGCACGTTTCTGAGAACAGCGATTTGCGGGAGACCACTCGCAAAATGGCAAAATGGTACGATAACATCTGGACGGACATGAACATGCGCGAGGACGTCTTCCGTGCGAGAGAGGTCCTGTATCACAGATCTGGTCTCGCGGCAAGTAGGAAACAGAATCCCGCTCGGTACATAACCGAGGACATTGCAAAGAATGCAGGTTTTGAGGATGCTGAGAGTGCTATCGCTCTAGAGGAAGAGTGGAAAGAGGCCATCAGGTTAGGATTGGGTCTACCGTCCAAACCCCAGCGTGATCGCTTCAATCAAATTCAAAAGCGCGTGGAGACAATCAAGAGCGAGTTCAAGAACCACCACGCTTCTGATAAAGGCTGCAACTGGTTTATCCCTGCAGAGTTGGATGGCATGGACAACGATAATATTGACCAGTTGGCGAAGGGAACGGGCAAGAATGAAGGCAGACTCAAGGTCACCTTCGACCCCAGTCATTACGACATCTTTCTTAGAGACGTCAAGAACTCGGAGGCTCGAAAGCGCATGTGGACTGCCATGGAGAACAAAGTACGCTATACATGGTAGGTGGTTGCTGATGCTTACAAAAGCCTACTGACAATGTCCCGTTAGTGCCCAGAAAACGTCCCGCTCTTCAAAGAAGCCATGCTTCTCCGAGACGAGGCTGCTCGCCTATTAGGTTATCCAGATCATGCCACATTGAGGATTGAAAGCCGAATGGCGAAGACACCTAGGGCTGTCAACAACTTGTTGAATGACTTGCGAACCCGCCTTGCACCCCTCGCCACCAAAGAACTCAACCAACTACTGCAAGCCAAGAAGAAGGACTGCGAAACTCGAAACTTGCCGTTTGATGGCAGTTTTTATTACTGGGATTGGGCTTTCTACGCCTCCAAAATCTCCAAGCAAGAACATGACCTTGACAACAAGAAGGTTGCCGAATACTTCCCGATCGATTCCGCAATCACAGGCATGCTCCGCCTTTTTGGGGGGCTCTTTGGCATCGTTTTCGTTAGGTTGGCTGCAGAGGATCTTGAGCGTATCTCCCCTACTGGCGTTTCCGAAGATGTCATGTATCACAGGGACACTATCATGTTGAGTGTCTGGAACGACGAGTCCGAGGGTAATGACTTTCTGGGATACCTTTACATCGACGCCCATCCACGCGAGGGCAAATACCGACACGTAGCAAATTTCCCCCTGGAACTTGGGCACCAGAGAACGGACGGTACGAGGTTTTACCCATCCACGGCTATTGTTTGCAACTTCCCTGCGCCAACCAAGGACAAACCGTCACTCCTTGACCACGAACATGTTGTTGACCTATTTCATGAATTGGGACATGGGATCCACTCTCTGGTTTCACGCACTCGCTTCTCTCGTCATCACGGGACAGCAGGCAAGCGAGACTTTGTCGAAGCCCCTAGCCAGATGCTTGAAAATTGGACATGGAGGGCCGAGTATATCAAACGTATCAGCAAACATTATCTAACAGGCGAGCAGATGTCTGACGACATGGCCGAGCGGATTGCGGCAAGCAGACATTTCCTTCAGGCGTTGAGGAACTTGCGGCAGTTATCATCCGCCATTTTTGACATGGAGGTTCATTCGCCCAAATCACGCGCTGCCCTTGAAAACATGGACTTTACCAAGCGATACAACGAATTGAGGAACGAACTAACAGGAATGAAGGGACCCGAAGCTATTGGTGAACCGATGTAAGCTCTATTGTTGTTAATCTCGTTACTTCCTTCGTATCTTGAAACGTATCTGACAATTCAAATGGTAGGACGCATGGGCATGGCAATCTCCAGCATCTGTTTTATGAATACGATGCCGGATTATACAGTTACCATCGGTCTAACACCTACTCCTACGACATGTTTTACTACGCCTTTGCTAAAGATCCGATGGATAAATCTCAAGGTCACCGATTCAGACACACGGTTCTCGAAAAGGGCGCGTCGCAAGACGAAATGCTCATACTTGAGCAGTTCCTGGGTCGCAAACCAACCCCCGATGCGTTTGGCATGGAGCTGGGGCTGGTTGAACCTATGGAAGAACCGTTGTTGAAGGGAAGTTCCTTCGCTGGACGAGACCCCGCCATCGAGGAGGGCACCTCGAGTGAGGAGGATTCTGCCATCAAGGATCGTCCTTCCTGAAGGAAGTCCTTCTGCTGGGGCAGATTCCATTGCCGATGGAGGGTCATCTGTTGAGTGCGGTCGAGTTATCTAGGGCGACCCATCTGCTGAAGGCGGTCCAGTTGTTGAGACCACGTCACCGAGAGAGAGGATCTGCCACAAAATGAAGCATATTGCAGCACACTTCAAGAGGAACAGGAATTGATGAGAGCATCATAAGAACTACCGCCGCGTTGCTACAACGGTTTCTGTTCTGTCAAGTTCGCTAACATATTGTGCTACCACATAGAACAGAAGAAGGAAATCAATTTCAAGGAGGTTATCTAGTTGGCTCAACTCTTCCCAATTCGACATGTGCATTCTTCCCTTCCATCACCATCCCCATTCATTTCTTTGCCGAGTTATTTTATTATCCTGCGTGTTGGGACATCTGAAGGAATGACTACCCGGTCCAGGCCTTTCTCCCGGCGGTGAGTTAGTCAGGTCCTCTCCATTCCCTATTATCCAAGAGAGCAGGCTCAACATCAACATCCAGACTTTTCTGACAATATGATTCTTCGTGTCGACCCCATACACCTTATTAACCTTTCAACTTTGGTTCCCAAGCTCATCGACACTCACAGCAGACTGGACAGATTTAGGCTAGGCAAGGCGACCCCAGATATGCACGGCCGATGATCGGAACCAAGCGCCCGCACGAGTGTCCACCTCCCAGGGTCCTGGCATGGCACCCTCCCCTGGACGGCGAAGGTACTTGAAAGGTACTTCGTCGGATCATCCATGTTCGTTAGATTCGGCCATGCGGCGACGGCGACGACGTCCTATCTCATTTCATCGATTTTTCAACCAAGATCATCAGGTCCGAGAGACCCCAGAATGCTCTTGGCAATTGGAGTAACCTCGGGATCCGGTTACATAGTTCAGAGTTTTGAGGCACCATCATTGGTCAGGCTCTATGGGCGAGCCTACTGTGTAGCTGTGCATATCACCGAGGGTGTCCCGTGATAGTCCGTACTCCGTGGCTCCCATCGAGCGGCGGCGGCGCAACACCACGTTACTAGTGCAAACGTTAACATTTGGTTCTTCTTCCCAAATTTCTTTCTCCCCCCGGGTGCTTACTACTCCGCCCGTTGATCATCATGTCCGTATACTAAACTTTCCTTGCGACTGATAAGCACCATCGAGAAAGCGTGAGATGTGAGACGTGAAATGAGTTTGTTTGAGGCTCCTAGGCAAAGAGGCTAGCAAAACACACTAACGTGCGCTGGCTAAGCTCGGTCCGACTTGTACCATCCCGGGCAGATGATAAGGTAGGGTAAAGGGGAATTCCCCGGCCACTTGGCCATAGGCTAGCTAGGCTGCGGCTGTGACAGCTACATGTAACGACGCCAACATCACACCAACGGTTCTCGGAAGTTGGCGGTCGGAAATGGGATGGATGGTCAGTCGATCGAAATCGAAAGTGCGTATATTTCGATTGCCGCCGTTTCGGCATTTTGTGGGCGATGCTGACATGATGCTGAGCACCTGAAGCGTTGTACCTACCTCTACGTAGCTTAACCTGTTTGGTGACCGTGGTGTGAACGACCAGCCAAGTCCTCGCTCGTCGCCGTCCACCGGAACGACTTCGTCTTGGCAACGATGACCTCGGATTTCGACCGTCTGTCCTCAACCTCACTGCCGTCGGTCAACCCGTTATCCTCCGGCTGGATTCCCCACGGCCGTCTGTTGTTCCCACATTTCCCGAAACGACGGGATGTGAGATGGATGTGCTGATGGCAAGGAACAGACCGCGCATCGTCAATGTCACTTTGAAGATGGAAGAAACCGGAGGGGCAGCGGTACCATTGTCTGACGCCAAGTCCCCGAACTAGACTACAGGGTTGTCGGTGTCAATTGTTTACTTCAACCCTTCCTCCCCCTTTTGCCTGCATTATCGTTCGGCACCATGAGTCGGCACCATTAGTCGGCACCAGTTGAAGCACTAACCGACAACCGTTCTACGTGTACTCACTCACCCGCCCTTTGCAATCTCCGAATCTCGTTGATCAGAACCCATTTTCCACACCAACCCTGAAACTCCAAACCCCAAGTTCTCCAATCTTCCCCAAATTCCCAGGGTTCGCTCCTCCCCAACCCCCTCCCCAACTGCTCCAACTTGCTCGTTCCGCTGTGCCGTCTAACCCTCGTCAACTCCCACCCATCCGCGCGTTTTAACCTTAAGAGCCAATCACGCCCTGTTCATCAAATCTGACGCGGCTAGCGGATTTTAGCTTTAACTTTATCCCCACCGCACTCAATTCATCGGTACATGTGTTGGTTTGGAACTAACCCTAACCCCCGGCCTTTCATTTAGTATCTACGAGTATGCCGGCCGGGCGTCGTCGTTGACGTCCGCTGCGCTGCCTGCACTGCGTGCGGCATTTTCCAACCCTTTCGCTGGTGTCAGTCGATGATTACCTGGCATCTGCAACTTTTGGTACTAGCCTGATATGTAGTCATGCTCGGGTGAAGTATGCTAAGGTAAGGCCATGTTCATGCACTCGCGTCTGTTTTGGTCAAAGCAAAAAAAAGCGTGAGCATTTTATCTTCCCACAATGCCCGGTATTCTCCCCTCTCCCTCGGTCTCGGTTTGCATGCCTACCTACCTTGGATGATATAGCAAGGCATGACATACACTGATCGAACCAAATCACACATAATCAGGATATGCCATATGTACATACTTCCTTGTTACCTTATCAATAACATACAGCGGCATACATACAACCATGGAGTATGTGCGTGCTACTTTTACTGTCTTGCTAGTTTTAACTGTCTTTACGAAACGTTCGGAAGATCTCGATATGTACCTATCCCATCCGCACTTCCCGTGGAAAAAAAAAAAAACCGGCTTACCTAAACTGGCTGTAAGCCCCCAAGTACCCCAGTTCCCAGACACGACGGCGCAGGCGACGCAGATCAATCATCATATGAACCGCTAAAAACAAGTCGCACACGACTGGATAAAAAAGCAGAAGTGCCAAGTTCAACTTCAAGTTTCATGTACTACACTACACGTACAGATCTTTGCCGCGTTTACCTCCCTTCGGATTTCATCCCGTCTTTTGTCGGTCCTGTTCCCTTGGCCGTCTTGTCCCGCTATTAGGCGACGGTATCCCGTGATTGATCCCCCCCGATATTCCGCTCCTAGACCCGTGTGAACAAATCGATCATCACGACTGGTTGGGCATTATGTAAATTTTTCGCTTTGGGGAAAGCATATCCGTAGGGATTTTGGAAAACGTCACCCGAAAGCGCCTTTCCCCGGATTTACAAAATCGACTATACTACTCTAGGATTCAGATCTGTCTGGAACATCGCCATGGTAACTTGTAGTGTAGTAACAATGACACAAGTTTTGCGTGTTGAGAGGAGACGTGGCCGCGCGAAGGCTTGTCAAGGAGTCGAGATTGATCTTAGTACTCACTTGGCTGACGGGCTGGCTGGCGGGCTAAACTCTGACTGCTGGGGTGAGGTCTGGCGGAGGGTTTCGAAGCCCCCGGATTGTTGAGAAAAGCTCCACCCAACACGAGAATCCTTCAAAAACTCGAGATATCGGGTGCGCGTGGCCAAGAAAAAAAAAAGCAGGAAGGCTGGGAGTCAGAATGGAAAATATGGCACAACAACAGGATGATTTCAAAACCATGGGTTTTCTCTTGTTTTTTGGCAAGGTATGTTCAGCGAACATTATACCTAGAGTTCTTTAGAGTATAGGTAGCATCTATCGATATTCATGTGCCCATCGTCTCTATTGGTCACCCGCACTAGACAATGATTTGTAAACATATTCCGGTCATTAGGTACCTAGGTTACCTGTCCCGTCCGTCCCAATTCCGTTCAGTCCAGTCCCCCAGTGCGTTGGATCGTACGTCCATCCATCATCCATCCCATCCTATCTTCGCGTCGTTCGTATAGTTGCCATGTCCCATGACTTTCCCATATAATACATGCATGCATAAAACGTTAAAAAAAAACAGGTGGTGCACGCATCCAAACCACCAAAACAAAAACCTGGAAAAGCACTACCAATGCAGCAGCGCACCGCGACCACACCGCGGTCTCAACTCCGCGCTGGTTTGCTTTGTGCCAAATCCTGAAACTCCGAAAATAGAAATACTCAAAACATTTCCCCAGGCCGACAAGTCTGAGGGGGTATACAAAAAAGGACAATCGCGGGTGAAGACAGACGTCAATCACTGCGCAACTTTGATTAAATCATCCAAAAAAAAAAAAACAGGATCATGAGCGTGCGTTGGGCCGGATTAAGCCAAGGGAGCACAGCTATAAGGCTTCGAAACCTTGCCATGGTCGTAACGGTCCATCTAAGAAGCAAGTTAGCATTTGTGTGCAAGGAGTAAACAGAAAAGCGGGCCAAACTTACAATGTCCTGAATAGCGGCGTAGGTACCAATACCAAGAATGCCCATGCCGATGACGAAGCAGACCACATTGAGGGCATCCAAGAAGTACTTCTTGCTCTGGCTCTTGGCATCGTTCCTGGTGATCTTGAAATACATCAAGGCAGGGAAATAGAAGCTGAAACCGGAAATGAAGAGAGCCGAGCAGATGGCCAACAGATCGGAGAAGAAAGGGATGGCCTCAGCAATGACCCAGGCAATGAGGGTAATGCCAAAATCAAAACCAAGCCAGACCATCCAACCCGCCGGGGTGTTGACATAGCGAATGACGTTGTTGGGCCAGATACGCTCAATCAGATACCTGCTGACGACAACAGTGTTGATACTGCCAGAGATGAAGATGACGGGGAGGGCAATGCCGAAAGCAACCTTGGCGAGAAGAGGGCCAGCAGAGAGCAAGGCAGGAGACTGGACCTCGGGGCCGACGAAAGCGTAAACGACGCCACCAGTAACGGTGTAGATGAAGATTTCAATCAAGCCGAGAGCAACGATGGACTTCTTGTAGTCGGAGGGGGTGTGCATCTCATCCATAAAGCTGAACTGGCACATGGCGAAGCTGTAGGCGAAAACAATGTTGCTGACAGCAATGAAGCCCTCAGCAAGGCTGAGGTCCTCCTTGGGCCAGCAAGACCAGGGAACAGCAGCGAGGCCACCCTCCTGGTGGCTCGAGCGAATGCCAGTAGCAATCATGGTGATGAGGATGGCGGCGCAGATGGAGACGAAATCGATGTATCCAAGGATGGCAACCTCGGCGAAACTGGGAGGAATGGCAAGGAGGAAGAGAATGATGGCGGAGACAATGCCGAAGACGAGAGAGCAGGTACCGTTGCCGTTATCCGTGATGGTGCCCCACATGATGGTGCCGGTGAGGACGTGGGAGCCGACGATGAAGATCAGCTGCAGAACAAACATGAAGCTGATGATTTCATATCCCCATCTTCCAAACATGACACGACCAACGTCGGCATAGTGGGCGATTTCAGGGTGCTTGAGCTTGGTTTGTCCGATAACGTGAGCCGTGTAGATGCAGATGAGTCCCATGCCGACAGAGAGAATAACACCAGGCACCATACCAAGGGTAGCGAAGGCGCCGGGTAGCGAGAGAGAGCCGAGGGCAATAGCCTCGACGATGAGGACGACCGTCAGACGTTTCCAGCCGAGACGGTGGAACTTGGCATGGCCCTCCTGGGCCTCAGGCTCCTTGTCCATGATGCCGCCGCCCAAGCCGCGGACCTCGCCAACATGCTCATCGTTCGACTCTGGGTACGGCATGATGGCGTTTGGGTCATTCTTTTTTGTCTCGTATTGTGAGTCCATGTTGGGTGGTAAGGAGGCCTTGTTGAAGGCCTTTGTCGACAGTGGCTTGATTTTCGCTTCTCAAGCTGTTTGGATGGCTAAAGAGGGAGGGAAAGAGAAAATGCTGTCTGGGAACCCAGGCAGAATAAATATGGATGGGGGTGCGGACAACAAGCGAAAAGACCAACAGACGATCCAAGGTCTGAGAGACAGGATGAACTGCGGGGGACCGGGGCAGATTAAGTACTGAAGAAGAGGGATGGAGAAGGTGGGTGACGGATGAGACAGGTACTTGCGAGGTACGTGAGAGGGAAGAGCGACATATAAGCACGCCGCGTTGGGATGCGCTTGGGGCGAGGCGGATCTCGTGCAGACGACGCACTAGCAGTTGCAACCTGGAAGTCGACGAGTCAGGGACAATCCGATGGAGCCTCTCCATTTGGCCTACTAATTGGAATGCGTACACGTAGTGTACACTACACAATCTGGTCGCCGCCGCACTCCGGAATTGCCGAAAAGGATCATCCTCGAATACCTTTCTCCAAACGACCAGCGATCTCGGCGAATGAAAAGACAGCAAAAACCAGGTACACCTTGCACTTGCTGTCTTGCCTTGCCCTTGCCCTGAAGCTGTCCACTTCCTCGCTGCTCTTGCCAGAACTGCTCCTGCTGCTCTGAGACTGCACTGGCAGACTGGTGATTGCTTCTCTTTTCTGACCGTTGCCGGACGCTTCTGCTACCTCATTATCTAGCGGATGATTCGAACTGGCAGCCAGCATTGCTCTGCCAGCTTCACGGACATACATCATATGTACAGACTGCAGTGCGTTGGAAAACTACCTCTAAGCTTGATAAAGCATGCCCTTCGGACCTCACCATAGCACAGACAACAAGGCCAAACCAACTCAAGCCCTGACTTGCGACCGATACATAATGCGTACGATATGCGTACAATAGCTGACCACGTGCTGACCTCTGCAGGCCGGTGGTTCTAGACAGGGCTTGTGATGATGCTGGTGGTGAAGTTGTGTTCTGGTCGCCTGGGCAAAGGCGAACCCAGGATACCAGATCCAGCTGCTCGGTCACTCGAAGAGGCAGGTGGGCGCGTGGGATGCTCGAAGAAGCTGGCCGGCTTGAGGCTTCCCGGACAATAACCATTCTATTAGTCATGACGGTGGACCTCTTGGGGAAGTCTGACAGGGAGGTGGTGAGAAATCGAATGGGAGGTGAGAGCAAGCGGAACCAGCACCCACTCGTCAGCAGTGGATGCAACAGTCGAAACCCGCGATGGTGGCAAAGACAGCAAAGCCCGACCGGGATTTCAACTGGAGACCCGGAGAGAAGCCCACTTGGTGCGCGAGGTGGATGAAGCGAGTGGGACGTGAAAGCCCAACAGACAACCTTAAAGTAGCGCCGGCATTGCTCCAGCTCCACGACTTTTTTTTTTCTCCCATGTCCGCGCTACATATCCCGAGAAGGCGATTGGAGAATGGCTGTTTTGCCTGTTGCGCGTGGACCATGTCCGGCCGATGTACCTTCTGAGTACACCATTTTCACCACCCGAGAACCATCGCATTGCGTGGTGGCAGGGAGGGCGACGAGGGTCCGCGGCGGAGCGGTGGACTCTTTTCTCGGAGGGGCAGATAGCGCTGCAGGGACCATTAGTAAAAGCTGCACATAATTCCATGCCGTCAGCTACTTTGTTATCGTTGCAAGTGGAAGCTCCCGTCCAACACGATCTTTGATGGTGCGGGCTTTCCCTGGCTGTGCCTGGCGGCGTTTCTCTGAGCAATGAACACAGTTAGGTTTGGTTTTAGAATTGTTCCAAATGTTCGACGAGTGGGTGTCTGCACGAGATTTTAGGGTTTGGGGCACGCTAGAGGAGCTTTATGACGACATGAATTGTGGGGACTGTGTCGGGGTCAAGGGCCAGCCAGCTGTCTTTCACCACCAAACCTCGACGACGTTCTGACTGGTGTGTCCTGTGAGTGGTTGACCTAGATGTTGAATTTTGGGAACACTGTGCTCGCCTTCAAGAGACTGGAATGAATGACGGAGTATGAAGTACTCTGTACATGTACACCATTGATATGTTCTTCTGATGAAACTGGATTGCCTTCGCTAATGACCCGAGCCAGTGTGCAGATCTGGGGCAAGCAACACACGCCCGAGTCCCAGAGCGTCGCCGGCGGTGCATCTCGTTCCTGGGATCAGACGCAGCACAGCTTCATCCTTGTCCAATTCACCAATCTTCAAGATTGGGTCGTTCTCGAAGACGACAAAACCTTGAGGCACCGTAATATCAACATGTAGCGACCCGTCTGCGGCCTGTCGTTCCAGGCTTAGTGGGACCATATAGAATGCAATACAAAAGATGGTACTGTCCGTTGGATGACGACGGGAGGCGATGAGGCATGCAACTTGATTTCGGGAACTTTGGATGTGTTGCACTTGGGGATAGTATCATGATGCACACGTGCCTAGATGAGAGGACGTTATCCGTCATTCGTGCCCAGGAATGCGGCTGATTCCAGATCGTGGGGGATAGCGGTTTGTCTACCAGATTGGCTACCGTGCAACCCAGCTACTGTACGTGCGTACTTCTAGAATGCGACACGCGTTTGAATGGTGCATCTGGGCTGACGCATCAAGGATTCCATTTCAGGAAGCCAAGCTACTACTGCACGAACCAACAAATCCTCCGATATCTTTATGTTCCAGAGGTCTGTAGTTGCGTCCAGTCTTCCCTTTCTTGATGACTCCTTCTGCTTTTCCGGTTCTAGATCCATACAGGTCGACCCAAGTGATGCCTGTTCCATGGTGTCGTGGATCTGGGGTACTGGGGCTAGAGAATGGACGTCTGTCACGTGTGCATTCTCTCCAAGGTCCAAGTTGAACCCCAGACCATCCAATACATCAGTTGAGACCGGTACCTAGCATAGACATTACACCATCGCAAAGCTAGGGAACCATCTGTTGGAGAGATTCGAGGGGCACGAACAAAGTTTGTGGGGGGAACTAGGTTGGACGAACCGGTCAATGCGTTATTCCAATAGCACCGTCGGCACAATAGCCTCTGCGAGTTCGGCATCCACCGCGGCTTGTACCTGCAAGATAACCCGACAATGAACAAACTAACTATCTGGATCTCACAGACGACTGCAATAGTATGGCCTAGACTAATGTAGAAACGTTTGGCCATCAACGCACTTGGATGCTCAGCAGTCCTGGAAACCACTAAGATAACGGCTGCCGTGCCAAGAGAGTCATGGATCGGATCTTTGTAAGCAAGGGCCCGCTCCGCTCCGCTCGCTAGTCCGCCGAACGATAATCTCATGTGGGGAGAATCGGACGAAAGAAGCCCGCCACGACCCCGAGCCGGGCTATAGACAGACTACCCCCCTTCCCTATATCTAAACTACTTAACCGCTTAGGGCAAGGCTTCTCAGCTTTTCTCCGCCGTACAAGAAAAAGGTTTTGCAACAGCAGGCCAAAGAAGTGCAGAATCCTCAATCTTTGGGTAGGAAGATGCATGCCAAAACACTGCACCGAGACTATAATCTACATTGAAGTTTTCGCTCAATTGAAGTTTGAGTCTGACTAAACTCATCTTCCTTCTTCCATTTTTTTTTTTTTTTCGACGGAGTGCATTTGGTGAAAGTGCATTGCCCTGACAGGAATGAAAAGAAGAGGTGACCAACTATTTCTTGGAGGAATTTGCGAAAATGACTGATCATGAGCTAACAGACTTTTACCTTATTTTCGCGGTGGGATGTTAGCCATTGAAAAGATTAGTCAAATTCCTCAGAACCATGCCCTAAGCGGTTAAGTAGTCTAGATATAGGGGATGGGGGTAGTCTGTCTATAGCCCGCCTCCACGACCCCCACTGCTTTGCTAGCTTTGACCGGTACCGGAGATGGTGGATCTTTTCTCAAGTTTGCAAGCGAAGCCGAGCGGGTGGACGAGAGGTACACACTACACTACACACACTAGTGGACTTGGCTGGGTTGTTCTCAATGGCTTCTTTCCGGCTTCTTTTGCTGTGCCTTTGTGGCCCGTTCTGAAATGGTCTGGACTTTGAGTCTTGATGGGTGTTGATAAGACCAGCCGAATCTCGACCTACGATGTTAGTGATGTGTATGTGATTATATGGATCGCTGGCTCCTGTTGTTACACGATCGCAAACTATGGTCATCGGCTTTGGTTTTGGTTTTGGGGGGGGGGGGGGGGGGGGGG